AAACTTGTAAATAACATTATCAACTCTGTCTGGATGATGAGTAACTTGAAATGAGTAGTTTAGATTTGTGTTGAAAATGGTTGTTGTACATTGAGTGCTTGTGAATTAAACCGTACAACATTAACAAGTACTAATAGTATTTGGTGATCAACTTATTATTTAGTATGGTAGAGGACATGGAGTGGGGAACTCAGCACAAATTAACATCTGCTGAAGAATAACTGAAAAACAGGGCTTTATCAAATTTAGATTTTGAACAGTTTGTACATTTTCATTAAGTCGGGTAATCAGTAAAGGGAATTTACAGCTCGAGCAAAAGGCAGAGTAGAATAAAATAATTTCTTTTATGAATTGTTTTTATTTAGCCTAAATAACTCAGCGGATTTCATTTGTTGTCTTGAAATATACAGTTGTTGTTTAATAGTTATCGCTTCAACTCTGTCTTCGAAAACATAGCCTAAAGTTAATAACTGTGTTTTAATTAACAAACTCAACAAATTAATTATTTTCAACTATTCAGAAATATAGCAGTAGTAGAATTAATTATCATGAAGTATAGAAGATGCTTACCGTATCGATTTCACTAGAATGATGTTGTATAGATCCTGTAATTGTCGCTACTTTTGAATATGAACTTCGATCAATTGACCATGGAATCATTGCGCGTACAGCTGAATTACAATATGTTAAAGATCTTTTCTGACTAATATCAGACGCAAGTGCAACTATAATATACCATATGAGATGAAGTATATGTGATCCGAATCGCCCCACACAAATTAATAATCCAACAATTATACCGAGTATAGTCAACAGGATATCTGGTATTGTCATTTGACGTAATGTATTCCATGTAGAACATAACTGAGATGGTCGTACACAATGAAATATAACTGACAGTACATGTCCAATGAAAGCTAGGTGAGTTATTTCCAAAAAGCGATTAAATGCAGCAACCTTAAGTTGAATAAATTAAGATATTTAAAAAATGAACTTTCATGAGCAATCTTTGAAGTAAAATAACGAAAAATAAAACAATCCAACATTTTCTCACCATTAATTAGTATATTTGTTTCATGGACAATTGTTAACTAAATAATTTATGACACATTGTATTGATGAGGTTTTAAGTGATATTAATGTTTTGGTAATGAAGGAAATGTAAATCGTTTTCTGATAAGATCAATTTTAATAAGTTATATGTGTATGATTTAGTTCTGTCTAGATAAGTTAGTTAAATAAGCATATGTTTAGCTTGACTCAATAAAATACAGTATTTATGTTTTCCTGAAATGGGTAGATGAATCTTGCATATAACTAATCTACATTAATCAGTAAATATGTTCTTTCAATAACTCCACATAATATGATAACTAAAATTTTAATGTGAAACAAAACAACTAGCTAATCTAGATGAAGTGAATGAAAAGTATTTAAGGGGGAATCTTGAAACTAAGTAGAAAAATAGTTGAAAGTCTATGCACATTGCTGGATTTCAGAATAAGTTAGTACTATTTGTGGTTGTATTAATAGTTGTATCAAAAATTAGAAAAAAACAACCCACCCTATTCAAGGCTATGTCAGCTTCATCTCCATTAATTGACTGAGCATGTTGCATTTCAAATATGGTATCTTCACAGAAATTAACAAAACACTCTAATTTCTCTTTATCTCCACTTTCACCAACTACAGAATGTAAAAAGGACCTCTTAGATTCTTTAATTTGTGGTGCTTCCCATTGATCAATATGCTGTTGGCGTATTTCGAAGTAAACACGTTCAATTCGACCATTTGAACCGGTAATTTCTATTCTACCTAAATGTGGCTCGAATACGTCTAGTACTCCACGAGCTTTGTCAATTAATCTTTCCAATCTAGAGTGAAATGCAAAACAGTAAATAATAACGCAATAACCAATGTAACATTAACTATATATTTACTTTAAAGAAAAAGAGACTGAATCGGTAAATAATCTACCGTATATGTTAAAAAAAAGGTTTATTTATATTTCCTTTCATGATTCATTTGATAACTACTGATACTCTCACTAAAATATAGGCCAAAAGATAAACCTACGCGATTGGCCAAGATTTGACTTAATTTTCTGGGGAGGGAGACACGCTATTAGCTGAAAATATAGCTTTATATTCAAATGGGGAAAGACCTACATTTATGAATAAGTCTACATCTATTCTCGATCCGGTTTTAGTCAATAAGACTGTTTTCAGTCTCATTTTCCTCGCTCAGGGGGCTGGTTTGGGCTTAGTTATAGGAAAGTTTTTATACCATTATAAGATTTCAAGAACTACAACATAACAACTATTGTATCGAACTAATGACCATTATAGTTGAAAACTACTGAACGGTACTTAAACTGTGTATCTAGCAGTGTAGGTTTGAAAAGTAAAATTATCTTTGCATCAAAGGCAAATATCTACTTAAAGAGTTTTAAGATAATTTTTGGAAGTTTTTCAGATATAAATCCCTGTCTCAACATTTTATTTATCAAAAAACAGGTATCAATTAAACTAGTACAAACCATAAATCGTTCCTGTAGTTGGTCATTCTGGACCAGAACAAGTTAACATATGGTTGAAAACTGTATTAATGAATAATGTGCAATCAAGTTCTATACCCATTTCAATGTATGGATAACCTTACAGTCACGCATGTCAGCGTGTAGAAAAGACTATGAACAATGTGTTGATATATTACCATCATTATCCCTGGTATCCGCAAGGAACTTGAAATATTCTTGGTGAATTTTGTTTTTGTAAGATAGAAGATAAAATGAGCTTCATAGTAGTTATTGTGAAGTTAAAAAAACCCAGATAAAAATGGAACTTGGCCATCTTATATGAGAAATCCGGTTGTGTCTATCTAAAATCATCAGTAAGAATAATTTACAGATAACTCTGTGTTGTGGACTCATTACAAATGATCTTGAAATTAACGTGAAGGATAACAGGATATGATATACATGGAAATAATCTCATATTTTTATGATTTTTCACGGTTTATGATTAACTACTTTTGGTGATATTAAATCATATGAACCAGATGGTCTAATTGTGAAGTTTTATCGTTGTTCTACATAGCATTGCCAACTGATATTTTACTTAAACCTGAATACTATACTATCAGCTCAGAAAATTTAAACCGTTATTAAATATTTCTCTATTTAATCAATCTGGTTAACCAATAATAAACTAGAAAACATTAAAACTTTCTAATAGAAAATTATTATTTCTTCCATAAAATACAGTTATTTTTGTCAAATATCGATTTAATGGTTAACACATTAACGGTATTGTTGGAATATGGGAATGTAAAGAGGATGCTTCAATACAAACCTGTTGGTAAATGTTTTTGTATAAGTAGTGGAATCCACAACTAAACAAAATTCAGTCTTGAATATCAACAACGAGATAATACAATCTCTTAGGATAAAATGTCATGATCCTTGAACAAGGTAGTAGCGAAAAGCACTCGTTAGTTCAGTGAACAACACATTGAAGTTTGAAACAATACGTACTAGAATCATCTTTCTTTGTAAACAAAAACACTAGGATACTGGTAGAAACGACAGATTGCCTAATTCTAGATACTTCAAATCATATGATGTCTACCAGATGAATAGTCTCATTTGTCAACTACTCACGTTCAATAATATATTTAAGCTGTAAATGTAAAGAAAGAAAGCATTTTCAATCACTATGATATGTCAATATTCAAAAGAATAAAACCAAGTTATTATGTATTGATGAAAGCCTACCTTGGATCAGATGGTACATGTTCGGACAAATTAGTCAATAATAAAGCTAAATTGAAACCAATATCTTCAGCTGGATTGTAGAAACGTTCTGTGAATTCTTTAAAATCAACTTTACCATCTGCATTATTATCAACACATGCAATGATATAGTTAATCTCCTCACTAGAATGCAAAAAAATAAACAAAAAACCCTATTAGTATATCGAATCATAGGTGATGTGAAGTATTCTGTTGACAGGTTTGTTGACCATTTATTTTTTTAAGAGTGTAAGGACTCAATCTTGTAGAAAGTCTCTATAAGTGATAAAAATAAGGTTGGAAAAGAGACCGTTTTATAACTGAATTTAGAATAGCCAGTAATCAAGATAATTGTTATTAGTTAAAATCAATTAGCGGTCCATAGTGTCTTTCAACTACAATGATTATTATTGAATGGTAGACCAAATATTGTCTAGTTTTCAGTACTGATTAAATTCTGGTTATTATGTTGTAATATAGTTACCAGTCTAGGTGTTTTAACGAAGTGTGTAATATATATTGATGTTGGATGGTTGAAAGCAATCAGCAAGAAACCTTGGACTTATAATTCGTACTAAATAGCATCAGTCAGCACTGCAGCTCTAAAAACTAGCATGAAATGATATTACTTTCTACGCAGTGATTAATCATTGTACATATTACTTTTCTGTAAAACTCCATTCTCAGCCTGAACAGTTAAATGATAAAGTCTCTGATAGTCTAACGGAGTAACTCTTGTCCCAATGTCATAGGTGGTTCATTTAGGGTCAGTTGTCAATGACTGTTAAACTGGTTGTATTATTTACCATGATTTAGTTTAGCCGTTGATTATTTATTGCTGGTCTTCCTGAACGCCCTTGGAATCTTACTGAATGATAAATCACTTTCTCAGGACTAAAAAGCACGGTTGAAGAATGTTAATTTTATAACTTGATCTCATTTGTACTTAAATCAACCCATTTGGATAGCTTTGAAACACACTCATTTAATTTTCGGTATTTTTATTGAAGCAAATATAAACTGTCTGAATTTAATTGAAAAGGTTTATTTTAGGTCTCAATACTAATCGGCGGTAGCCAAACCACCCAGCAATCAGGTCACTAAATATTAGGCAGTTTACTGATCTTTATCAAGGTCAAAGAAAACCAACGCGCATCAATCAATTACACATTATGGATAAGAGCATGACGCAAAAGTCCCTCTTTGTCTATTGTACCTTTTCTTAATAATACATTTCTGTAATAGAGTTGTTTGTGTTATGCGGTCATCAAAGTAACAGTAGTACCTGGATACGACGAAAGGGTAATCCGCGTTTGGCTTTAATCTCGAGGTGTCGCTTTGACGTCACGTCATTCCAGTCCAACTCGAGTAGTCTCTAGACCATCCATATAGATCGCCTACGTTGGTGGTCTCCATTGCAACCTTCATGAAAGTTCAACAAGTAGATTTTTTGAGTGATATGACTTAATTTAATTCATAGTGCAGTTTGAAGCTGAATTTACTATTTATTTTCCTTAGCACTTCAAAGATAGTGATTATCTTGATTCTTTCTTATGCTCCCCATTCTTTCATGTCACTATGAAGACAGAACTCAATTTAAACTGATATCAGGAAGTGAATTGTTGAACAATAGGTAGCTGTGAACACCTAATTTATCCCATCATGAGACTCTTCGGAAGTGTATGACGCTACAACGCCACGTGGAACTGAACCCATTACATCCAAATCACGTGATGAACATGACATCATTGAGCTATTAAATCTGTACTGGAGGTTTGAAATTTTCAACTTCAACTAATTCAAGATTTAATGCAATTACTATATAATGCAATCGATAATAATTACGTTTCAAAATGTTTCTATCAGTTTAGTGTTCGTACGATTTCCAAAAAAAATGGTCAAGTTCAACTGTCGGCTTATTATTGAGATCTTAAACCGATCAATTTCAGTTTACCATTGAAAATCTGGAAGCACTGGGTGAGTAATTAAGGTGTCTCTTTAATAAAATAAAATGAAACTATCTAATGCATTTTATACTCTATAAAACATGATCTATGCTATTGATAAAAATTAATTAAATAAATCTTAATTCACCATATCAATAATTTAAATGTCAAAATATTATTCTTAGTCTTCATGACAGATTAATGATTGTTAAACAATGTAATTTATCTCCGCTTATCCTGGAAATAAACACAATAAAATAATACAAGATCATAAGCTGCTCTTATATGGAGTATCACATATACCAAAAATATGTGTCAAAGCAAGATAAATAAGATGCGTTGGAATAAAATATTTTATTTTATAGATGGTTTGAGGTTGTCTGACCTAACGAAGAAAAGAAGTCTAGTAATATTTCATATCATTTCCTCTGTATTAATCAATAAGGAAACTAAGTTTGATATTTAACATAATAATAAGTACATATGTTAAAACATCAACAACATATACTGCTTCATTATCCATGTATTTGAAAGTTGAAATACTTACGGTGAATAGGTTTTTTGTTGTTCTAAAGCTAATCGAAATTCTCTATGTGAAATCCAACCATCACCATTTACATCGAAAGCCTGTATATGAAAAAATGTAGACCAAATAATTGAATCATTACATTAAAAACTATCTCTTATTCGAGTTGAATAATTTACTATGGTTAGCTGTAGTGAATTTTAATTACGCTGGTCATAAAAAACACAATTAGTTTGGATACATTTTTCACAATGGACTGATATGAATTGATAAGTTATTAATAAAGCTGAAGAGCTCACGCATTCTAGTTTGAGGCTTGTTAGCACTGTTCAAATTTTTTACAACATGATAGGTATATGCTTATGATTTGCCCATTATAATTAGTGATGGTGCTACCTATGAACCCGAAAAAGCAACTATCAAAATAGTACATTTTCATAAAATATTACTGTTTTTTACTCTTCTATAAACAAAATGGTGTAGAAAACGTTTAGATAACAGAGCTGAAACAGTAACTCTGTTCATTAGATATCATTGCTAGAAAGGATTTAAATTATCCTTTCATTGACGGAATTTTAATCAGTCTTTATCGTCATATGTACGCTCCGTGTGGATTGCGAGCTCCTAGTATGATGAAATGCTCTTCCTAGATTTCACCATCAACCCATTTATTCTATACAAATCTGTTAACACTGAAAGATATAAAGCGAATAATTGGTGGGCGATGAATCACTTATCATAGGGCAAGTATATCATGGTAATGCTAAACTTTCGTGTTTTGTACATATATAACGGTTTCAATTACTTTATATATGTTATGGGTACAGTTGTTAATTGATTATGTTTTGCAATCTTTTAGACTGACATATGAAGACTAAAACAGTGCTTCACTCAATCGCTTTAGTATTTTGCCCAGTCAGTAGTCATATAATGAAGAAGCCAAAAAAATATGTGATGAAATTTCGATATGTCTTTCTTTATCTCTTGTTCTATAGTTTCTCGGGACAATTTTCGATGGAAAGTATAATAATTATTCAGTATTACTGTACGTTAGTTATGAACAGTTTTCACCTGCTCATAGTTCAATAGTTTCCTAAATAATCGTTTAATTAGATCATTAAAACACTATACGCTTCTATCAAAATACTTCTGTTCAGACATCACGAAATTCAATAAAAGTAACTTGAATATTTCTAAACGAAATTCTGGATTAAAGTCATGAATTTAACTGTATATTATCAATATCCGTTAGTCATAGGAATTAGAGAATGTATAAAATGAACCAGATAGATTTAATTGTGCAATGGCTTTCATATAATTACCATAATAATAATATTTTAATGTTATGAGATTGATGATTATCCTTTATAATAGATGTAAATTATATACAATTTTCAAAGCATTCAGTATTAGAAATGAATATGTAATTAATAGATGGATTAAAATTTAACTATTTATCCATGTATCAGATAATAGAAGAATATAATATTACTGTGACTTCACAAAATCGATTAACCGAAAAAAGAACAAAGGTAAGAAACATACTTACTAAAAATGCTTCAGAAGTAGTAATCACTTTCATTCGAAGGAAAATATCGAAAAATCTGAGAATCATCTAGAAAAGCAGTAAAAAAAATAATTCAAATAAATTGACTAGCTCACAGAACAAATACATCTGAGAAGAGTTTAAATGATAAAATTACAAAGAGCAGTACTAAAATAATAAGTTCAAGTTCATAATACACAGATAAAAAAAACAAATTGTAGATCGGATACAATTTTATATTGTAAATAATAATTGTTATGATCACAAAACTAAACAATATTTTAAAAAAATAGCTGGGCTAACAATTATTGAAGCTGTTTCAATAAATACTCCATCAGTTATAAGTACATTAGTGCACTTACACACATTTATCCAGTACTAATTTCCAGTATACGTTGATTAATGAATGTTATACTAAAGTGTTTGTTAAGTTTAACAAGTATTAAAAAACTTTTTTTAATGAAGACATAAAAGGAGTCATTAACTTTAATTCTGAATGACATCTACTAATCAAGATATGAAAAATAATAATAAAATTTATTTATTCAGAATGACTATCTACACGAATTAGTAATCAGATAGGAAAAAAAACCATATTGACCACCATTTGAAAGTTGATTTGTGATAACAGATTAATCATAGAGAGAAAAATCAGTTTCAGTCTAAATAGTTCAACGATTATCTCTACGTAATAAGCACCTTTAAAGAGAATATGTAAGGTAATTTGCCCGTACAAGCTAGAAACTGTGATTCTTGCACATTCGAACACCAAATTTCACAAAAACAATACAATAATTATATTCTTACTGAAAAAGACATGTCTTGTAACGTATTTGATAAATTCTAATGAACGAACAGGTTATAAGATAATTATGAATAAACTAGATAAGTGTATTTTAAAATCAAGTGACTTTATAACATTAGATTTTTATTTAAAATACAATTAGTCTGATATTTATTTTCATTAAAACCAATTCATGTACATGTTATATCCCGGTACGAATAATGAATGGTAACTTTTGGGATCCATTTATGGACCAACACTATGAGTATATTTTTGTCGTGTAATTGTTATGTCACTATACTGTTCATATTCATGTCCCTCTTACCATGAGGTTTATTTTGACCTATGAACTATTATTATACGATTTATCATTCTTGAGTTATGGCCTGTCTATTAATTACTATCTCCCTCATTCACAGTCACTTTTGGCCAAATATTGTACAAATGTAATTTTCTATTTTATGGTACGTTGTGGTCGGTTTGATTGGTATATAAACCCCGTATGTTTGAAACAAATGATTCATATCGTAGAGGCTGAGATTGGTGTTCTGGGCTAAGCTGGCTGGGCTAGACAGGGAAACAGGACCAATCAGGACTCTAGGTTGCTCGCACGTGTTTTATGCGTCACTGATTCGATCGATAATTCGCTGCTCTCTAATAGGTGTTATCGTTGCTTTATCCAATATACAGGGCACACAGATCCACAAATTATAACAGTACAATAAACTGTTTGATGAAAGCATCCAATATTGATAAAAGAAAGTTGTCGTTGACAAGATGAAGAATTCATGACAATTCGTAAGTGAAAGGTTAGCAAATTTTCGTAAGTCGGTTATAAAAGAGATTACATTCAAAAATTTTATAGTCAAATGGAACGCAAGTTAAGTGGTCATCAAATCGATGGTTAAGATTTTAATATGATCACAAACAACTTTTTAGTAACAAATTCAATTAATGAAGTCAGCCTGTATTTTCAAAAGGTAAAGAGCACAAGTTTATTTATACTCGAGTAGCAGTTTTTTTAATGAGCCAGTTATGAGTATTAAGCTAAGATGTACGATTTGTAGTTAAATTTTTTGATAACTTGTTGTCCAAATAATAAAGATTTTTCAAAAATTAAGGCATAAATTTATTTATTTACTGGTAAATCAGTTTCTAAGTATTGTACGCAGAGATAAGTTAAGAAATATTAATACGAATATAATAATGATAAATACCTCAACATTAGCCGAAGATTCAATTAATGTATCAACCATTTGTTTAGCAATTGGCCCATTGACAACATTTCCTTCAAGCATAGATAACAGCATAATCATCAATTCTTTTTGTAAATTGAGAAATTCTCGTAATAAATCTAACTGATCAGGATCACGACTTAATTTATCTTGCATTTGTGCTGAAACATAAATAAATCCAGCTACAGCATCCCATAAACGACTATGGGCTAATGCTAGTTGATTTCCAATACATGGACCCTTTAACATTTCAAAAAAAAAAAAATCATTAAGTGTTTTATGTCTTAAAAGTATCAAGTTTTTAAATAACAATACCTGGTGTAATTGATTAATAATAAAATGTTCATGATCATACTCTATTGAACGAAGACTTCATTAAACACTTCATTTGCAAATCATCCATCAGTTGTCTTTTACATCCTTCATGATCCTTCCAATCCTCAATTATTTTGTGTTTCCCTTTTCTGTTTTCTTCAGTTCAATCTTCACATCTTTACGCAGCCAGGCATTCCATTTCTGATTGATGTTACATACTATTTATGTCTGTTGACACAAGTAGCATACACCACAGTACCAGTACTCTGTATATCGATATTGCATTAAATTATAACCGACTGAAATATCGTCGTCATTGTGGTGATTTATTTCTTTGAAATTAGTAGACAAATAAACGGTTTAATCAAAGGTACATGATGAACTAGCTTATAGAGTTTTCATAGATCAGTTATGACACGACAGAATTTCATAGAAGTCGGACATTCTTTGACTACCTCTGCGAAAATCATAATAATTTACCAATTTAAAATGGTAATCCTGAGGTTAAATTGACTCGTGAAACCGATAAGTATGGAGTATCATAAGATAATAGCTGGTTAGTACTGAAATATAATTTTTATACATTCATGTAGTTGAAGAAAATACTAATCGAAAAACTTGAGGATTATTGATTACATTATTGTTATTCGCTCCGGTAAATTGTTTCTCTTTTAGTAATAAGACAGAAATGTTGGACAACGTAAAGCGTAATACTGTTAGTGAAAATTAGAATATAATAGTTTTAAATAAAATTTAGGGGTATTAATCATTGCAATATTAATTTCCTTTTCAACTAGACACTAATTTCCAATAGTCTTCATCATAAAAAATTATAAAATGATTGATCAACGTTTCTTATTGTTTTTTATAAACTTTACAAGCAAATGATAAGACTTCTTGGATAAATATCGTAAATTGTAAGAATTAGAGTTTTATACTAATAAATAGTTTATTAAATTAACATATTGTCAAGTCAAGGCAATACTATAGATGTCTTGCAATTAATTATAAAAATGATTCTTCGATGAGTTAACTAAAAGTATTACACATTTAGCATTCATTTTAAAATTTATGATGAATTAATAAGGAAGACAAAAAGGCTCAGACCTTTATCTGCTAAACAGGTTGAATATAAATTATTGTTAAATTACTTAATTATTGGTGAGTTACTTGAGTAGTTTTCGTAAACGGAACATACCCACTAAGACATTAAATAAGAAAGATTAGTTCAGCGAAGAGTTCTTTTTGGCGAATTCATTTTCGAGGCCATACAATCTCAAATATATATACTTATTTTACGGGATGATAATAATTATAGTAATACTGATAATAAACTTCTGTTAGGCATGGTGACAGTGAGGTTAAATAAAGGTATTGAAAAACTTACCTGCTCATGTGGAGCTAGGTATATAGGTCGTTCGATACGTACTTTATCTAAAAGAATTCAAGAACATTATCCAGCATGGCTAAGAAAAGGAGGAAACGGCTCAAAAAGGAGTTCAATAATCGAATCCCTTGTGAACACAGGTCACTCATTCAAGACTGACTCTGCGTTCAAATTCATCTACAAGATAAGTAGAAGTCTTCCAAAGACAATTAGATTGTATCTTCTTTGCATTGCCGAAGCAATAGCCATACATCTGGAAAAACCAGAATTGTGTGTGCAAAAGAGATTTGTACAACCTCTTCTTCTACCATAATCTTAATATCTTATAATTTTTTTCTTCCTTTACTTTCTTTCTTCATACTCTTCTTCCTTTAAAGCCATCTGCTTCATCTTCCATCTTCCCCCTAAATCTTCTACCCCCAACTGGCTTATTTCTGTTTCTTCGATCCTCCTGATTACATTTAATCTCAATTTCAACATTTTATTTTATCGTGCTGAGCCATTCTTTTCCCAATGATAATTTCGCTATCTATCATTTGATGAATACTTAAGCCATTAACAATCAAACGTTATTAAACTTTCATTGTTTTAAATTTTTTTAATATCTGTTTATTTTACCTCACTGTCACCATGCCTAACAGAAGTTTATTATCAGTATTACTATAATTATTATCATCCCGTAAAATAAGTATATATATATTTGCGATTGTACGGCTTTGAAGATGAATTCGCCAAAAGAGAACTCTTCGCTGAAATAATCTTCCTTCTTTAAATAGTTTTGTCAAACCATCAGTGATAAATAATAGAAGTACTGATAGTATAGAATCTCTTGTGGAGATTGACCAATTTGTAATTTACGCCATATAATGAATTTAGCTAGACAAACAACAGAAACCAGAAAGCAATGAACAGCTTGCCGCACTACATGGTGTCAGTTTCTAAATCTGGTCAGATCGTGTTTGCACACTATTGATAAGGCATGTTAGGAAGAAGCGACCATTCAGAGATTATTTGCACGGACAGGCCTTATTACGGGTAAGTAAAAGATAGGGAAACGTCATTTACATCTAAAGCGAGTCATTGGGTTAATTGTATAGACAGAGTATAGAGAGAAGAAATGCACATCTTTTGTGGATGTTTAGATTACCTTATTCATACAAATTTATGTGGCCTTAGCTCTACGTTGTGTAAAAGGTAGGTTTAATTGGGTTTGACAGGTGACTTTAAAAAGTATCCTTCATCAGTGTCTATCTTGAAATACGAATACATGCCAGAAGCTTGGTATTATTCCAATTTGTCCCTCTCTTAACCACAAAGTCTAACGTTCAAATGTCCCTTAACAAACTTCCCCAATCACTACGTTTAATGTTTAATTAGTTCTATTGTTCTTATCTGTTGTTTACACATGACTAATAGAGTTCATCCATGTAGGGTGCAAGACAGTTGTTCATCGAAGGCAACGGAAGTTGATCGAGCAATAACGCTAGTTAACTGAAGTTAAATATGTACACCTTTTGATCCTGGCTCATCAGTTTTGAGATTAAGCCCACGCTATGAGAGCCAAAGATCCTAGGTTCAATCACTTGTGTTGGGGTCCTAGATGTGTTCTGTAGAAGAGTCCCATGTTAGGATCAATGCTATATGGTTTTCAGTGTTTGTCTTGCTAAGATCGGTCCGCTATCTGAGATAAAAATTTAACAAAAAAATGTGTCACACCGTTTCGTCTGTATTCTTTCCTTCTTCAAACAACTAGTTGAAACATACTTGTATATATTCGGTTAAACTACGAAACACTTGTTTGCCAATTTTGATAGCGCGAACAAAACTATTTTTGCCTGATTCATCAATTGTATCTTTATTGGAATAATGCCAATAGAAATCCATAATGGATTCTTGTAATCGTAATAAATAATCAACTGTCGAGATAATCAGATTCACGGATACAGTATTACCAGCTTGTGTACGTAGATAATCTTGAAAGGCTGTACAAAATAAATGATGAAGAAATATTTTAGAAGTAAATTCACAGTAATACTAGCGAAAATGAATGATATGTATTTTACTAAATATCAGGTGATATTATAAAAACAATTTCATTACATCTATCTCAAGAGTAAGGATGATATTTGACTTACACTTGTTCTGTGGACAGAGAATCATTTGTATTCCATTTACCGAGTAATAATCAAAAAAAGTAAATTGTAAACGGTAAATTACTGTAACAGAATTATGACTTGCATCAAAACTTACTGAACGGTAGTAATAATAGCAAAATCCGAGGAAAGTAGTCAATGAATAGAATTAATTTTTAAATAAAGACAAATGGAAAATGAGTAAGTGACCAAAATGAAACAGAAAAAGAATAAGTACATTTTCAAGATTGAGGAACATGCTCAGAACCCGATTAGTAAAGTGAAATATTTCTGGGTTTACTTTGATCAACTAGTTGCTTAGATGTAACAGAACAATAAAACATAATTTCATTACTGTCTGTGACTTGACGAGGGACCCAACCAAAGATATTAAAGTAGCGTGATAAACAGTTGGTCTTTCTACTATTGAGTCAGAAAAAACCGTTCACATTTTCGACTTAAGTCAATTTAGAAGACTGTATTGTCGGTATCCAATATCTTCATGATGAATTAGCGTCTTATTTCCCTTTGGCTAATTCTAAAGATTACTGAGTCCCATTAATGATTCAGAATATCCCTTTTGAAGCTAGTTATAAATTAACCCCTAATCAAATGTGAATACTTTTGTGCACTATCAAGTCAATCTTCATTAATGACGTCAACTAGCTACAAAAAATCGGCTTTAAAATGTACAAAATTTCCAAAAAAATGTCCATTGAAATAATAATGGTAATATTGACACATATATTACATCATGGCTGAATTAAGGATAAGAGTATGTGTATCTTATTTATTTATCACTATAACTTGAAGACTGAAATACCAAATTATTATAAAATAATTAATTTTACAATATTTTTTCAGTAGAAATATTCAATATTATTAAATTACTTACCTAGATTATGTCCTTCACATAGTAACTGTAAAAATCGAAATATTTTACAAGTGAATTCAGCATCATATAAGTTAGTTATTCCTTCCATGTCGGACAGACCAACAGCTAATCCTTCAGCTTTATTACATCTAAATAACAGTATATTAATAAAAGAACAGTCAAATTAAGCAATTATTAGTAAATATGGCTCGTAAAAAATGTTGAATGTTACTGAGATCACTACTCGACTTAAGTTTGATAACCACTCATTGAAGTTAGGCATGTCGACCACTAGATACCTCCCCATTGGTCTACATTTTAAGCTATCATCATGAGACCTGGAGGTCACGGGTTCGATCCCAGAGAGGTTGTGTTTTGTCACTGGCGAGAAGTCCAATACTTGGATAAACAGGCTGCCAAGTACTTTCTGATTTTCAACGGTTGTCTGACTTAGGTCACTTCGCGACCTTAATAAAAATCAAACAATATTTATTTGCAAAAATAATGACGTAATTTTTGTTCTTTGCTTTGTGGAAGATAATGTAAAGATAATTGTTATATCCTAGTGGAGATTAAATTACAGATGACTTCTGAGAACTATTAATGGAATAATATTCTATAAATATTCTTATGCGTATTTATATCCTTCTTATTATAAGCTTCATTTTGACCTATAATTTATTATTATACGATTTACTGTCCCTAAATTATGCTCAGTTTATTAACTACTGCCTCCCACGTTCACAACCACTTTTTAGCTTAATTGTGTACAAAAGTTATTTCCTATTTTATGGTGCGTTGCGGTCTGTTTGCTTGATATATAAACACAGTATGTTCGAAATATATGATTCGCATATTGGAAGCTGGTATTGTTGTTCTGGACTCAAGTGGACGGGCTAGGCCGACATAGGGAAAGACACCTAGGTGGATCTTATGGTGTCGTGGCTCAAAGAACAGATAATGGCGACCGTCTGTTGCAGCTATGCTCAGATAACCGCCTGTTCCTTGCAAATACTAACTTTAAGCATAAGGAAAAACATCTTTTAACATGGCGACCCCCTAATTCGTCCCAACGTTGGACCCAAATAGATCACATCGCTATCAGCCACCGATGGAGGGGCTCGATAGAAGACTGTCGCTCATTCTGGAGCACATGCCTAGATTCAGATCATGCTCTAGTGCGAGCGCGTATTTGCTTGCGTCTTACTGGACGTAGGAAAGACGCTGCAAGGAAACCTCTTAGGGCCCTACTTAATGATAGTCAAGCTAAGAGTATATTTCAGGAACAACTAGGAAAACAGTTAGGCAGCCATGTATGTGATGCCCACCCCGATGCAGCATGGAATGATATCCGAAAAGCTGTGGAAACAGCAGTGATATCTGCTAGTAAGGTAAACCAGAAGGTTAGGGAGCAACACTGGATCTCAGCAGCATCTATCGCACTGATAGATGCTCGGAAACTCATTCCACCTGGCTCTGAACATAATGAAGAGCGGAGTCAGCTTAAGCGCAAGCTGACAAGAAGTCTACGCAATGATCGCGAACAGTGGTGGGTAGCGAAAGCAAGAGAGATGGAAAAGGCAGCGGCAATAGGTAATAGCAGACAATTGTTCAGACTCGTTAAGGAAACCGGAATTAGGAACCCGACCGTTAGCGAAACAATCTCAGAGAAAGATGGACATATTATTCATTCTCAATCCAGGAGATTGGATCGATGGGCAGAACACTTTAGGGATCAGTTCAACTGGCCTTCAGCCACACTTCGGTTTCCCACGATCTCCAGTCAACCTGAATGGCAAGTTAATGTAGGTCCTCCGTCCCTTTACGAAGTTGAAAAAGCCATAGGAAATCTGAAACGAGGGAGAGCAGCAGGCCCTGACAGGTTTACTCCTGAGATTTTTAAGGATGGTGGTCCAGTATTAGCAATGAGATTAACCGAGGTCTTAGGTAGAATTTGGGAACTGGACGTAATCCCATCTGACTGGTCTCAATCACTGATTGTGCCAGTTTATAAGAAAGGACAAAAGTCCTCTTGTGACAATCACAGAGGAATCAGTTTGACTAATATAGTGTCTAAAATATTAGCTTCAATAATACTTCGACGCCTAATCAAAGCTCGTGAAGAGCAGATTAGAGAAAACCAGGCTGGTTTTCGACCTGGACGTGGTTGTATAGATCAGATATTCACACTACGTCAGGTTCTAGAACACAGACACACATTCAGACGCCCCACAATGGTAGTATTTCTCGACCTTAAGGCGGCATTCGACTCTGTTGATCGTGAGGTTCTATGGCAGTGTTTGTCACTGAAAGGAGTACCAAAGAAGTACATTAACCTTATAAAGGCTCTCTACTCGAACACAACTGGTCGAGTGAGAGCTTATGGCGAACTGTCATCAGAATTGATTACCTCAAGTGGTGTTCGTCAGGGCTGTCCACTCTCCCCATTCTTGTTCAACTTTGTGGTCGACGTACTTTTAGAGATAACACTCTCCTCATCTAAATTTCCAGGGGTTGAACTTCTACCAGGAGGTTCACTTGTTGACTTAGAATATGCTGATGACATAGTTTTATTTGGTGAAGACGCTGACAAAATGCAGAGTCTTCTGACCACTCTAAGCAACAATGCAAGCATGTTCGGGATGCGATTCTCTCCCTCGAAATGCAAAATGTTGCTTCAGGATTGGGTTACATCGACACCCGAACTAGTGATAGGGAGTGAAGTAGTTGAGTGTGTCGACCGCTTCACTTATCTTGGAAGTCTCATCAGCCCTTGTGGTTTAGTGTGTGACGAAATCTCAGCACGGATACAGAAGGCTCGACTAGCTTTTGCCAACTTGCGTCATTTATGGCGTAGGCGAGATATCCGTCTATCAACCAAAGGACGTGTTTACTGCGCAGCAGTTCGTTCCGTCCTACTTTATGGCAGTGAAACATGGCCGGTAAGAGTAGAGGATATTCGTAGGTTACTAGTATTTGATCATAGGTGTCTTCGAAACATTGCTCGTATATCATGGGACCATCGAGTAAGTAACACAGTTGTTAGGAAACGGGTACTAGGTAAGGATGGCAAATCAATTGATGAAGTAGTGAAACTTCATCAGTTGAGATGGCTGGGACACGTGTTACGTATGCCCAACGACCGACTGCCTCGACGTGCTATGTTCAGTGGTATAGGAGTAGGTTGGAAGAAAGCTAGGGGCGGCCAAACCAAAACATGGCACAAGTCCATGAAGTCACTGACAAGTGAACTGAGTCATGTTGGTAGGTGTAGACTACCTGGTTGGGGACCGCGAGATGATAGCAACCGATGGTTAGAGACCCTGAATGACATGGCTCAAAATCGTTTGCAATGGCGCAGGTGCATCCACTCTCTGTGTTCTCCCAAATTCTAATCTTCTGAATCCTTCATGTCCCTTTTTTCCTCTTTCCAAATTTATTTCACTGGATTATACTCTTTAAATAACATCTCCAAACCCTAATCTTCCCGATTACTGCTTATACTCTTATTACCTCTACCACTACGGGATTTGAATCGACAACTGCATCTCTGTGCTAATGTGGTGTGGCAACTCGAACTGATGTACGTACGTACGAAGTTCTACGTTGTTACTGACTGACTGACTGACTGACTGAGGACCAATAAGGACACTAGGCTGCTCATTCCGGTCGAACGTCATTGGTTTTGGCACAGTGCGAAGATTGTATAAGTCGTATTTTGATTGATGGATAAATCACGTGATAAAAAGTCGAACATAAAGTCATAACAATAATTTACCAATATTCATAAACGAAGAGTATTTGAGCGAACATTTGTTTTCAATAACTTCATCATCAGGCTCTACAGTTATAAGTCCATAATTATAATATTTTACAAAGGCCAAAAATAAGGCATGTTTTACTGAGTTTGACAATGTTATGTGTTAAAAATGGTGAACGTTTGCATCTGTTACGATATATATATACTTCAAAAATTGTAATATTTGCAAATTAGAAAGGTCATTCAATAAAGGTCAGTAAATTGTTCAGTCACAATAAGATAATAGTACTATTGCAAAATTGAAAATGCAAAAAAAATAATTTTGTCAACTGAGATAATAATAATATTGTTGCGTGAATATAAGGGGGGTGTTATCAAGGTAATTACGGTCAACAAATTGGGAATGATGGATATGAAGATTAAGATATAGATAATGACAAATAATGATAGTAAGGAAAATAAATAAAAATAGAGGAAGGGGTAAGAGGTTTATAATATTCAGTCTAGGTATTCGGTGATCCAGTCGTAGGCCAGGGTAAACATAGAGGCTGGATATATTTTTTCTGGATGCATAAATTAGGTCTTCTGGAGTTGATCCAGATGGCTCCGGCTGTGTAAAGCAGTCGTAATCTAGCTCCTTGAGGTAGATAATTTGGAACTTGGTATAAAACAGAGAAAGCTTCATCTATTTTGATATGATGTTCACTATCAACCAAGTGAGAAAGAATGGTGCTGTTAATCGATTTGGTGACTCCTTTTCCCAACCATGCTGGTACATGTTCACGAACACGCAAGGATAAAGCCCTCTGAGTACGGCCTATGTAACTAGCTCCACAGGAGCAGTTGAATTGGTATACACACATGGAGGAGCCCATCTTCGGTAACTTATCCTTGATTAGTTGTGTAAGTACTGGTTTAGTCGAGAAAGTTATGTGTAACTTGGCGGCATGAAACGTCCTCTCGACAGACCTTTTGAGTCGACGTGTTAGAATATCACCCGCTATGTCGCCTTTAAAGTCAAGTTTCAGATATAAGGTCTTTTTTTACTGACTGTGTCGCAATGTCTTCTCTTTTTAATACTTTGTACGAGGTATTTTTTAACGAAATTATCAGGATAGCCATTATTACGTAATGTGTTCTTTAGTATAATTATTTCTTCCTCTACACTGTCTTCAGAACATAATAACTTGATTCTGTGGTTGAGACACTTAACCATTTTCAATTTTGCAATAGTACTATTATCTTATTGTGACTGAACAATTTACTGACCTTTATTGAATGACCTTTCTAATTTGCAAATATTACAATTTTTTGAAGTATATATATATCGTAACAGATGCAAACGTTCACCATTTTTAACACATAACATTGTCAAACTCAGTAAAACATGCCTTATTTTTGGCCTTTGTAAAATATTATAATTATGGACTTATAACTGTAGAGCCTGATGATGAAGTTATTGAAAACAAATGTTCGCTCAAATATTCTTCGTTTTTGAATTTACCAATAAACAAAAAGCTATATAGAAATAAATACTTATTATGTTTTACTTCAAACGCCTAACGCGTGGTCCACTGATCTACTAAGTACAACCAGCAACTGACATGTTCAACGGTTATCCATTTCATTCAACTTAAAGAGGTCCAAATTATTTTGTTGTTGATAACACGAACTTAAATTTCATCGTGTTTGTTTGTATATATGCATCCCTTAAGAATTACTTCGATAAACACATTATGATACAAGTTGCATACGAATAAGTATCTAAAATATTCTATTTATTTTTCAATCGGATTTCTGTATTTTATTGGAGAATACTTTCACGTATTTACAATTGATTGATCACTGGTTGGTGATCAATGTCATGTATGTCAGATCCTTCTTATTGCAGATCGAATCCTATCGACCAAGTTGCAATGTGGCCACCAGTCTAGGCGACTCGACATTGCGTGCACTATGTTGAGATAAGATAATGGTTGGAGGTATTCAACAGGAGTGGATTGGTTTTTTCCAATTGTTAGTCCAAGACAGATCAAGTGAACATTAAGTGTTAAATTAACTAAATCGATCTCACATTCTATTTAGAATAACATTTATGTTTTTTTCTTGTTGGTTTTAAGAATTATTGAATGGCGTGTGATACAGACAAAATATTAACAAAGTATTGTTCAAATTTTTTAAGTTAGTGATTTGAAAGATAATGTTTTCCATTACAAACTAACTTATTATGGTGTTTCTTATTTCATATACCATTCTAAAACGTAACCAAGTTCAATCAGCAACTTTAATATGCTCATAATGTTAATACACTTATTCAAAATTATTCAAACAAAATAAAATTGTTTACATCACACGCTGATCTAAGTTAAACGACCACTGTAAATCAGGAAGCAGTGAGCAGTTATCTTATCCTAATACGGAGCACCACAGCAGTACAAATCAGCAACACTACTGGGTAAAAAACTTGGGACCTCTAGTCTTATGGTTTCGCACTGCTTAGGACTCCTGTACTATAACGAAACTGTTATCTAATGCTTTCTGATTTTCTCTAATTGTTTTAACTAAAATGGATTCGTTAAAATGTAAAAGTTCCCACAAACTCCCTACGCTGAGATAAAATAGCCACAATGTCAACAGTAAGAATCCATAAAATTAATTTTCTCACCTTTCAAATGTATCCAAATCTAAAACGGAACATTTTTGTGTTAAACCAGCCAAACTTGTGAAAAAACCAGATAATTTCTTTTTCATTAAATAATCTAACATTCTTCCTTGAACATCAATATTACCGCCAAGTAGTAATGCTATGCCTAATTCAATACTGGCTTGAGCAACTGGTGTGGATTCACCTTTAACAAAAATTTATTAGATATAACATTAGAAAAAAGGGGGTTAATTAAATCTAAATCGGACAATGAGAGTGAGAGAGGTTAATGCCTAATCTTCTTCATATTAAATAAGGACATCATTTCTTTGAAAAGTTAACAATATTTAGTGCTAAGATGCTCCTAAACAATCATAGAAATTTTAATGTGATATATATATAACGTAATCCTTCTAAAAACGTACCTTTTGATGCAGCTAACTGTAGTAGAACCATTTCGGCTGCACCACGTTCTGCAAGACGATTTTGTTCACTCAACAACTGCTGCTTTTGTTCTTCTTGTTCCTAAATGGTTTTTTATTGATTAGATGGAAGTATTAAGGTATAATAACATAGACTGATAATAGTTATCAGAATAATCGATTCGTTTGTATTAAGGAATAGATTTAGCTGGATGACAATCAGAAACCATTATTTTTCATTCTAGTTTGAGACTCGTCAGCAGTGAGTTCCACTACCCATAGATTTTACTGGTGACCCAGTTAAAATGTCAGTCCATGATGTAAGTTACTGAAAGTCTGTTGATAGTGTTTTGTAAACATATAAAAACCCTAGGCTAAGGATGCAGTTTGAATTCATAAGAAAATAACAATGGACGCGGATGATAAAATAACACGTTTTCTGATGTTGATTTATCCTTCAATAACTCGATAACGACTGAATGTAGAGAACTCAAATATTTCGGTAAAGCCAAGTTCCATGAAACCTCTGTAAGCAGTAAAAGATTACCATTTAACATTTTGGTGTATTACTGGTTCTTCTAAACCGTCACAGTTATATATGTCTCAGTCTATGCATATTTATTCAAAGTTCACTAATTATTTATTCTTAAAATGTTTATCAAGGGATCAAGCATGTGAGATTAGTTACTAATCTTTATTAGCGATGATATTGTTAACTTCACATTTGTTAAATTAGTTTCATGTCGTATATCAGTGAGTAATCAGTGATAATGAGTTATACTGAATTAAAGTTTACTTAACAGTCGACCAGTAATTGATGTATAAAAATAACCAGGAATAAGTTTTGAAACACAAATTGTGGTTTGTTAGTCAAAATAAACTCACGAATATTACTATATTTATTCTCATTTATGTCCCAAGTTTTTGTATATGATCTCTGAATGGAAACATACACTGTAGATAATCTATGGGTACTCAAGTTTCTGTTGACAATTCATCATTAGATAATATTAACCAGATAGACATTGCGCTATCACGTCTACATCTGTTAAAAATATATTTATTCTATTATTCCATAAGATATTAGTTGAAAACTACCAAGTGTTATGAAAAACACAAAAAACTAGTATTTTTGATAAATTTACCTGAAAACTAGAACCTTCTTCATTGCTGTTCTCCTCTTCCTCTTCTTCATCCTCACCACTACAACTCTAAAAAACAGTTTTGAAAAATAACACATTTTTAATGAGTGGTCCCTTTTCAAAAACGACGTATTTGTGATTTTTCTGGCTAACTTTTCGAAATGTTCCTGTGACTTTAAAGAATAGATAATGTGAACGATGATAGTGTTTCCAATAAGTTTTCATCAAGTCCTACAGTCATAACGTTAAAATGAATAAACCAAAATGATAGACAAAAAAAAATGAAATAGGTATTAATACATAGTGAGACAGTTAAATATTTACACCAATTTACTTAACTTACTTTGCTCATGATTTTAGCATAAGCTAAATATAGTGGATCATCTGGAGCTTGATCAGATGCTGAACGGCATAGAGCTGTTAATAATTGTGTCAGTGGGTCAGGCTGACATGAAGATGAATCTTGTCCATAAGTATATTGATTTGAAGAACTATTAGTTGTTTGTAAAGAACCAGTTTGTAGTAGGCTAGCTGATTTATTACTATCTGAACTGATAGACGTTCCAGGATCATTGTTTGTAGTTGATAGATCCAACTCTAAAGTTGAATCCATCATATCTAAGTCTTGAGCTGTGCCAGTTTCAGCTTTATGATGGGAAATAAAAATAAACAATTATTACGCATGTAGCGAATTTCGACATTCTTTTCTAATGAATTAACGTAATTTATCCACATTAAACACAACGAGTTAAATAAAATTGGAAATAGTAGTCGACTTCTGGATGGTACGTATTCACAACGACATTACTGCAACAACCGCATCTATTACAAAAATCCAAGTTTTTCAGATGCTATTTAGTATTTCTCTTAAATTCAACTGTTCACAGTTCTGGACCGCAATCCCATATCAATGTAACTCAATTCAAACTTACTATCAACAGTGAAAACTATTCAATGCTCAACATAATTAATTCCACTAACGTCAGCTTCGCATTAGGACTCTAGGGAATCCTTTTAGACGTCAGTGGATAAACGATTAGCATCTGTTGTATTTAATTAGTTTTAAATGAGTAAAGGTTTAAAAATGTTGGAATATAAAAGGGTAAAATACAGTATTTTGGGGATCGTGAAGTTTACTATTTCTTATTCAAATACTTAAGTGTTATATCAACTCCATCATATAAAAATATATCTACTACATTACAATAAATAAAAAATAGATGAGAATATTTAAATACCAAACAACTTAATCACCAAATAAAAGGGATAACTCTTTAAATAATAAAAACGTATAACACATACTATCTGTACTTTTCTGAACACCTTCAATTGCGTGGACAGTGCCAGCTATAACTTCATTAGTTCCCCCTGTTGATGGTAATTCATTTGATTTGGATAAATCTTTCAGTAATGCACCACTTGTCACATCTTCAATTAATTTCACACCTAATGATTCTTCATAATCTAACCATTCAGTTATGTAGCCTTTTATGAATAAATTCATTACACGATGAGTTGGCATTGCATAAAGTGGTACCATACGAAAACATGCCATAACGGCACGTTTACGTTGAGAGGAGACCAATTTCTTCCAAGAACCTTTACTTATTGCTGGTGGATGATCAACCTGAATTTAACAATAAAATATTTCCAACATTCAAGTTGGAAATAAAAACAAGCCATATAATTAGAATTCAATTATTCACGTAATAAATATAACACTGATTCATGTAAAGAGAATATTCTTCTAAATAAATTCTCTTTAGGTTCTACAGTTATGTATCCCAAAATGTGATCAGGCTTAAGGTTAACGCATAGTTATGGCATGTGAATTGAAGATCGTTCGCAAAGTAAAAGAAACTGTTAGTGCTGAAATGACTAATATGTGATGTTAACCTGAATAGGTTTATACGCTGAATGAGATAATGAGATAGATGACCAGAATAAAAATTGATCGGTTGAGGTGAGAGTAACGCAATTACAAATTCGATCAAATGTTTGGTGGAAGACTATACTGTGTATCAAGTTATATGAATTCAATAATAAATGATAAAGTGGGGTGAGTGCTAAGTAAACTAATCGTGTTCGGAAGATTAGTAGTGGTGCTGAATCAATAATAATAACATTAATAATAATAATACGAAGATATGTGAATGGAAACAACGAAAACTAAAGTATTATAACTATAGTGTTTTAGAGGCTGTCGAGCTTCATTGAGATCATGAACCAATCAATGTTAGACCACCACTAGAAACTTGGAAGCACTGAATGTCCAAATAGTCCTACTGTGACACTCCTCACGAGTGCCCATCCACGATCCCGCACGTGGGACTCGAGCAAAGTGCATTCGATCTCGCGCGCGAATGCCTAACCTCCAGATCAATGAGCCGCTATCTGACGGTGTCCATGTCTAACTTCAATCAGTTCACGATTTGAGCAGTCATTTCTCAACGTCTTCTTTTGCACACGTAGTTCCGATTTTTTAATCCGTGTGGTTAGTGCTTCTGTCTTTCGGAGGATTTTGAATCGAACTGACTAGGACAGAATATCGTTAACCCTGAAAGATTACTGAAAATAGTTGACTTATTCTGCATCCATGACCAGTTTGCACTAAATGCACTAGCATTGAACTGTGCTTGTGAACACCTTCCGGTGTGGCTAATCAGAGTTGTAATGAAGACCGTAAACACCTCATTACTATTCCATTTAGTTCAGACTACGTGTGCAAAGAAATACGTTCAATCCCTTCTCTTACTTTGACCAACCTCAGGGCCAATATATCAATACTAATCTTAATTACAGAGTGACCTAATTCAACTAATATATATACAAAATTTTTGGTGAAATATTTTTGTCTTTGTTCACATATCCTCGTATTACTTTATTATTACCACTGAATTACTAAACGATCATATAAATCAAGGTTATGCTGCACATTTCTTTGGTGTTCATGAGATTTCTCAAGAAAAATATCTTCCATAGAGGTAAATAGTGTATGAAAGTAGTAAATATTGAAGTAGCTTAAATTTCCTTACATTATGTTCATACCACTACATTTTGCATATTTACTGAGCATACAACAATAAACACATACGGGTAGGTGTTATGTTTGGTGCTTACCAAGTAAAGACCGTGCATTACTTTGGATAAAATTTGAATCTTGTCAACTATCTCTGATCTTGTTGATGTTGCAAGTTCAGCATGTCGGCCGGTTGCTGCAATAGTTCGATCAATTTTTTTATATAATAATTTCTGCCAGTTTTGAGTTCTATGATCAAGCTAAAACAATGTAATTGACAAACATTAAGTGCGTTGTAAGAAACGATTATTATTCTTGTTCTTAACTTATTATTACAACAAGCTTTATGGATACATTTTTCTCACTAAGCATTTTACCTTAAATAAACATTTTTTGTTCACTAATTCAATATTAATCTACCATGAATTTAAACAACGTAAATGATAGTCGTTGAAATAAAAAAAATAACCTAAACAATTCAATTTCAAAAGAATAAAGGCAATGTGACTCAATATATAGATGACGTAGAGAATAGGTTGATGAATATTATGAAAAAATTTCTTTTAAATACCTAGAAAATATCCACAAATAACTGAAAACCATACATAATCAACTATGGATTATCGTTTAATTTGTCATCTCATAAATGATGATCACCTTTTACGAACTGGTATGATTATACAGATAATTCAGAATTCTATACAGTTCTGCTGTACTAAAGGATATGATATAAAAAATTGAAATAATTAGCCAGTTATCTTCATGAATGCTTATCTATTCACTGATTCAAGAATGTGAGATTGACGGTAATTTTATTTGAGATTTTAGGCTGCAAATATAACACAGTAGATTGACATTAGAATATCTGGGCATAAAACTGATTATTTCTACTAGCTTTGACTAAAGATGTTGAAGCATTTACCAACTGCATAAACTGATGTAAATATCTATATAACAGGATTAGTTTTGTTGGTACGCAACCAAATATGTGAATCTTTACGCTGACTCCTGGTCTCTCTGTAAGATCATCTTTAACATATTTGATTCAAATACTCTACTCAGTTAGCCACTATCATTTATGAATTAATGATTGCTTCCTACAAACTATAATCTGTTATCTGTGGTAAATGAATTCAATGTGAATACATTTCAGACGTCATGGATTTATGACAATGATAACTCATTTGTTAATACATTTGTTTTTTAAGGAGAATATATTTCCATACATTGACATAATATTGAACAATATAAACTTACATCGCCTTCTTGATCCAAAGCATTGTTGAGGAAAGCTTCAATCGCAGTGTCACTCTCTCTCTGCATATATAAAAAAAGACACACATAGACTTATGTCAGTTACTGAACAATGATAATAATGATAAGGGTGATGAAAAATAATGAAACGGTGTATTAAAGATAACGAAAGGAAGATAAAAACATGGGGAACGATAATTATTATGTTGAAGTAAGAAAACGTACTATTTTAGTATCATACTATTATCTTGTTATGTTTAGAATTATTGCTTGAGCAAGCTGATTAGTGAAAATGTACGCAAATAATGCAACAATTAAGGAAGCAACAATAATGATAAGGGAAATAGGGTTGCTTAAATTTTCAGTTTTAGACGATTCTCAAAGAGGTAATTGAAACCATGACAATATTTCATATTTCTCACAAATATATGGGTAGGATAAAAGTGGTAAACATTTTCAAAAACACAAAATCAAATCACATTCACAAAGTTAACAAGTTAACAGGTGAAGAGATAATATTGATAACATTTCGTTAACTGCTATTCAACAATAAAGGGGGAAGAGAGTTAATACAAACAGTATTTTATCCATGCTTTGCCAAAAATAGTATACAGACAACGCACAAAAATGTATATAGTTAATAGCATAGTATTGAAGAAAATTCTGATGTACATACGGACATAAATATTTCACAAATTTCAAAATGCATATATATATACTCAATAGTAACCAGTCTTCTACTACCTAGTTTTACTAACAATTCTACGGACCAGTAGATTAAGTAGCTAATCTGCTGAATCATGACATACATCTTTTAGGAACGGTTTTATTTAATTATTATGAATTAGCACAAAACAGCGCACAAAATCTAGATCTCAGACATTGTGTCGATAACTGCTAAGAATCTAATCTTAAGGATGATTTTGATAGTAATCGGCTGAACCCAGTTATTTAGGAGCGAGAAAACTATATTTTTGATAACTACTGATAAACACTTGCGGCAGACTTCAAACAAGTGATAGTTAGAAACGTTGTGTACAGAGTTAAGACCGATGTACCTAAGAGTAGCATGTCTTTAAAACCTGATATCAAGGACTTTGATGTCAGAATATGGGTTCATATAACTATCGATTTTTGAAAAAGGAATATTGAAATATTCATTTGATTAATCTTAGATTCAACAAAATTATCGGCTTGTGTTAATTTATTCAATAACTAACATCATAAAATTAACAACAAACTTTGATTATAATTATGATGTGAATTATTGATTCATCGTTAATGTCGTCTTATAAACATACTCAGCCCTAATATGGTTAACTCCAACAACCAATCAAGCTGGTATTTACTTGCTTTTATCTCCTAAAGTATTAATGCTAGAGTTCTAAAATTGTGATTACTCAAGTGCTTAGTTGAGGATTCGCAACTGTCAATTCTGTTATAGACTTTAATAGTATTACTTGTCTAACAAACTGCTTGTGTGCTCGTTGATTAACAGATGTACTGAAATATTACATACTGCCATTTTGTGAGGAAAATATTTTTTACTCATTTGTGTGCATTCGTATGCGTATATTAGAATAGATTAGATCCCTTACTAAGTCATAGATGCAAGTATTTCAGAACTGTGCACACTAACAACTCATCGGCTCCTTGGTTTTCCAAAATTTTCTGTTCATTCTGATTTGCAGAAGCTTCCTTTTACTGTCTGTTTAATAAGGTCTTCATTATAGTCATCTTTGGTAATGTTTCTGTCCCCAATTGGAGGCAGTGTCCTTCACTTCTAAAGAGATACTGACGGACGATTTGATAGTTTAGAATAAAATTTAACCGTCATGCAAAACAGCGGGGTTTAAATCTAGCATTTTGTTACCTTTTCGTTAACCATAGTCATCTAGATTCATTCACATCTTAATTCATTAAACCCTCTCTTATACTGCTCATTTAATGTAGTAACTTTACAATTACTACATAAAATGCACTATGTGATAGTAAACTTGGTTTATATACACATATAAACATAATAAAGGTCATTTCCCAGTACTTCTGGAAAGGTTTTACGACGATCCAACTTAAGAGTAATAAAGAAAATCTTGTCTAAAAATCTTTATTTTTGTGTATGCATGTGTTACGCAATAGTTAGCACTGATAAAAATAACAGCAATAATAAAGTAACTTTAGCCAGTAAACACTTATTGAAAAAGAGGATACCAAGAAATATAGGAAGAGGAAAACTCATGAAAAATGAATCATGATTTAAGGTAGCTGGCGGGCAATTTACAGCAAAGCATTATCACAGTTCATATTTCTGCATACATCACTGGGGACGGGTGGAACGCCATTACCAATAATCATCAAAGTAATTTGTATGTATGGTTGTGTGGGTGCAAGTTCAGATGCTTAGATAACAGCTTATTCTTCATAGATCGATCCACTGCATACACACAAAAGTGCAATCACATAGGTGCATTCAACAGATATGAGAGGTTGGAAAAAATGCGAACAATGAGACACACACAACAGCAGATTAATACACATATATGTTTGTATATATTTTAAAATGTTACGAAAACAAATACCTGCATTAAATGCTCCAAACCTCTGTCACCTGTCAAACTAAGCGTTTCCTTTTAATAGTAACAATAATAATAGTAATGGCTGAGTGAATAGGGTAAAATCAATGGATGAAAAAATCTGTTGTGTAAGACATGTAAATACATTCAATGAATTATATCTATACAGAGAGATATCAAGTTTATGGTTTATACCACGAACCGACTCTAACTAGATAACTACGGATAACTAGGGAACTAAATCGTCTCGTAATGAAACTTCTCAACCATAACCAGCCAATTCTTTCTGATTTTCAGTGATTGTCTAAAAACTCATGATTCTAACAAATCCTCGAAAAATAAAAAAGTAGATTAAAACCAAGCATAAGCAGCCAAGTGTATAAGAAATTAAATGAAATCACAGCGATAAGTTCGCGCTCATGGTTCAAAGAAATGCAACGACGATAAACTGATCAAAAAACCAATCATCAACTACAATATACTTGAAAGTTATCGGGTTGATTGCAAGAAGAAATAGATTTACGATTATACAAGAAATATAAATAAAGAGAAATTCACTAAATCAAAATGTTTATTAGTATTTAAGTAAACCTTAGTTTTAAATCACATCGAATATATATATATATATATATATATATATATATATATATATATATATATATATATATTGACGGTTTTCATTTAAATCGTCACACTATTGAGAATCATATCGACACACAATAAACACGAGTAAATGGATGTACAATAATCAGTTCCCAATCCCATATGAAAGTGTAATTTTAAGGAGATAGGATAAAGTTTTATGGTCGTTTCTTTGCTTTATTCTATATGATTGGTGGGTAAATAAAATTATTTCCAAACTAATCAGATGAACATTTAATCATATTATCAAAATAAAACATAAGCAGTGGGATTTCCAAGTCCCATTAATTGTAAGTAGTATAATCATTCTAGTACATCCATATCTTCACTTTATTCCTGTTAGTTTACGCAATCAAAGGAATTAACAAAATTTTATCGAAAAATAGAATTTAATACATATACATTCACACTTGTAACATACCTTAATCAGCTTTCTTTTCGCGCATAATACCAGTTCTTGCTCACGTCCACCAAGTTGACTTAAACCTTTTCGATTATTTGAGTTAGAAAAATTCAATTTTTTTATTTTAAAACAACATATTATTGTCGGCTGTATAAAAGTTATGAGATTACCTTAATAACCGAACTAACTACTAGATGGCTAATTTATATCTGCTCAGTTCAACAAAAATCAAGGATGACCTACTTTTTAGGAAGGAGATGTGATATATAGAGAGATTTCAGACAGGAAACATGTTATTATATAGCAAAATAGCTTGAGTGCTACCTCAAAGGCAATATAGCGTGTACGAAATTCATACGCGGATGGTCTGTTGCAAGTAAAATGAGTATCCGCCTAAGGTCATCGTCCATATACGGTGAAATATCTCAATTTTTATTAGGCTGTCTTTTTAGATAATGAATTCTAAGTAGTTCTTAGTAATTCTTAGTAATTATTTTAGCATATCAGTGAGTGAACCTCCAAAAATACAGATTACGTAAACTGTATGCTACAGACAGAGATTCAAAGTTCAGAAAAGCTAAAAGTCAAAATAACTGTCACGGTAGACTCAATAGTATCTCATATGAAACACCTCATAGGAAATATATCAGGTCATTTAGAAAAGATTGAGCGACTATTAAATATTATTGTTTGGAAGTTATCTTAGGTGAAACAGGTCTAATAGGTCTTGTAAACAAATGACAAAGAATGAAATAAAGGGAAAGTTATCCATCAAATATATTACAGTTATCTGGATCAACTAACGAATGTCACTGGTACACAAAGAAGAACGTGCACAACATGATGTCAGAATGATCATAACATTTCGTATCCGTGCATTTTTTACACGACATTTAATTTCAATGTTTCATAAACCAATCTACCTTATAAACACATTTATGCCATAATCTGTCTAGGTCAAACTGTTTGAACAAACGATGCATCATGGATTTGGTCAATGAATCTCATTGAGATTTGATGTAACAATAACGTCGTTTCATCTCACTGCGCTTCACATGTGCCAAATAATTCACGTAAATTCGTCAAACCACACACAACCACCACCATTTGAATCCAGTGCACTTACTTCTAGAATTATGTTGATGCTTGTCTTTTTGAAAATATTGAGTGTTTTTCCTCAAACTCATCAAGGTATGTTTGTATTCCACTGAGAAGTGCAACAGTATGTATAAATCCGGTAACCGCGTCAAGATAAACATATTGGTCTTACAATTTTAATTTATTCACTACAACTGTTTTTCATCAGAAATGCAGAATAACATAACAAACAAGAATTATATATAGTTGTCTGTCAATTGAATTGACTAGCCACCTCATAGAGTGGTAGCAAATGCGTATTGGCTCGAAATGCATTCGATCACTCATACTTACACAGAGTTTTGTCTATTTTCTGCCGTAATGTGATTACTTCTTCCTTCATAGTGATAGATAGCATCAAATCCACTGACATCACTGACTATAATAATGACTATGACTTTAAGGATATTAATTATATGGAGAGTGCTTAAACGAAACTTTTAAAGTGCTTGTTGAACGATTTACTTACTTCAAAAGATCAACGATGTAATATGAACTGAATTCGTGATTTTAATGGGAAACTATGTTTTGCCAAATTTGTTCTGATTGTTTGAAAGAATTTTGTTATTACTCTTGTGAAATAGTTTGTCTTACAGGAATGAATATGTGGATATTTGAAGAGCCTTGATAAGCTTATATAACATTGAACTATTGTAATGATTGAGTATGAGCTTGAGCAATAATGGTTTCACTGTATTTTTATGAGGATTTACAATTAGGCCTCATGGTTATCAAGTTTGAGCAAAGTGAACTGTGAAACTACAGTATATGGACGAACCAGTCGGATTTAAGATATGACCTCTTAAATTTTCGGGCAAGATTCATTTACACATTACTTTGCACTATAGTTCACGTCAGTTAGTGACATAAACTTAACCTTAATTTCCAACCATAACCGTGACTTTGAGTTTTAATTCTAAACACTAATTCTTAACTGTTATATAACTCCTCAAAATCACTGTTCACGACCATCTATAAATTATAGTCATATGGTGTATGCTACGTAGGTCTATTAACATCAATCAGAAGAGGAATGCCTGATAGCAGAAGGCTAAGAAGATCGAGTTGAAGAAAACAGAAAGGGAAATATAAAGAAATTGTGAATTGAAATAATCATACAAAATGTGAAGTACAATTCATGGAAGATTTGCAAATGAAGTATTTAATGTATGGTTCTCATATTTTACGAAGATATTTTGTACTTCACTAAACGATTAATTAGTTTCCCCCACTCGAGTTCATGTTCACTACAGTCACATCAAGTAAACTGTACAAATCCGTTGACTGTATCATTGTCTTAATTAATTAATTATTTAATAAACATCAAATGATGTCTTTAAAAATAATCACAAATCAATTAAGAAAATATCTAAACTTGAATATATTTCATTTACACATAAAATTAATTATATCATGTTTACTTACCAACTGGTAGAAGACGTTTAATACATGCAACAGTTAAACTTGTATGTGGACCAGTTTTAGCTTTTTTTACTTTGTGTTATTCATAAATAAAGCGTGAAAGATGAGAAGATAGAGCAAAACTTAATCATTTATTTAACTGTTTTATTACAACTAACACTATTTTATTTGCATCAATAAAAAATAATTAAATGACTAAAGTGAAATTCAGTAGTGAATCGAATGAATAATGCATTATATTTATGATTTCATAAATTTCATAAATTATTCAACGAGGGAAATTTTAAATTCATTTGGTATTGTTTGCTTGTAACTTTCCATTGTTGTTTAGGACCGCAACTGATCAGTCTCTTGTTGGCATATGTGCATCCTGTGCGGACTGCCTCGATATTGCTTTAGGTCACATGCCAACGAGAGACTGATCAAATGCAGTTCTAAACAACAATGACAAAATATAAGCAAACAATACGAAGTGGATTTAAACTTTACCACATTGCACAAGCAAATGGTTATCAGGACTCTGTATTTGAGTGGATAACGCGATGGCGTTTGGATCAAACGGTACTGAGTTCGAGTCCCAGAGTGGACGTCAACTCTGAAATGTAAGTACGTCCAGCTGACGAGTCCTAACCAAGGTAATTCCACTACTAGCCACAACCCATCTTTGCTTATAAGAGAGATTTTAGTCATCAAAGATAATAAATCTAGAATGAAAATGAAAGTGAACTGATCATTTTTGGATAACTGTTCTAATAGCTTGTTTTACAGTTTATTGTTAAAAGCTAATCATTTACAATCTCTCTCTCTTTCAAAATGGTCATTCAAACTGTTATTCATGTCGTTTCCAAGTTAATAAAAAGACGTACACGAAATGTTTGTTCTGCTGTTTATATTATAAAATTAGTGAATTTTTGTGAAAATTTCTAATACACACTTACTCCTGTAACTTACAAATTGCCCATCTAAACTTTTAATTCCTTTCTACATCAACTTCATGGAAAATCTATATTCTGGGCAATTATGAAGTTAATTATCCGAATGTTAATTCAATCAACTGAGACATCAGCATAGAAAGTGTATAAAATATACACAGGAATGACTATCTAAATTAATCACAAATACCTTGTCTGTAATTCTACATAACTAATCAATCTCAAAACCGATAAATACCTTTTAAAATATCAATAAACTATTTTTACGAAGCATATATAGCCTAGTAAGTGTAGTTTCGTCTAACATATTGATAATAAGTAAATTACCATTGAAAACTATGAAGTATTAAATAGCCATTTCGTCATTATTTACAAATCAATCACCATTAAAGACTAACGAACCTGTGTGATAAGAAACTCAAGACTTTCGAGTCATGATATTAGTTTAATGTCTTTAGACTATCATCCTTCAATCTTACACCCCATAAACTTCATTTAATGTATAACGATGATTCGCGACAAAAAAAATCTTCAAAGTTTATACTAGATGGAATGTGTTACGGTAGATAAATTTAAATATCAAGTTAGTTTTTAACATAAATGGATAACTAATAACCAGTATGAAGTGTTTGAATTTGATTATTTGGCATTTTAATTTAACTTTGTCAACATTTGTTAAAATTGTATTCATTATTTCTATCAATCTAGTATGTTGTTTTTAATTTAATGAATGTGTAGGACATCATGTGGTTGGATGATCATTTGGAATCTTTAATATTTAGTACGTAGAAAACGTTCAATCCTTATTTGTATAATATGGTATGATTTAATTCGTATACCAAGTATGGACAATAAATATTCACCATTCATCTAAATTGTTTGATTACACAAATATATTCTACCTGATTAGGTAAACTCAACTACATGTTATACAATTATCATTAGTAGTATAATAGGAAATAAACTACTAATAAATGTTAGATTAATCTAACTTTATTGTCACTGTGAATCAACAAAATGACTGACGAATGACTCTTGTATTTTATTAATTTACAAAATCTTAATGATAAGTTTTTATCAATTCAGTAATGCATAAACTAGTTCAATCAATATTTTTATCTTTTGATGACACAATCACAAAAAATCTTTTACACTAGATTGAAAGCATCAATAGCTAAATAGAAATCTATGATTTAGCTTTATTATCAATGCTAAAATAAATAATCAAGCATAAGAATCCATTATCAATCTATAGACACTAGACACAATAATCCATTCAATAACAGTTCCACTTAGTTTAACACTATTGTTACTCAATGTTAAATAGTTGAATTCCCGAAATCCTGTTTCAGAATTATTCTTTTCTTTACATGATGAAGCAATTAGTGTCTTGTCAACATTTGCTTTTAAAAAAAATTATTGTGACCTACAGTGTCGGAAATCTGATACACGATATACTATGCATTAACCCCCCCCCAACTGACTACTTGAGCGGGGACACAAAAGTGAGCGAGAAAACGTATTCGATTATCGAATGAAATCCATCTGGCCTTTAGGTGACTTCTGATTGTCATTGACTGACCTTTTCATTGGGCTACTTCTAATTGGGTCTCCATATCAAAAATAATAAATTGTTTTTTCATCTATGTCTGTTAAACATACCATTTTTCAAACTACTTGACTCATTACGTCCATTTGTGTGAGTTCGACTTCGATTTATACCTGGTGTTAAATTTCCCCCACTTGGCACAATCAATGATAACCGATCAATTTCATGAGCGCTTACAAAATTCTCTTCTTCACGTTTAAATTTCTATAAAATTAAGTTCCAAATAAAAAACAGTAAATTAGTTACTCCAGATTATTGAATTCGGGTGGTAAAAATGAATTATTATTTAAATGATTTTATATTATGATTAAGAATAGATCTGTTTAGTCAGGAAACGACGAAATAAAAGAAACAAATGACTAGAAAAGTAAGATTAGTTCACCAGAACCCTCATTCTTTTTATTTTTTGTGTGTATTTTCTTTTGGCTGGGAAATACTTGAATTTTTCCTATGTTTTATCTTCTTTTTAACTAACCAAATCCCAAGAGTGACAGTGTATGCTGTCAAAACATTCATGCTGTGTATTTCGTTGATTGATCAATCTCTCCATTATTTATTGTCTTAAAGTTGATATTATTATTATTATTATTATTATTATTATTCAACACTTTCGATGTTGTCTGAAAAAAAGTGAACTAAGTTGAATTAACATAACTGTAAAAAATGTCTTCATCTGTTTGTACACATTAGCCAATCAGGATTTGGGACAGCTCCTAATTCTAAACTAATTTAACCAGGAAAAATCAACTACTTAGTGGCATTTAACTTAAGTATTCATTATAAATATAATTCAGTGAGATCAAGAGATAACTCCTTATAATTACGTTCTTATACAATTTCTTAGTTAATAGAACCACTAAGTCATTAATTTAGAGACTGAAGAGTGAGGATATGCGTTCATTTCTTCATCAGAGAAATCTTCATAATCTTGACCCGAAATTAGTTGAGGTGGCTCAAACACAATAAGTTTTTTTTTAATTTATAGTTATGATATTATTTCATGCTTCACTGTTTTAGATTGAATTGGTTCTTTTCAAAAAATATTCGCAGGTTGGTTTCTACGATCGTTGATACGATTATTTTGCTTTGATTTTTTCCGAATGCACTGATTTGAAATAAACCAACTATGATAGACACACAATTATGCGAGTTTCTAAGTTGTTTACTACTGAATATGACGTTTATTGGAGTTCAATGTTTTATTCTTACATGCTTATAAGTACGAAGATTAGTTGTGACCAACAAAATTTGCATGAATGTGAGAAGTTAAAGGAGCTATTGTTATCTCAAAGACAATGATCAAGGAAAAAATTTAAAGATCTAGTGAACGGTCTATCCACTTTATTATATTAAGTCTAGTTCGTTCCAGACCGTTTGCCAAACTTCAGAACAGCGCTTAATTTTTATTCATAAATCTCGTATATTCCACCTTGTCACAGGGGATGTGCTATTTTAAAATTTGAAATTCACATCCCAATTTAGTTCTTTTTCAATTATTTATAAGATACACTTCTGTAATTGTGCTTTCTATAGCGTAACTGACCCCTAAACATCTGATAATTAATGGTCTGTAGATTTTTAGTGTTTTTGTATCAAATTTTCATACAAATCTCTTTTTTTCAAGGTTTTACTTATAACTTGGTCATTGTGCTTCAATGCTCAGAAAGCTTCTTTAGCTGTAATAGAATTAGTTCAAGATACTTTTAGCTGAGGATTCTTTAGAATTTATGTTTAATTATTGGACCAAATCAACAGTACATCATACTGTAGACTGTAGAGCTCTTTAACTTACCGTTGCTCTGATCCATACTAAAACATCCTTGCAACAGCTGAGAATAAACGTTGCGTTTCATACGTCGGCTTTTTCAACCAAGCACTTCGATGACGATCAACAAATTTTATTAGAAGGGGATAGAACGCAAATAAATTTCGTACTAGTATTTCAACTAGACGTGATAGTTCTTCTTCACGTTCACCGACACTTTCAGAACCTGAGAAATTGTAAGAAAAATATATTTAACATAAACGTATTTGGATTTCTAAGTACTCATCCACAAACACTCAAATATCAGAGCCTATTTCATTGATATTTTATCTTATTTCGAGATTTTATAGAAATAAATAACACTAAAACTTCTATAACAGTCTCACCTACACTTGAGTCTGTTTGTGTCTAAATGTATTAAGCTCCTTAACTAACATTTAACAAATAGTGTTATTTATATCAGTATCAATTTATTTAAATCTTTACACTAGTATTCACAAGCTTGTATGATCATATATGATAATTCATCTATCCCAGACCACATACATACTCCTCTTTTAGCTTAAATATTAGTTACTAAATCGCGTGACAATCAGTTCACATAGTAATATATAACGTGCTTTTTATTTTCTATTCATTCACTTATTATTTCATATTCCTGTTCTCTTCGTGTGCTTGGTGGTCGATCATTCTGTGTTGTGTGAAAATAAAATAGTCATTAATTCTTATTATGTTTTTAAATTTATGCACCGTTGTAGAATCACTGTAATAGCTGTTATCAGAGCAATTAATATACGAATTATTGGGAATATAGCGAAGATATTCCACTACACCTCCTTAAAGCATTCTGAAACTTTGATAATTTTAATTTAACAGTTGAAATGCTACAATAATTAGCTAGGTATTACCAAGGGCAAAAACGATAATCTGTGATGACTAGGAATTATTAGGTAAAAGTCTACTATACGGACAGCTTCAAGCGACCTATCAACCAGTCAGGGAAACGTTAAGTATGAAAGAACTAACAATGAAAATAATAAAATTGCGGTGGAATAGTTGTTTTAAAATGACTGATTAACTCTTACATTATAGTGAAAGAAAAATATTAAGTTCACAAATTAGGAGTTGGGCTAGTTTTGTGAGTTATGGTTATAATCCTATAGAGTTTTCATCACCAACTGACATTGAGTATAATGGAAAATGACTAGGTTATGCAATAGAAGTTAACTTGTACCTGTGTTAGGATTATGGATTAGGTTTAGGGAGTTCATCACGAAATGACATCAGATGTAATAAACTGGTACTTTACCACCAACTTTGTGAACATTGGGGTTGAGATTTAGAGAGGCAGAAAACTACTTAGCTATACAAACACTCTTGACTATGTCCTGAATCGCATCAAGTACTTCAATGCATATGTGTATTCAAATCTGTCCCAGCAGTAGGTATTTCTTGTAATCTAGCTTAAGGATCACATCATATTCACGGCCTTTTATCGATTTCAAGCTGTTAGGAAACAAATATTACCACTTTTTACCTAATCAATCTCAACATACATTCTGTTTAACATTGCGCTTTTGATTCCGTTCATAAGTATACGAAGGGCTACCTTAGTTTTGATTGGTCCATCTAAGGGCGTCAGTACAGTATACTTTTATCGATCAATATTTCAAACAGCAAGTGACAATACATCGTGTGATCATTAAACTTTAAAATATTAGTATGGTCATTACATTAAGTTTAAGATATTATTATCATCCCATATAGAGCCCTGATGCCTCCAGCAAGATTTTAGGGATACTTGTACTTATATTCTTCAAAGAAAAGCCAAATAAAAGCTAAACAGATACATAATGATAGCCAACTATCTGAATTAAATCGAACTATGTAAAAAATCATCCTCAAACTTTACACGTCAAAAACAATATTGAAGAGACATCTTGATATGTGTTTTCGAGATGTAATATGTATGATGCTTATAGCTCTTCATTAGTGAGTCCTTCATCACTTGCATATTTTCCACCTATTATCTCTGAGTAATAAATATTATTACGAAACAGTAAGTCTAGCCGTGCAACCAACAAAAATATTTAAATCGATTTTTTAATGAAATGCACTTTTGGAGTGGAACTTTATACAACTTATATGGTAAGATAACATCTTTATATTATAATCTGTAAGTTACTATTAAGTATTATTTATGAAACTTTTCACTATTTTTGCATACCTGCACGTTTTTCCGCTCTATACGCCTCTTCTACTCTTTCAACAATCAAAGCATGTTCAAGTAGCCTTTCAGATACTGGCAAAAAATATTGACCAAGCATATCAGCTGTAGAATTAGCTACAATGGGTTGAGTACGCGCTGTGAAAAAGAACGGGAAATGAAGTATACATCAAATAAATTAATTGATAATACACGTCAATGTTCATTTTCAAAATCACTATTTGTTTTGTACACAAAACGACTTTCATACTCTGCAACATCACGAAGATATTGGATTGTAATGAATAAATACAATTAGTGTTTTCATCCTACTATGCGTTTTTTATCTTTAAAATGGACTCGGTTATGGAAAGGGATGAATTTAAGATATATCAAATGTGAAAATTTCATGTCCGACAACTGACTTCAATTAGTGTCGCGGGAATCCATGAAATGAATTGATCCTCAACCTGAATAATTCGATTGATTTTCGCAAACTGATTCTTTTTGACATGCTTCACATAAAACGCTATTTATATCTATCAGTAAAATCTAACATAGTATGTTACTCTAGTTTATTCAAAGAGCAGTGGTGACAGTTATAGTTTTTAAAAGTAATCACCCATTTCACTAAGTTAATTAAATTTGTTCAGCACTGTAGGTCTGTGGCTCATAATAATTAAAGTTGTCTATAATGTAGTCAATAAAACAAATTATACTACTTTTTGTCAGTATGAAGTTTTGGGGATTGCTGGATTTCATTGAAATTATCAACCGGTAAACGTTAGACAACCATTATAAACCTAGAAGCACTAGAAGGTCGTTTCATTCTAGCATGGGACGATCCAAAAGGGCACACTCACGACGCCTCAAGCGGGAATCGAACACAGAACCTTCGACTTCACGCACAAATGCCTAAATGATGAAGTCAGGTTTGTGTATCACTGAATCCCGACTCAGTGGTCTAGAGGTTAAGCGTTCACTGATTGTGAGGTCGTGAATGCCCTCTGACTAAGAGTCCCATACTAGAACGGAAAAGCCGATCAGTGGTTTCAATGGTTATTTAACTTTGATCTGTTGACTGTTTTAATGATAGATTATGATTGTTTTAGATAAACACTTGATACTATCACTACTATTACTATTACTACTGCTACTAATACAACCATCATTACTACTAATTGAAGAAAATTGATTAATAAGCAAGTTGGACAGTTGTTCTTTTATAATAGAAGGAGGAAAAAACCTATTACAATTTGATTACTTATACAACTGCATTACCAGATAATTATTAGATATTAATCACTATTTAACTTAGAGCATTTTTGCCAAATCACTTGTTCATCAGACAATGAGTCAATAAAATAGGATTATTTTCAATTTCTTGTGTAAACTTAAAAACACCATCCTTTGAAAAGTACAATAAATCAAATCTGCCATTGTAAAAATTTATTTTTGTTTGGTATACTGAAATGGTTAAATTCCTCTTTAAAAAGCACTTAAAAACATGACTAATTTTTAAAAGTAAGAAGATAATTACTGGCTATTCTTGTCATCCAAGGTGCATGTGATGAGTCAATGTTTGTTTGAATTAATTGCAATACACTGCCAAGAACTCGATTCATTAGATCAGCTGTAACAGTTGTTAAAGGTCCAGTTGCACTAGCTAGAAAGGTATTTCCTTTTGTTTTAGGTACTAAATTACCAGTTTTATTGTCTTGTCCTATTCCACCTTCATTGGAACCATCATTACAAGAAGTTAAATTCATACATTCAGGTCCTTTACGCCACCAGTTAGGTAAATATGAACAAAGCATAGGTAAAGTAACCTCAATAAGATATGGCGCTTCAGAAGCACCAGTTGCTCCAGATTCGGCTAAAAGTTCCACTTGCTTAATGATGCTTTGTAGATCACCAATTGTTTTAGAAAGTTTTTCAAGTACATCTAAAATGGAATAAACATTAATCAATTGTATGTAACCAAATATTTTAGGAAATATTGATTCAAATAAATCAAGACTTTTTACTAATTACAAACTGTATAACAGTAAAATTTATAGGCTGTCTATCCATAACACCATGATTTTTCATAAGTCTTACATGAAACGCTGCTATTTATCATCTCTAAATTCACTTCTCTCAGAAAAACAGTACATAATTATGGGATGAAACCTTAAGGTTTTGTTAGCGAGATCTTTTCTTTGATTTGGTATCAGTACTGCACATATAGTTTGAAAAGCGATTTCCGAAACTTGTAATGACATTTTACAAGTTTCAATGATAAACACTGACTCCATGTGTGTAAGACATTAATGAAATTTAGAAACAGTTAGTGACACTGAAACAAATCAAAGATCATAGAGAACAGAGTATACTAGAATACTCTTACTAGAGTGTAGACAAATGGAAATTTCAGAATGTCTAAAAAATGGGGCATAGTTTCTTAACCGCTTACTTGTAATGAAGCTTTAGCAATATTAATGATGTTATCTGGAAGTACGATCAGTTAGACGGTAAAGCTTCCACTTAAGGTTTATCACTTGATATCTTTTTCTCAATATTTGACTTCCGTTTGTACAGTTGGACTCATACATTACATGACATACTTCCTGGACTAAGAGTCTTTTTAGTAGTATATAAGCCACATTTGAAGCATAAACTGTACAATCATTTCTTCCAATTACAGGAGACATATTAGATGATGGATTACTGCAGTTATGCCCCAACACTGCGAACAGTAATAATTAAATGCTTTGTATACGCATATGTGAATTCATGTTCACATTTCTGAGCACGTTTCAAAGAATTTGAAACTGAGAGGTGCAGTAGCTTTAAACAGTGCTAAAACTCGGCATTTAATTGACGCCGGGCATACTGTGGACATTCCACAGGCCTTCAAAATTATTAGGAGACAAAAAAACCAGTGTCTCTCAGGTTCGCCTAGGCAATAGTAGTAAAAAACTCAAACCTGAGACAATAATAAACTTATCACAACCTTGTTTAGTTATTTTGTCGTAATCATTATTTTATTAGTGTTTATTTTGTTATGCGGTCTTCCCCTGACTAATTCTTATTTTATGTACACCAAAACCATCCCTTTACTCATACATTTTCACTCACTTAATCCTCTTAACTTATGTAAACTCTTCGAATCCTGTCCAATTATCACATAACCCGTCTTATCAATTTCTAATCCCAATAATCTTAAATAAAGTCTTCCTACCCTCTAAAACTATATCGCACAATCTATCTTATCTATCCCCGGATCTTATTTAATTAGTGCATCACCCACCTCGCATGTTTTTAAATTCCAGCTCCAAATAACTTCTAACATGTTCTTGTACATATCTGTATGTAGTTATTATTGATAATCATTGTCATTCTAATTCTTTTCGTTATCTATGTCAATTTTTTTTATATCATACTTCAATGTTATCTTTCAATAAACATATCATTGTACAAAAATGGCCGTGCGTTTAATGATATTCGTTGTAAGCAGTGGATGAGGAACCACGAAATACAGTGAATTCGTATTATTCTGCCTCAACTTTTGTTCTGGCTTTATTCAAAGTCATAGAAGGAAGCGGTTTAATGAAATTTATTGTTACTTTGAAGATAATAATAATTCGGATGTTATAAATGAGTTATTCTTGATATAATAATTTTTTGTCCACTTTTAGATATTTATCCTTGTTGATACCATACGTTTTTAAGTGTAAGTAATGTCTCTGTGCACCTGTACCTATTTATTTTATCTATTATATGTTGTATACCGGAACTGAGACACGAAATAGTCCGGTGTTTTTCAGCACAGAGTTATAGTCGGAATCAAATATTTTCACTACTCTTACTATGTCTTCAAGAACGAATGTATGAACACATCTGAATTTTGGATACACTCGAACTTGATTCTGATATCGTGTGATTAAATGCATTTTAAGTCAACAAATACACACGATCTAAAAAAAATTCAGGGATCAGAAATTTGTTGAGTCATATGGATCTCTAAACAAGTAGTGAAATTATTTTGTGGTATTTTACTGAATGTGATTTATTACTTTCAGCTTCACCTGTATCCGAACACCCTTTATGGAATATTAAGGATTCGATAAAAACATTTTAGCTAAAATATCTCATAGTTATAGTTGGTTAATAGGATAACAGCCATAGTTCGTCGGTTTCCGTAAATTTCCTTCCTTGGAAAAGCTTCACTTGAAAACACATCTCCCTGGGTTATCTAATTACAATCGTAAGATGAAACACATATGGATAAATGATTGATATCAAATAGAGATACAACTGTAGTTATGTCTTAAATTCACCTGTGCACATGAGTCTACAAATTGGTTAATACATCCTTTATTTACACAAAACAGATTTACAGCAATGAATCACTAACCTCTAGCTTCAAGACTATAATCACCACCACGATTATTGAATGTAATTGAAAGAGGATTATTAGAATTTAAATTAGCCTCTAGAAAAGCTACAGGGAATGCAGATGCAAGTGCAGCAAGGCAATCACCGATTAAAGCTCTATGTCTGAAAAATACAGGAGAGTATATGTGTGTGAAATACACTATAATAATAACAACGACAGTAAATCTAATATGATGAATGACAATCGTAAAGTATATATTTACCAAAAAATTGATATTATTTACACAAAAAAGTGAAATATTTCTTTAAGATTTGTATTTCCAACAGCTTTCAGTTTAAATGTAAAGAAATATCTTTTTTGAAGCATTAATATATGTCAGTATAAATTACTAGAATTCTATCGTTCTTTTTTATAGATCTATGATGTTGGAGTCGTACAAAGTGTGACATTCAACTGATATTTTCGAAAAATATTTTAAGTATTCAATAAAGAGTCAAGCAATTTATTAGTTGCTTATAATTATTCAATGAACAAAATAATTTAAAAGTACCGAGTATCTTAAAAAGGAATAATAATAATACAACTTCTTTAACCCATGGAGAGAAAAGAAAAGACAGTTCTTATTCTCCTATTTCATTGGACGATTAACAAGAATTATTCCATAAAAAATATATGAACGATGAAGTTCGAACGATCAATGGATTGTAGTTCTCCAAATGAGAAACGAACCCCTTTTAAAGTGAAGACATCCGAATATAAAATTAATTAATATGTATATCTTTAAATATTGGGAGGACAATGATAATAACTGATACAGTTTTGTTTACATCATTCTGAAGTTATGATAATAATCGACAATGTATCAGACTAACCGGTTTACATAAAGTAAACCGTTGAGCCAGTTATATCCAAAAACTGACCTTAAGTTCATGACCCATATATCAAACCGACATGTTAGATATCGACGGTTAATGAATGAAACATCATTTAGGGCTTACAGAGTTTTATATTTTCTGAAATAAAGATTTGCTTGTGACCGTGAGAATAAAACGATTACGAACGAGTTTAGAGAAGTATTCCTTCACAGCACTTTTTTAAAGGCTAGGATTAAGGACAGGATTCGGTTTTGTGATTAAAATTAAGTCAGAATTAGGGCTAAGATTTAGAGCTATGGTATACATAGACTAATTCTGAACCTTGATCCTAACTCCTATCTTAAAAACAAGTAGCTAACTTAAAAAGATGATTATTCATATAATACCAGAGTTTTCTTAACAAATTCCCTCATTTCCTAGTATAAATTAATCAGTCATATTTTCTGTTTTCTAATTGGTTGAACCGGTTTGATCTCAAGTTTGTCCAACAACATATTTATACTGGTAAATTTATTCCGACTTACTAAATGAATACAAACAGTGAGCTGATTAAATATGAAATGAAAACAACTTACCTATTTAGTTCATCAACAAAGCTTTGACTATGGTATTTTTTCAAAACAAAAAAGGAAGGAACAAAATAAATAGTGATTATTGTAAATTACATTAATATGAATAATTTCATGCAAAGATGACGAAAAGGAAAACTGTTTAATCTTTTTAATAACTTCTGGTCAAAAAGTTAACTATGGAGCTTGGTGATTTTACCGTTATTCATTGACGGTAATTAGTAAACTTGCTGATGAATAAACCAAGACCTTTTGATTGGCTTGGTAGCTGTATACATATTTTTATATATGGAAGATGTTCACTTATCACAAAGCCAGAGGTTAGCTGACGAATATAATGAAAGTGAGTGTAAGGGATAAACAAAGACAATAAAGACTACATAGAAAGCTGACGACAAATAATGTAACTAGAACAAAGTTATATAACAGTTGTGCAATAACGGGTAAAGCTCACTGGTTCATGAAATTGGCTCTGAAGTTACCAACAAGTGAGATAATTAAGACCTCGTAATTAGGCCATATAGCTAAGAGAATACAAAACTACCAAAGGCATCAAACGGAGATGAAAATCTCCCTCATCATATTATATATATATATATATATATATATATATATATTAGTTGGCAACTTCAGAGTATTTTTCTCTTTGAACATAAAAAGCTTCTATTAAGTTTTTACCGATTGCGAAAATGATTATAACCAAATACGAAAAAAATATGTAGTTTTACAGAGATAATGGTTAAAGTCGTAAGAAAACTTGTGCATCAGTTTGGTTTAAATTAGTTATTTACAAGTTTCGGAATGATAGTGTTTGTAGCTTAGAATGAGGGTACTTGACGTTTTGTTTACTCTGATCTGAACGATCTAGTTGTGAGTCTGTCATTGTTCTCCCGGACAATGTGGTTAGAAAGAACCAAGCTATCAGAATCTCCTCAGAACTGACTAACAACTTTTTCTGTTGACGTTGTATTCGGTTGGAAGGTATGCTAAAATTTATCTATAAGATAATTTATAACAACCGCGAGAAACACTATAAAAAAGCAAAAACTTCATCTCGCTACATCCGCATAAACACCGCTTAGCTATTAGATGAAGAGACACAACTTGGTTTATATCATCCTATGTGGACAACTACGGAAATGAGTTCAACTGGGGAAGTTTCTAAATATTTTACAAAGGAAACACACAATAAGCCAGAGATCTTTAGAAGTCTAGGGTTTCGATTAATCATAAACCAATAGGCATATCAAAATCGACTAAATCCATCAGCCAATAAAAAGAATTAACAACTTTAAGGTAAGGCGCAACAAAATCAAAAAGAGCATGTAAATAACTGCCATACAGTTATAAACAACCACTAATTAAAATAAAAGCCCATCGAAGCCCATCGAATAATGGAGAAATTCTAATATCTGACTTCTCAAAGAGGTGTGTGCTGACGATGCTGCTTAGAAGAACAACGAAAGCTTCATAAATAAACAATCCATCACGGTTACAAGTAGCTAATTACTTGGTGTTATAACACGCTAATAAAAAAAACACTAATTTTAGTTTGATTTGAATTACGCTATGATCACAAGTTATGAAGTATTGCACAAATATTTCTGCATAAAACGAAAGAATGATGACTAAGACCATTCTAAATAAATTGCCAACGTTTATTTACTCCTTTCAATTTGCTGAGAGTAATGAGCGTTAATAAATTTTCAAAATGAAATAAGTAACACGATGGAGATATTCATTTATGATTTACAGTCATATCATGTTTTGGAAAAATAACGAACAAGATTCATAATATATAGAAGGTTCTGTTTACAGGTTGACTTCGACTGAAATATCGGTGACAACTAGGCAGCAGTGAACAGTATAAGGTTCTACACCCAAGACCATACTGTAGATCGAACCCGAAACATTCGGTTTCGTGGCAGAGCGTTGTACTGAAATCACTGAATCAGAATTCAGACTATCGAATTTTCAACTTCAATGAATTATTGATATGGCACGATAAATTATTAAAGTCTAATAATAATAAGTCTAATAATATGTTACTCACCGATTTGCGTGTTTCGATGATGTAGTACCTAGTTTATATAAAGCGTTGAGTATTCGGTAACATGTGACTTGGACATTACCCACTAGAGGGAAAAGAATGGAAATAAATAGAGTTGACATTTTTAGTTAGAAGGGAAGACTCATCGAAGGGATTGGAAATTATGAAGCTAGAATTCTACACTAGTTTAGGCCGTTTATATTAACAAGTATACGATGCTACATTTTAGGTTCAAATCAAAATAAATTGCCCATAAATGTGAGTCATTTATGAGTGATGAACTTTTTGATGATCGGTTTCCATTATTTGTCACATTATTCATGTACGTTTTACAAAACATATTCATCAACATTCGCTTTGCACGCGCTCTCCTACTACTGAATAAGTTAAACATAAATAAAGTATAAATGTCAAACTGTAACAGAAGACGTGACACATTCACAACAATAATGGACGAAAGAAACAAATTTTAGGACTTATTACGGTAGAAAAGTTGTGGAAGGTAGTTTCTGATTAGCAATAATATTCAAGAAAGGCGAGTCCTATTTTAAATAAGCCACTCAAAAAATATAAGCAGAGATGGATGGTGGCTAACAGTGGAATCCAGTACACGCATTTCATCTTATTTGTGACTGTTCGTCTGTGTGCGCCTGTATATCGGAGTTGATATTCGCTCCGAAATTCGAACTCAGTACTGTCCGCTTTAAACACCATCGCTTTATCCAAATAGTACTGGGTTCTGCAATGAATAACAACTCTGGGATGCAGGTGCATACAGCTTACGAGTCCAAAATAGGACGAAACGAGCGTTCGGATTTCCAGGGATAGTCACCATTCATCTCTGCGCATAATGATTGTGAATTAAGGCTATTTCGAAGCAATCCGCACAGGATACACATATGCCTATAAGAGACTGGTCAATTGGAATTTTTAACATTAATGGAAAGAGCCAAACAACCAATATATTGGTAGATTACTTCATTTTATTTGATAAATACCTTTTAGAATAACAGTAAATGCATAAAATACTGTCTATCTTCTAAATAAATTCAAAGAAGCTGGTTCATTTGTTTGTAAACAGTTACAACAATTCATTATGTGTAATTGTTTATGTGTTTTGTTGTTGTTGAATTAAGCATTTATTTTCTGTATAGAGGAAGTTTGTGGAAATTACTGAATTCTCATAGTTTACATAACTGAACGACCTTAGTTAGACAACCAGTGAAAACCAAGAAGCACTAAATGACTGTTTAATTATAGTACATAAATCCTCAGCAATGGGCACCCACGACTCACCCCAGGGACTCTCGTCTCATGAAGAGTTCTTAAGCTTTGGGTTAAATAGTGAAAATGTCTAACTGTAATCAAGTCTCAATGTTGCGTTACCACCTAACATTGTTTAAAATGGATAACTGTCTCACGATCGATATGGACGAACTCTTCTTGTCACGACTTCTCACTAGAACTCCTGCGATTGCATCTCGAAGTTAGTCACTAGTGAGCAGAAGATTATTATCAATATAAATGTGTTCGTGGAGATTTTTCAATTTCCACATTTAGCATCACGGACTGATCAGAATTAGAGAGCTGTTAAAAACCAAGATGCATTGGACAGCCATTTCGTCCAAGTATATGATTCATCAGTAGTGCACACCCTAAATTTACGCTACTTTTGTTTTATAATAATTATATCCAGATGAACATAAAACCATCATTATTACCTAGCAGATATTCGCCACATTCGTTTTTGCCCAAATGTTCAAACATTGATTTCAGTACAGGTAATAATACCATGTGAATATAATCTACTGAACATGCGCCACGTTTAATTGTACCCTGTTTATCAATTAGGAAAAAAAGGCAAACAGCATATTGATTACCGCACTTATGTATTTATTTGTAGATTCTATATAAACAAATAGAACACTTATTAAAGATTAGTTGTAAGATACTGTAAAACGTATTTAAAAAGTTTTAATGGAGCAGTGATTCCCATTAACCTATTACTCATAAAGTTTATTGTCGCCAAAATCTGAACAAAATTAAGTCACCTCTAAATAGTTAATTATTGCAGTAAGAAGTTAAATTGAGTTTGGAAAATTAAAAACCTGTCAGTCGTGTACACCACAGAACCTGGCACATCAGTTCATCGGTCAAAGTTATTACATCACCTTAGCATACCGTGATAAAATTGTCCAGAGAAATTCCACAGCAGTAGAAATAGTAATATCATCAGCAGTAGTTATAGTAGTAGTAGTAGAAAAGATTAGATCCAAAAATAAAAAGAGAAGCATATGAGGACTTTGAAACCAAGGACCTAAAGGGAGATAACTGGTGAATGTATCTGAGCCACTGCGATCGATTATGAGTTATGTCACCAAAACATCCCTAACCACTGATTACGATAATGACAAATACACCTACCGATTAGTCTGTACCTACCTACGTGCCTCATTTTGAGGGACTGATTCTACGTTTTATCTTGGCTGCCCCTAACCTTCGGGACAAATAGTACTATATAGTTGCTCTGAGTTAATTATGAAACAATGAAAGCTCTTGAATGAGAATTTGCTAACCATTATATCTTTAGTTTATCTCAGTATAATTGTGAATATTTAAACATTTAAAATTTGTAAAAGATTTCATAAGATAATCTAGGACGATGAAGTTGTTTATGGGAGGTATTAAGACCTCTCCTTTTTAACTCCATCTCACATTAGCAAATATGTCACTTCATGTTGAAATGTAGTTTTTTTAATTTATACATAATTTAGTTATATAAATGTGATTTGGGTTACTTCCCTAAAGCTTCTCTATGATTACTGCCGTTTCTATTATCAGGTAAAGAAGGAGAGTTAGGTGGAGGGTTAACAACAGCATCTTGTAGAAACAACCCGCTACGAAAACTCACATAAGAAAAAATCTTGGACAACAGCTCATGCCCATAGAGGCGTAACGTGCTTAAGTACGTAGGTTAGCAAGTAAATATGTGATTTGGATACTCGGAAGTAACCATTGAATTTATGACATTTATGAACGAACTGATTTTAAATAAACTATTTATACCTGTAAAGAGCATTCGGACAAAAAATAGATCACGGTTCGAAGTTACCTTACTATATTATGTCGAGAGAAAAAACCTCGCATATATTTTAACTCTGCAATGAAATCCTATACAATCATCAACTTTATTCTGTACACAGAAAAGTAACTTCAAAAATAGAACTTTAAAAAAGCAATTTCTAAAGATATATGTTTTGCACGAATCTATTGTTTGCAACAGACATTTAAATGAACTAAAAACGACAAATGTTTATGGTCTATTAGTAAACATAAATATTTACTTACTTTCACATGTGAATATCGACTAGCATCAAGATTTCTAACTACAACGCATAAATCGTCAGCCGCATTAACAAAAAACGGTAGGATGCGACTGCGAACAAAATCTTCTGCAGTACCCATCTTTAAGATAGCTCTAATCAAATGAAAAGTAGAATCAATAGAGATAAGTCGCAGTTGTTTCACATTAGTAAGATAAAATAATTATTATCTAGTTTTTTTGAGCACATTAACTTATTAGTGGCTCGTGAAAGCTGGTGCGCTCTTACGGACCAAAAGCTACCTGTAGACGTCGCCTTCATTGATTTCAGTAAAGCTTTTGACAAAGTTCCGCACAACCGGCTGTTATATAAGTTAAGAAAAGTCGGGATTGGAGGCAATTTATTGATGTGGATAAAGGACTTCTTAGTTGGGCGTCAACAAAGAGTTCGGGTGAACTCAAAGTTATCTAGCTGGGAAACTGTGCTTAGTGGAGTGCCCCAGGGTACAGTTTTGGGGCCAGTGCTATTCCTCTTGTATGTAAATGACCTTCCTTGTCTCCTATCATCATCGGTCTTGCTATATGCTGACGATGTCAAGATATGGAGAACGATACGATGTAAGAGTGATAGCTTAGAACTTCAAAATGACCTGAAGAAGTTATCTGAATGGTCTCAAACATGGCAGTTGCCGATAAATACTTCCAAGTGTGTTGTGATGCATATCGGTCATCAAGGCACAGATACATACACGATGAATAACACTGAGCTACCTGTCGTCCAGACATATAATGACTTAGGAGTTATCGTTAGTCAAGACTTAAAGACTACTGCACACTGCCGTGCAATAGCCGCCAAAAGTTTTAGAACGTTATGGTCAATACGTAGGGCTTTTAGTCATGTCGACGCCAAAACGTTTTTGACTTTGTATACAGTGTTCGTTCGTCCTAAACTTGAGTACTGCATACAAGCGGCTAGCCCCTGCTTAAAAAAGACAGTGAGCTTCTGGAAAAGGTTCAGAGAACGGCGATTCCCGGAATAGCGAAGCTTCCGTATGAATCTCGACTGGCCAAGCTGAACCTTTTCCCGTTGTCATATCGCAGAACTAGAGGCGACTTGATTACAGTCTACAAATTGCTTAGTGATAAATTTGCACCTAATATGCCCTCATTTTTCTTGTCTTCCAAAACAGAGAATTTACGAGGACACTCCAAAAAAGTTCATAAGCCGAGAACAAATTACTTGTCAGCTGACTATCGACTTTCCCATCGAATCATCAACGAGTGGAATTCACTACCTCAGCACGTGGTTGAGGCTCCATCCGTCGACTCTTTCAAAAGAAAGTTGGATCAACTGAGAGACCACCATTGCCAGGACTAACATAGGCCATCGAGCCTCCTGTCTTTCTCAAACTGAAACTGAAACATTGTTTCTTAGAAAATATAATTTTAAATACTATTTCCTTAGCTGAACAACAACTGAAAACTAAGGATACTGGACGAGTATACTATTCTAGTCAAAAGCCACTTGAAAAGTGAACATTGTTGACTCTGTTTGATGTGTGAATGTTAAAACTTCGAATTTCATTTCAGACAAAAAAAGAACCAAAAACAATGGAGTTCGTTTTACTCTAATCACGTCGTATAAAGACATTCTTAAGAAAATTACGCTATGACACTATGTTACTGAGGAGATGGAGTTTACATTAACCTAGATTAAACAAAACAATTAACAATTAAGTAGTTAGATTAGAAATTTTGTCACTAATGGATCGATTACATATATTTTCATATTGTGCGACCGTTCGAGTATACCATTTATCTATACTCTCCCTAAATATATGTCCAAACCAGTTAGTTACATGACTGAAAAAACTAGAAGTAGAAAGCTTCTACATTAGCTAACCAAATCAAGAATAGATGACAATTTATAACACACCCTTAAGAAATTAAGGTCTTAATTTTATCCATTAGTGCATGTATATTTCCTCAGAAAATAAAGTCAAATCTTAGTGAATAACGTACATCTGCCAGTATTTCTCACTTTTTATTATTCTTTTGTCTGGTTGACCCAACCTGTCACCCGTCTCAATGAAAAGTAAATCTTCCTTCAAGGGATTCAAACGCTAAGGTGAGGGCACACCATATATATATATATATATATATATATATATATATATAATGCTGGTAACCATTATAAACTGAACATATACACATATACACAAATTAACTTACTTTACATCAATTGTTTGCACAAGACCTTGAAGACAAGATACAGCTATCTTTACATCATGTCCAAATGTATTCAATTTTATTCGAAGTAACGAGAAGAGTTTACAAAATAAACTAGACAAATAAATTTTAATTAAACAAATCAGATGAATGTGAACTAGATCTCTAATTAAAATATTATTTCTAAGTTTTTAATGATCAGTTTATTAAATAACGCATTTGATATGACAAAATAATGGTGAATGAAATGTTAAGAAAGCGCTGAATTGTAGTCAGATTCCGATTAATGGCATTACAGGTTGATACTAGTTTATACTAGAATACTTTTTGAAACATTTAGAAATCCATGCTTACCTTCTTCCGTATTTCTTGTTATATAGTTATTCGATTCTAGACCTTATTGGCAAACTATAACTGGACCCTTCAAACCAAAACTAATAATCAAGTTTCCTAAACTTGACTACTTCAAATAGTCTAATTACAAATCTTTTAAACTCAAACGCATACCTGTTTGTTTCATAAATTAGAAAATATTGCATCGTGTTTAATATAAACTTCGTATTTCAGTATCATTTGTTTAGTTAGGCCATTCATTCCGATGAATTTTAATTAGTCGACACGATTAAAATTTAGTTTTCATGTAAATAGTTCTCGAAATATGCCTTTAAAGTATTTCAATAAATAATGCTTCCGATATATAGCCATAGCAGCTTGACAGAGGAAATTTTATCTTATTTTTCAGCTCACAATCATTTTGTTAACAGGTTGATAAACTCAGTTCTATGAACTGTTTACTCCTAGTAAGTCGAGACAGTGCAGTTTGTGTTACCCATATCTCGTAATCCATTATTCAGTTGAATAAGTAAATTTGCAGTCATTTGAATACCAAAGTTATAACTCAAAATTATAAACTTCATCAGAGCTAAACTGTATCTTTCAGTGTAACCATACTATTTCTGTGCTTAATGAAACTAAAGATTTAAATTATGGAAATCATTTATAGCGTTATAGTTTTACATTAAGTTTTAAAAAGTTACCTTAAAGCGTTGTGATTACGAACCATAGTCTTACACAAACTTTCATAGCATTAAACATATGTTTTCCCACATTTGTATATAGACAAATTACATTAGAACTGAGAAGTTAGATGCAGTAGCTGTGTAGAATATTCAATATGCATAGGCATGCTATATAGTAATGTATTGTGAAGGTCTGAAAACCGGTATCGTAGTTTGTTTAATTTTTAGTTATAATAGTTTAAGTAATAAAGTTGTAATATATTGAGCAATATTAAAATACTGCGTTTTTAGGAATCTATTTACATACACTTAAGCTTCTAGTTACATTCCAACATGTAGTGGGATATCAACATGGGAAATAAAAGAGAAAAATAACCAAAGTTACGATTTACAAGCTACTCAATAACATACGTGGCAGCCATCTTCTTTTCATCAATTGAAGCACCTGCTACTGGGTCTAAAAAGTATGCCTGTTGTGTTTCAAAGTAGCGTTCAACTAATGGTAGTACAACCTTAACAAAGAATTTCATATCTTGACTTGAACTTAACCATGAACGACTAGTACTATAACGAGTGCTTGGCATTGGTTCACGAACTGATGACATGGCCGAATCGACATAATCCAAAAGCTTGTTCAATAACCCATAAGCAAATCGTGATGTTGGTGCTAAATCTAAAATGTATAATTTTAACCTGTCAGTTAGCATTAACACAGAGCCTGACACATTTATGTCTTGGCTCAAGTGGCTGTACCACAATTAGTACGATGAGATGAAAATAAAAATAGCAAAATAAATCAAAATAATGTAGTTGCAATGAAAACAAGAAGACTAAATCTTGAGAATATCCTTCTTAAAGTATAATTGTTTCGTCATAAAGCGAAATGGCTTTCAAAAAACTACTTTTTAAATGAATTATCAATCATTTGTAATACGTAACAGTGCATAAGCTAACAAATTAGGCTTTTATTAACATATTTATTCTCCAGAACCGTGTTGTAAAAGTGATGAAACAGTGAATGTCAGTTTAATAAATGTTACAGTTAATAAAAATTATTATTTCTTCAAATTTTGACAGTTGAAAATCAAATCATAAGGTGTAACTGTTACCTCATTCTGAATTTTCTCATTCTATTTTTACTGCTAATTTTTTTTCTGTACCAAGAGTCAGTCATTATTAATATTCTTAACTGATTCATACCCATCAGTCCCAATGGCATTTCTTATTAGGTAATCATTTTCATTATTTCCAAAATGTTATTAATGTTTGATCAAGCAATAATCTTCAGTTATATTTGGTTTCAAATATTAAATGGACTTTTATTTTTTTATATTTAGAAAGAGTTACGATTTATTATTGCTTTACAACTCAAGAGTACAACTCACTCACATAACCTTTTATTTTATTCTTTGAATTATATACTCATTTTACCCGTTGAATTTAGTTCTGTAAAATGTTCTGGCTTTGAAAACTAATGAATTGATTCTATTTTCAGTTTCAGTCAACCTATGATACGAGTTTAACTATTGAATCTGGGTTTATCTGAGTTTGTAACGATGTTTTAGATATTGTGTTGTCAGCTGGATATTCATAACAACATAGCTAGTCACTCTGATTTTGCTTAGTAATAAATTGTCTGATTGTTTCTTAAACTACAAGGTTTGTTAATTTTATGTCTATCTATCAACAGTATTAAAGAATTTGATAAACTGTTAAGAATACAACTGAATTTTTATATGCAACTATGAACATTGATAAATTCTACCTTGATCTATTAATTTTACACTTTGATGAATGACAATATTATTCTACTATCGGAAGCTTTTCAGTTTATTAGTTTGTTGAGCAATCGTAGGAATAACCAACACCACTAAATTATCAATATGATTGATGAATTCAGATTGCAATCTCATTTTTTCTTTGTTTTTAATGAAAAAAAGTGAGTAGTAACGATGAAAACTGAAAAAGCTCAACAATTAGTGCAAACTGGAAATAAGGAAAAATTAGTTTTTGGAGAGACAACATTTTTTGTTTGCTTTAGAATAAAACTTACTTCTGTTGTCATGATGTCTAACATTACTAGTACCTCCATTCCCCTTATTTGTATTAGTATTAGTTGAATTCGATCCAGTACGAACAGTTAATCTATAACCATTATATTGTAAATATTTAATCAATTCATGGGTTAGACGCCGATATCTTTTACGTTCATTATCTGTTAATATATCATATGGTACTAGTAGTTGATGTACTCCACCACCTGAAGAGAAAATGAAAATTTGCAATAAAGTAGATTTTTACTGATTATTAAGAATATAAACACAGTATTTTGGATGAAATAAACGGATTTATAATAGAATCCTTTAGTTAATTTAGGAGAATATGGTTTATTATCTCCTTAGTTGTTAATTTTTCCTCAAATGTCTCTCTGAAGATTAATCCAAGAAAATTTGATTAGGTCGGAATTCAGTGGTTATGTGACTCGTTCAAATATTCATTTTGACAAAGAAAATGTCAAAGAAAAATGTAATAGAGTTGTGTGATATTTTACAGGAGTTTGTTACGTACCAAAGGTATTCATATTTGGGACCATGGTGAACGTTTTAAAGATCAATTAAAAGTATATTCCAAACTAAAGAAGTATAGATTTTATTATCATATCGAACGAAAACGTTGACAAATGACCTAGTTTCACGAATGAAATGATGTTTCAGAAATTAAAAAGTCACAGAAAGTATGTGGTTGAGTTTACTGGTTGTACCAAACGTATGGATAATTGGATAATAGATACAAGAACCTTGGCCATAGATGTTGAGAACACACATTGCAGCTCAAATCACTTAATCAGTAAATTATATTTAAAGAGAACGCATTCAAAATAAATATACCAAATTGGTCTATTGGTTTATCCGATTTCACTAAAAAGCTATATATGTGAGTTGATTCTTATTGAAATTATGATCAAATGATTAGATGATGCATGAAATCTGGAGATCAAAAACACAAAATTATCTGCAATACCGTCGTTACTGAGGAAATATATGCAATGTACTATAAGCCTCGTAAGGTATCTACTGTATCCACCGTGCTCCGATAGTCAAAAAGCCTGCTTTTTAGGATGGATATATAAAGTTGTTCACAACAAACTATGACAGTCCACATGACAATAATTGAACTACAATAAGCAATAATCTATGAGATCATTCAAACACGAACCTCTATAGTTAATGTTTCCAATAACATATCAGTTGATTACATAAAATAAGTAATTTTAAAAATACTAATTTCTTTGATCATTATATAACATGTATATATAAACTTCAATTAGTAACTGCTCACCAATTGCTTCGAGATCACTCATTTTTTGTCTGGCCCATATATTATGTGCATTATCAGCTAGACGTTCAGCCATATTTAACATTTCTTTAGTAACATTTACACCACGTAAATCTTTTGGACTCGGATTATAATTTAACAAATTATCACTCTATAGATAAAAAAAAATTGCGGAGATAAATGAATAAATGTTATTGAGTCATTATTAATTCATATTATAAACGGACGGTTATTTCAATATCATTCCTTATATCAATTTTAATTTCTGGTCAACGAAAAAATTTAATGCCCCTCAGAGTCCTTCTAGAGTTACTGCCGGTCTGAAGCTCGGGTAAGAAGGGTAGGGCGAGTTTAGTATTCTCATTCCATAAAAACTAACATTGTTAACGAAACCCTAACCAGATAAATTTGAATAAATTGAACTGGGATAGATCGATATTAATTAATCAGTAATTGAAGATTCAAAGCAATACATGATTGTTGAATGGATTAAATAGGATAACAGTTTCCTTATACTGCTAATCGACCGTTATTGAAGCATATGGAGCATTGAATATCGACTAGATATCTGAACAGCACATTTATTACTAGAATCAGTCTGAAGGTTCTGTGTTTTGTCTCATATATGGGATTTCAGATATTCATTGTTGAAAAATCATAACGTGAAACGAAAAAAATCTTATTGTCTCATTGTTTTTCTAGTTTCTTTTCAGGTTATATCACTCTATAATAGAAATCATCTCTGAAAAGATGAAATCTTTTCACATAATTTAACCGATCTATCAACATACCTTATTAGTTAAATTATCAATGATTGTAAACAGAATGAGAAATTAAAGAATTTCTATTAAAAATGACAAGCATTACCTTTTTTAAATTCTACTTCAAAAACATAGAAAAGTTATGTTGTCGAAAATTCCCAGATAATATCATCAAAAATATGTGTTTGAGAAAAAATAAAAAGAAGAAGACGTACTGTAATCGTTTGTCTACGTATGTGTTTTGTATCACCAGGTGTATCACGGTAACGATTTTCATCACCATCAACAGACCAACCACAAGCTAACATCGTTTTTAGTGTATCTGTTACAGGATGAATGTATCTCATTTGCTCCTATGCAAAGAAGAAATAATAAAATAGCTTAGTTTCTAAAAAATAATCAGTATACATGAGTAAGTAAATAAATGTATACATGTATCAATTTTAGATGTCTGAATGGAAAAAAAACACTTGTTATTAATTGGTACTTCTAATAACAAAGTTTTGTAACATATTGTTCATTTTAACAGTTTCTATTTCTCTGATCAATACTTTATTGTTCAATATATAATACTGTAGATCCTTTAGAAGTCAGTGGAATCGGAGAAACAAGTAAATTTCTAAACCAATCATACCTTACTTTGGATAACGGGTAACACTGTTAAGCAAATTAAACACGGTGAAATTTTTTCTGACTTTACTTAATAACACTTGTTCCTATACTTTTAGAACAGATGAAAATGGTTTCTATTTGTCAAAATGAACTATTATATAAAAACCGCTCAAACTTGGAGATCTTAGTTGAATTTATATGTTTATGTCTTAATCATTGTTATTGTTATTGGCCCGATTATCCGAAGGATTACTTGGCTAGAAATATATATGGCACCACCAATTAACTGCTCAGATCATTAGATCTACTTAAAAACCACGTGTTATCTTGAATTAACATCATTATTATTAGCTACACCAATGTTATAAGTAGGTCATTATCGCTTTTTTAATTAGTGACAACTTAACTATTTTCTTTACCCTAACGGCAATATTTTGTACGCGTTCCCTGTGATTGACTAAGTTATAATCACTTTTTCTCTGGTTACTCAATTTTTACATAAGTGGAAAATATCTGTGATTATTCTTGATCAGTAAGCTGAATCAATTTATCTATGTTGCCCACAATATTATGCTTGCAAAACTATTTCTTATTTGTACGAGTAGTGTGTATATGGAACACTTGATGTATACGAAATGAAATGAATTCATTACACTCCCACAATGTTTGTCGTTTGTACGTAATAACAACTAGTATTTAACATGATATAAATAAAACATTCATACAATTTCTTTCAACACTTATCAAGTGTTTTCATTTACCAAAGAAACACCTGTAATAATCTTATATTAACATATCTATCTCTTATATCACAACTAAACATGTTGGTAAGCAGTGATTAGATTAGAAATCAACATTTTATCCTGTTGGCTAACAATGTAGAAATCTCCCTACCTCGTTAGACAATCAATTTTATTGTTGAGCTTATCTGCATTTATCCGTCAACAGTTTTTTTCCATTATAATTTTAATTTGGTTATGTATACACTGAAACTACCAATATTATTTGTTAACAGTATAAATCTCATCTACTCAGTCGTATTACATTGATCCAAAATGAAATGTGAACTTACCTGTGTTGGCAACTGACTAAAAGAGCGTAAATTTGGGTGTGTTCTTCGAACTTCATCAACTTGTGCACCAAATGTATAACCCTGTTCAATCAAATCTAAAGCCCATGAATCATGGCAATGTTCAGCGAATCTCTGAATTAAGCCATTCAATGCTACTGGAAGACGAACCTAGAAATAATCAGATAGAACATAATTTATTAAACAAAAATTATAGTTGCCCTATTTATTTCAGAGTGACAAATGTGGTGATTAGGATTTAAACTACAGAGATAATCACTCTCTTATCATATGATGTCATAACCGTAAGCATTTCAGATTAAAGCCATGTCGTTTGCGCGGCAGTTATCCATAACAGGATGTAGGAAATGGTCGCATTATTTTGTGGATTAGGTAAAGTTGGACATCTGAGGCATTAGATACCAGCTCAGTTGTCTTAAATCTAAGCTTTTGCTAGCTAAAGAGGTGGTCCTGGGTTGGATCACCGGTAGGGTCGTGAATGTGTGCTACTGAGGCGTCTCACACTAGAATGAAACGGCCATCCAGTGATTTATGGTTTTCGATGTTGTCTGACTAAAATCAATCCATAATGTAAACTACGATAAAGTATATTATGTTAAGCATTTATAAAAAAGTATTTGAACACTAATAATGGTACGACGGTACATTCAGCTGACAATTCCAAATAAGACAAAGTAATGTTCCGACTTCCATTGCAGGCTATAACCCATTCAGTTTATAAGAGTGCCTAATATACTGGCTATCGAAGTTTATTACTTTTGGATCAATAACTGTAAAGCTTGAATATGCAGTTAGATTGTTTTAAATGTCTTTTGCTTTTTCTAAATCGTATTATGCTAAAGTTAATAAATTAAATCTATTTTAGCATTAGATAAAAGCTCTACTGAATAACTTTATTTCAAGTAAACAATTTATTGTTGAACTCAAATAATTAGTTATAGACATTATTCTTAACATTGATTATTAGATTAAATCAATTATACTCAGTAGGAATATATACTGTGAAGTATGTGCGAGATGACTACTGTAGCGCACCCGACTTACTTTTCATTGGGAACACAATATATATGTCGTGGGACATTTTATCAATGAGTTTTCATTGATAAAAAATACTACTAACACAAAAATACGTATGTATAAATCGAATTTAATTGCTGAATGTAATAAAACAGAAGGACATTATTACTTGAGATGTATCTATAGGTTGAGGGCGAAATACATCGTGATGAACAAGTTCATCAAGTGAATCATTCGCTTCTATTTTAGGAGCTCCAGGAACTAGTAAAGAATCTGTGAAGAAAGAATAATTAAAAGAAAAAATACTTTTAATATAATTAACTTTAACATCTTTGACTAATCATATATTCAGTTGATAACCGTTGGATGATGGCTGTGGTCTAGAGGTTTAGCGTTCGTCCGCGAGACCAAAGGTTCTGGGTTCAGATTCGGCGGGCAGAGCCGAGTGTGCGCACTTCTGGGGAACCTTATTATAAGACGAAACGGCCGTCCAATGCTTTGGGGTTTTCATTGGTGGTCTAACGTGAATCGACTAATGATGTCGATAAAAAACCTAATAATCTCCACAACCTTATATTAATGATAACTAAAAATGAGGAGTATGTATTGGAATTTTTTAAACGAAGTTAGGCTAAATTAAGCTTAGTAAAAAAAATTAAGGTGCTATTCAAATAGATTGGTGTCTAAATTATTTTTTGGAAATTAAATACCACAAACTTTATGTAAAATTTAATCCCCTCCATAAAATCGTGACGGAAAAAGAAAGTGAACAATAATTTCCTTGTTTTCTGATTACCTTGGAGATTATAAAGAAATTCACGTATAGTTAATATTACAACAACGGAAAGAATACATTATTTCAACTACACAAAGATTTAATTGTGTACAAATCTTCTAAGTTTGAACTAATCTGATAACTATTAATATGAACACAGTAGAAACTTCGAAAATTAATTTCATGATAGAATTCTATGGTACTTAAGTATTTGACGCATCGGTGAAAGTAGGACTTAACTGGTTAAGGGGAGACTTAAAGTATCCGTGTACACTGTGAGCTAATATAGTGGTATAGTATCTAGTGTCCCAGTGATAAAGCCGCAACATCCACATCATGAATTTCCTTGTTATATTAACAGTTCCCCGAAAAGGAAAATGAAAATCGCTCTGAAACTTAACTCACAACCGTTTTACTATTTTCAAGTCAGGATTTTATTCAAATAAATAGTTTCAAATATAATTTACTTCTGATAAATGACATTCATTATTATGTTGACTGGAGCGTGCTAAACTCATATTTACATTTTAAATGTAATCATTCTTATTATTAATTTCAACTATTTTCTATATTTTTCTTCCTAAAGACCATATTGTTCGTTGATTTATTCATCTTACCATCCATCCGATTTTCAAAAAATCTTATCAGTTTTTTACAAGAACAAGTATATACTAATTTGTGAAAAGAAAATGAGATGTTTCTGTAAAATGTCTATTATATCTCGAGTTTTATTACGTAATATGACAATGAGAAAACACTGTAATTCACAAGGTGCAAGTGGAAACAAGAAGGACTGTGCTAGTGATGATTTATCGACTTCTCAAAACACGTTCCCTGAACAGGTCTTCAAAACAAGTCCAAAACCATATTGTCATACGACCGAAATACACTCATTTATATACACAGGTTCACTGTAAACAAACACCGAACATAGTTCACCTGAACTGATATAGGGAATATATGCGTCACATTGAAAGAAAATTACCATTGAATTAATTAAAAAATATTATCAGAAGGGGTTTGTGAAGATTTTTGGAAATTTTCACAGATTGAAATCATGAGTCAGTTCAGTGCTTCCAGGTTTTCAATGGTGGTCTAGCTTCAACTGACTCATGATTTCAATCTGTGAAAATTTTAAAAAATTTTAACCAAAAATTATATCACCAATCTATCCAGTCATATCGGAATAGAAGTGCCTTATTACAAAGATACGTCAGTTTTATGCCAAAACGCAATCGAACGTACTCATTTGATCAGTGAATACTGATTGCCCAACATTTTGCCCTAAACTGTCATTTTGTTGACCCATCGCATTCAATTGACTAATTGAGTAATCCGGTGGTAAAGCACATGCTATCGAACATAAACATGGTAATGCATAAGAAAATAATTCGGGTTCATATGGTTGTCGGGATAACTTTTCGAATATTAATATGAATAGATGAGCAGTGATACTTCGTTCCTCTTCAGATGCTGATGTTTCACCATCACCGCTACGACTACCTACGTTATCAGCTCCACCAGAACTAGCACCACTACCGGTTTCGTTACTGGTGCATCCAGAATCATCGTCAACTGATGTTGCACTATGTCCTGGTGAACCTTGTGCGCCACCTGTCCATCCATCTGAACTATAATAAGTCCCACAGCGTTGGTAAAATTCTGTCAACGCTCGAAGTGATACGACGGACTAAAAAAAATAAGTACAGAGAAATGAAATAGTAAGAATATAAATGTTTCCCAGTAAAATTAACTTGATCAGTATCAAACAAACAAGGCAGGATGATGCTGAAGTAATGTAGAGATATTTTGTATTTAAGCTACAATTTAGGATTCTCAACAGTTATTTATAACAAAAAAATATAGCTTAATGTAGATTATTGAGTTTCCAGTCTTAACATTATTCAAACAAGTATCATACTCAGCGAAGTAAATAGTTTAATTTCTTCTCTTTAAACTAGGAGAATGGTTTTTATGTTGTAAAACAATAAATTAGAATGGATTTGCTTTATCTAACTATCAAGTAGATTATCATCAGGATGAAAGCTATTTTCACAAACATGATTGCTGAATAAAGAACAAAAACTTAGGTCAACTTCATCCATCTGTGTAATATATTAACATGAGTCTGTTTACATTTGATTTAGTTAACATTTAATGTTTCATAATATAAATAGCCATGTATTACAATCAATTCTTTATACGGGAGAAATTCTTCAACATCTACAATACTACTGGTTGGAATCCAGTAATTTCTATTTTACAAACCTCGGTGAAGTTGCTTATCCATTTCTCAGCGATTGATTTACTAAATATATGCTTAACATAGAACATAGAACTGCATGATAAAAATATTTTTTTACATATATGAGTGAAAATTAAACACTAGTTGAAACTTAGTCATTAAATTGTCGAACAAATGTGGCTTACTTCTTTTGATAATGTACGTAAATCAGAAACCATTTTCTTTAATAGAGCAGACATCATTGGTGGTTTAATTTGTTGCATCAAAGCAACTAAGAAGTCACAAACGACTTCACGTTGATGATTAGTAATGGATCGACATTTTGATAAACGATAAGCCGTTTGTAATGTTGCCTCAAATAATCCTCCAGTTGTACCTTCTTCGCCAAGATATTTGGTATGACGTGTGAGTAATGGCAAAACACTATTGCATAAATAACGATTTAATGCTAAAGCCATATCACTGTCTGGAACAACAGTCTAAGTAAACAGAAAAAGAAAAATTTTATTACATAATGATTATAAAATAAAAATACCTACACTAAATTTAAACTACCATATAAAATATATGCCTGAAATGAACAAATATTCAAAGTAAATATAAAAACTTTGTCTAAATGAATGGGTATGAGAAATAACAACTCCAAAAATACAAAAAGTTACAAGAATTAGATTACTAATAGATTCAAAGTATTGTTTTTTATATGGAAATGAGGCTGCAGTTAGATTTTGAGTTTCAAGTAGGAACAGTGTTTCAAGCAATAAACATGTGCACTAAAGTAATAGAGAAAATTGGTTGTGAATGTTTAACAAAATAGCTCAGTTTGTTGTTTTAGATTATGAACTAAGGTTTAGCGTTTTAAAATGACATGTTGAATTGTTTGGATATGGATATATATCATGTCTTTTTAATTCAGTTAATTATACTCACACGTAAATAAGTGGAGAAAAATGGATTCAGGTTAATGTGTTTCTAAAAGTGTAATAAATTGTCCGTATCTGTAGTTTTCTGTTTTTTGTGTAGAATATGTTTGCTATTTTTTCATGTTAATCGAGTAAATTATAACTAGTGGAAGGTTAACTATGAATATCAGCTTCATTATTCAGATAGTTTTTTCCTATTTTTGGATTCATAGATGTATGATAGAACTTTTGTATCAGCTCCTGCATTTCACCAGTCGGTCGGCTAAATTAGAAAGCTACCTTAGGACAGATAAACTTCAAGGAATAGCATAAAAAACCGGTCGTTTTGAGAATTTGATTTTATGCAGTCTAAATATACCTGATTCATCTAATAGACAAAGGATAATTATAGTATTGTCCACCTTGAATCTCATCCTAAAGAACGTACAGTGAAGATTATTTTCCACTTGGATGTTTTTAAATGATTATGAAAACGTATACATCATGTGCGACAAGATTTTTGTGATGGTACAGAATGACTGTTGAATCCTAACCAGAAATTCAGAAGTGAATATCAGTGGATTTCCGGACAGTACTTTGATCACTATGATAAATCATCGTTCCTGGCCATCGCACTCGGTCCGCTGATATTTCGTCTTATTCCCTGTAATATATGGGGAATATTGGGATGGCTTGGAAGTGATAGAATGTGAAGCAAAGATACAACTGAATACCCTAAGTCCTGAGAACTTTCAAGAACACTTTAAATAGTCGAAACGGAGGTAAGACAAGTGTATTTCCAAAAATGGAGTTTTTAGGGAACGTGATTAATATACCCTGAAGTTTTCAAGAAAGTCTTTATAAGTGCATTTGTTGAGAAGACTGATGTTGATGTAACTGCATAATTATCATTCACCAAATGAAGAAATTTATAAATTTATTTGCCAAGTTTATTCATTGTGCAACATTTACAAGTCAAGATGAGTTCCGTAAGCACTTTCTCATACTTTTGTGATGTTTTTAAAGATTTGAACTGTTATGTGATTAAAAAATAAACCTGAAGCTGTCTGAGGATCTAGTCAAAATGGTAATCATGGTATTATTTTTATTGCTACTATTATTGTTTGGATAAGAATGCTGTTGCCTCTTGTGAACTTTAAACTTTTCAATGAACCAGTCCGAATAAGTGTGGCAGTAAAAAAATAAGTAAAATAATTGTACAACTTTTTTTACAACATGATAAAAACAATTATTCATGCTTTACACATAGCTGGAATGAATCTTGTTATTTATTGTTCTAGTGATTGTGATTAAATGTAAAGAAAATGATCATAATTCTACTCACGTAACGATGATTACTAAACTAGCTAGGTTAACTCTATTTTCAAATATGAAATTAAAGATTTTTCATAGATGAACCAATTTGATCTAGTAATTGAAGTGAAAATTGTATGAAAATTAATGATTTGAAGTGTTTATCACTGAATCATAAATAAAACTTACTGAATCAAGTAATGTGGCTGCACGTAAATCTGGTAGAAAACCATTTTCTAATAACCTTAAGAATGTCGCAGCATCTGAAATTCCATAAACTCGCTCTAAAAATAACACAACCGATGCTTTATGCTCTGGCAGTAGACCAGGTGGCATACCAGCTTTATCAACCCATTCATCTTCTCCATCTTCATTGGTCTATCGAACAATGATGGGTGGAAAACACAAAATCTATCATATATTATATATACACAAATGAAAACTAGAAATCTTATCAAAAAATGTTCAAATACATAATGGAATATCCGAAAGTGAGTGAAAATATAGGAAACAGAGAGAAATAGTGAAATGTGTATGGAATTATATGTTTTGATAACCTACAAATATTAAAATAAAATGATTACTAGGACGAGTGATGGCCTTTGAATATTTTCTGTTATAGTGTTATTACCAATGAGGTAAGCATAAAGACCTGATTTGACAACAGTACTGTGAATTAGAACAAGTAATAACCATATGAATCCTGAATTGCTTGTTAATTATAGTTTTCCTATTATAGCATCTCATAGACGAGTATTTTACTCAGTGATTTGGAATTAGCCCATTTTGCTTGGTGAATCTTGACTGACTTGAGTCACATCAAAACACTGAAGTTATCCATGTTTAATATTGAAATAAACATTAGTTCGTAGTCAATATTATATAGAAAAGTTATTTCTTGTTTTGAAATTATCTTATTTTGCGTTGACGATGATAATTCGAAAGTCTTCCCAATTAAAAATTTCGTCTAACTCAGTATATTGATTTTGAGTTGAAAGAAATTACCGATTAAAAATAATTTTGAAAAATGCAAGTTGTTTTTTCACAGCGTTGGACTTCTCAGGTTCGCATATTTATAACCTTAGAATATTCAGTTCACAGTAAACGTGTTATCTTCTGATTACTGAATGCGAATTCCGTAGCAGGATAAAAAATAATTCTTGCTTTATATTAACCACACTCCTATTAGTGGCTAGCTTAGAGACTGGTTTCTTGATGCTCAAGTGAGAAATTATGACCTTGAGGTTCAACAGACCCTTAAAAAAATCAGGTATGACTAACGAATAGGGTAGGGTTATATGTTGTGTCTAACTTATAGTGTATTAGATTCCTTTGGATTTAATTGAAACAACTGATACAGTAATGTCAAATGAGGCTATTTTGATAAACAGAACAATGTATATAGTAATTAAGTAAACGGATATTATCAAATTTCGCCAAAAATGAATGAGTCATGTCATATATAAGTGAACTTGATACGTATGTTGCTATCCGTTCACCTATTTTATATAGTATGTAATCTCGCAACATTATGGATTTCTTTAAATGTGGGCATGTCTCTATTTGTATAAGACTAGAATGGAAGATAAATATTCTATTAACATCTCTGATAATATGTGTTAGAAAGCGCGTGTAATTAGCTAATAATATAAAATGCAGCTATATATTATAGTAAACAAAATAGTGAACACACTTACCTGGACTTCTAATTTTGGCGGAGGTAATATAAATCTCAGTGATAAAACTCCTTCTAAATCAGCCATACTAACAAGTGATTGTAAAATTGACCTGGCACGTATTGATTCACTTTTAACAGTTTCCATATCTGGTGCACAATATCCCAATAAATTTACCAAAATTGAATGAAACGTCAATATTGCAGCACCCAGATCAATGTAATCGGGATCATCTTCAGGCTGAATATTGGGACAGTGGAGAAAAAAAACCATGCTAAACATAAACATCGAAAGAATAATTTAGTTTTCAGACGAATATTTTTCTAAAGAGTATTCTCGTTATCGTATTCATTTTTTCGTATAGAAATACTAGTCGCACACAAAAAATTACTGAGCGATATGAGTGGGCTATTAAAGAACACCCAGTAATCAGTAGCACTAGGTAGACATATCCGAGTTATTTGTACAGAGCTACATCTACAAACGTACTGACCAAACTAAAACGTTGCATCGGTCCATAAAACCACCAACCTTTGGTCTTAGCCATGCTGGTAGATGCAGACTACTTGATTGGGGGGTCAGCGTGACTATCGTAACCAGTGGTTGAAGACTCTGGGTAACATGGCTCAGAATCGATCACAATGGCGAAGATGTATACACTCTTTGTCTTCCCTTAAACCGTGGGATTAAAACTTTTTATACCATTATTTCTACGAACTAATTCCTTCTCCTTACATGAAATCATTTTTACCACCACTGAAGTAATTGCTTCTATGAATCTGATGTTCATCTCGTTGTATTAATGAGGTATGGCAACTTAGACCGATGCATATATATGCCTGGTTCTACATTGTAGATGATTGACTGACAAACGTATGATTTAATTCGACGCATTTTCAGAAAATCGCCACTACAGTGGATTGGTGAATATTATGCCGGATGAGATAAGCAGTTCATAAAACAACTGCTTTATCTTTCAAAGTGTAATAGACTAATAACATATCCTTTTCCAAGTCTATTTATAAATAAAAACACCGTTATGAGTGCTTTAGTTTCACAAAGATTATCAACTTAGCAGGTTTATCTCATTATTTGAAAGATTTCCTTATAGAAATTATCAAAGCAAGATTTGAGCCTTCATTATCGTCATGGTTCATCAATCAATAATGAGTGCTTCAGTAAGATAATAATTTTTAACTTTAGGGTTAGATTTCTAAGAAAGTGTAAAACACCGATGAGTCGGGGTACTTACGATGTGGTTATCAACTCTCATTATATTAATTTACACGCATTTATAGATAATATGTATAGGATATTCATCAATTAAATCCGATACGTGAAAAATTGTTGTGAAACTTTTACTCACCGGTAGTGATTCAAAGTTGTATGGTAGTGGTGTAAATAAATTGGCGTCTTCGTAGTCCATCAAGACAGTTCGCCACCCTAAATCTTCTTCTTCTGGATTCAAGCCTGCTGATTCAGCTTCTTGAGCCATTTTCACTAGTTTAATTTGAGCTGACATTACTAGACCTTCTTTCATTGCCTTTAAAAGACCACCACCAGCTAAATTAGGCTGATAATCTGTGTCACTAATTAGCTGTCCAGTTGATTCGCTTGCAGCATGCAATCCATCTGGACCACCTGGTGGCACTTCTAAACCGTCTGTTCCCGTATTTCCAGTAGAATGTTTCATAACTTTCGATCCACCGCGCAATGCCGGACCTAAGCACTCTGGTCGGCGAATCAATAGACGAACAACTAAGTTAGCATTTTCCTCAACTGTTTCACCTAAAATTAAGGTTGTATAATATGATGCACGGTTATTATGAGCTGCATCGAACTTGGGAATATCATATGGAATCAAAACTATTTTAAAAAAATCTTTACAGTACTAAAAAATCAACGCACAATGACTAATATTTCAGTGACTATTTCAAATCTTAACGTATATTTTAATTGTTAAAAGGTATCCATACAATTAAATTTGACCATACAAATAATAACTAATACAATACGTTCATAACACATGAAACATAGTCTCACACAAACAGTTCAGAAATAGTAAGATCAATTTGTAAACTTATTATGAGAATTTGATTAAGCAGGTTGATCACTCACAGTAGGTGAAGTGGTGCACGTTTTTGTTAACTGCGAAACATCATCACTTCTGAAATACAAAATCTATCTGACAACTAGTTTCGCCTCAAGCAATTTAAATAATTAAAGAATTTATAAATAACTGAAAGTAAATGAACAAAATATTTTTACCATTAACCCAAACAGTGAAACGCAAGAAATCAAGAAAACGTTCTCCTTCCACTGGATCCCATCCAATATCTGGGTAACCTTTAGCTAATAACTCAGCATTTGACTGAACACCACATCGTGATAAATAGATAGCAACCTAGAATATATAATTTAGTAGCAAAAAATTAGCTAAACGGAATATAAGTTTTCATAAGAGGGTAAATCTGCTTTTGAATTCCTAAAACAGTGCGAACTTGACAAACTTTAAGAATAAACAGATAACAATTTGTATCCATTTATGAATTTTAATGAGAATGACTACTTTCCTCTGACAGAATTAGAAGAAATAATGATGGACTTCATTTAAATATCGTCATATCCGTAAGTTCTACGTTTAATTAATTATCTAAACTTTTACTACACTGTTGTCACATTTGTCATTTTGTTGATATATACTCAAAGGACTTATTTAGTGAGTGGACGTTTAGTAAAGGGTAATGAATCTTGACTAAATTGTTTGATTAATGTTTCTAAATTAAAGGTTTAAGAACACCATGAAAATAAAACTTAATTCTCATAAAAACCATAGGATACTTGTAAGTTTTTCTGTATCTCCATTTTTGACGCTGAGGACTGCAATTGATCTATCCCTGTTAGCATATGTGTATTCCGAGTGAATGTCTCATTAATACAATTTATTTATGAATTTTGCATTCATCTGAATTAGGACTTTTATCCCTGTGTTATTATTCACAGATAATCAGTCCTGAATTGGACGATACATGTGTCCTGGATTCTACTGCTAGAAGCAATCCATCTACAGTCTACTCCCTAGTCATCTTTAATCAAGTGTAGTTGTCTCTTACCTTTTCCAGTTGTTTTTCACGTAGAGCCAAAGCCAATTCATTGTTATCCATCAAAGAAGAATAGGCTACATCCAATGGGCATGTACCACGAAGACTTGGACGAGCTGTGAATTAATAAATATCACATTACCTGTTACTTTAAAATTCTATTTAAAATGATCTGATAAGACAAATTTTTAATATCACAGAAAAAATATTTATAGAAATTAGTCATAATATCAATACATTGTACACAGAAAATTAATGTTTTACGAAATTTGTACTATCAGAATACTCACCTAAGTGTTTCACGTAAATTAGAATTGTAATAAATAAATGAAGTCTATCACATCACGAAAGTGGTAATAATATTATCACTTAGAATGAAAACTAGATATCATAGTATGAGAAACCTACGCTTCACAGTTTGAAATAGCTCACAAAAATGAGGAAATGGATGTTTGTTTTACGCTTGAGTACATTTTATAAAAGGTACAATCCCGTCGATTGACTGGTAAAAAGTACATCCAACACAGAGTTAACATAAATTGTAAAATCTAATTCTATTACATGATTAACTAAATGGAAGTAGGGCTGTGTGCTAAGTTCTAAGCCAAACCGACGGTGTCAGTGCTAATGACAGAAATAATCTGTTAAAGACTATTGTAAATCTTAACTCAAGAGCTTTGTTAATTCTAAATATTTCCAATTCTCCATTATAGCGTAACAAACATTAATCCTCATATGGTACCTTCACACTCACTGGGTGATTATTTAAAAAACGACTAAATGAGTTATTACAACAATATATTAACATTTAAGAAAGTTGACTAAACTAGGCTGGGTCAAGTCAGAACTAATGATTTATTAGGTATGGTCATTCCTGAAATTTTTACTATACAAAAAAATGAAATTTATGAAATTATCCGGAACACTTCAAAGCTCCCAACAAAATCGAAGACCAGACCATCGAGGATACAACATAATAAGGCATTTAATAACTGGCGTTATGAATTAACTCTTAATGTTGACCTCATGACTGCAATATTAAGAAAGAAAGAATGGCGTATGCAAATAGTGAGATAAAAGTATGTTCACATACGTACTGAAAATCATAAGTCATGAAAATATACTCATCCATTCTACTATACACTGATTAGTTGTGCTAATGGTAATTAATGTGATTGTTAATTCAGTTCTCAACGTTTAATTCCATTACCTCTATTTTAAAACATGTTGTGCATATATGATATCAAGAGTTCACGTTATTATCAATAATTTTTTAATATGCAACTTGTTTTTGTTTTAATATGTGATATTTCTAAGAATTTACATTCATTCCAGATATTCGATACAGTTGATAATAGTAGTGCTATTTTCTTATTGTTGCTGATAGCTTGTCATCATTTCATTTGTGTTGATTGGACATTTTTTATTCGGATCAATGTCCAATGTTGCGTTGGATAGTTTTCGTTTCAATATTTGGCTACCACTATATATTTTAACACAACCACTTGGTTTTATTAGATATTTTGTGTATCACTTATATAATTATTAAAGGACACACCTCCTCATTGATCATACCTTGGAAGGCCAAAAACGACTTAGATATTTCACGACTTCAGATTTGTAAACCTTATAGTTTATGGTCTTTAATAATAAGAATGGTTTTTGTAGACAGATCTCTGGTTTCTATATAAGCTTCAAAACCAACTCGATCACTCGGTAAAAATGCTTCGATGAATTCGATGACCATATTGTTTAGTTTTTTAGTGTCAATTTAATTCTGTTGGCTAAATTAGTATTTATCAACCGTTTTCAATCATCTATTAAAAATTTATGAAACCAATTTATTCTTATCAACTGGAAAATTGATTTTATAATATTTGTAATTGTTTAATATTATTAAACAAGATAAAGTAACTAGAGAACAATAAATCAATTTGCCAAAACGTTTACCGACAAAAATATCATACATTTTCACTTATTCATTGTGCACAAAGTATCAGTTCCGTTAACTAATGGACGAAACTTGTTCACTTAGTGTTGAGAATTACCTACTATTTGAAAGGAAATCGTCATCTTATTCTCGCAATATATTTCATCTAAATTTACTTATATACAGAGTAAAGACAGTAAAGATTGTCAGAATGGGGTTGTGGAGATTATTAAGTTTTTGACTTAGATCATGATTCGATTTATTAATAAGGCATAATTTAATGCAACTAACAAATTGTATTGTTTACCAAGTAGCATAGATGAATTTTCTAGCATATAACTAAGATGTTCAAACATAGCTTTTTGATTATCTCTTGATGTACGACAAAAATAGCATAGAAAACGACAACATTGAACAACCATTTCAGTTGGTCCAGCTGAACCACGTTGTTGTTGCGATTGCTGTTGTTGTTGGTGATGACTTCCATGACCTGTAGTTGAATTTAAACCTGAATAAGAGCCATAAAATAAAACGGATGAAGATGGGATTATTCAATGGGAAATTTAAGTTATGTTCACTACTTCACACACAGTAACTTCTCAACTACATTATATTGTCACAATAATCAGGACGGCAAATAAATTTCTGATTTTCTTAAACCTTCAGTTAAAACAACAAAATAATAAGTTATAAGTACTTTTATCATTTTTAATTACATTACACATATTTACATACACGTGAAATACTAGATCACAACGTAGTACAGTTTATAAATAGTAAAAGACACAAGGCTAAAATATTTTAGACATAAAATTAAATAATTTACTAATAGTTAAAAATATCCACATAACTCCATGCTGATAAATATCACATTTTCATTAACTACTAATCTTGGGAGGAAATTTTCCGCAGTTTCATTAAGAATTCATAACCAGTGGAGTTTAATTGTGTAGAGTGTGATGCACTTATCCTTCAATAGTAATGGAAGATAGCTGTTGGCTCAGTGATCTAAAGCTTAAGCTCTTTCTGAAAGATAAAGTCCCTAGCAAGATCCCCTTTGGTATGATAGCAACTGGGTACTACTGACGTGTGCCATAATAGAATGAAACAGTCATTCAGCTCTTTTAGGTCTTCCATAGTTGTTTAACTCAGGTTGATTCATGATCCTATTCACGTTCAGAAATTTCAACAAACAAACTTTCATTTTATTTGAATAATAATAATTAATATCATTCCTCTGTAACTAGTATTTTACCAAAAGCTATTTTACAAGGGGATGTCATGTTCAGGATTAAATAGTTTATAAACATGATCGTCTCAAGGTAAATTGATAATGGATTCTATTTTTAAAAACTATTTCAGAGGGAATTTTGCCAGTATATTTGAAGATGAATTAGATACTTACGATTTCTATTACCATTTTAAAATTTCAGATAGGCAAATTACAACACCTCGAAGATCTTTAGAAGTTTGAAAGTTGATAATGATTGTTATATTATGATGAGACTACAATGATAATAAAACTTGTAATGTATGTAGATTGACTTGGAATTATCAAAGTACTCTTCATTATTTGACTAATTACACACAATTAACATAAACATCTTCATTAGTTTACATGAAAAGAAATTACCATCAATTACTTGAATTTCAAAGGCTCAAAAAATATACTTGGGTTAAATAGCCATTTAATAAACAATTCATTTTATATATTTGTTGTTTTCTTTCCAAGATGAAATTATTATTTAAGTAATAATGGTTAAATAATTATGTATTTAAGAGTAAATAACATTCTATTACATTAAGTAAATTAATAGTAAAATTACACAGTTGACAGCTTAATTGATTGCGTACATAGTTTACGTCATTAAGTGGATTCAGGGGTTGATTCATTGAAATGCTAAAGTAATAGACAGATTGGCTCAAAAAATGACGAGCAAAAATTATTAAGTATAGAGTAAAGAATTAGTATTGTCATTATCGTTATTATTACAAGATTAACTAACCTTCCTCATGTAGAACAGGTAATGAAGAACCAGTGACACTGGTCACTGTAATGTCAGTTGTTACCGCCTGATTGGATGAGTGTATTGCATCTTTGGAAATGGCATTTCCACCTGGTTGTTCAAATGTTGCTTTAGTTAATGTTTGTACCATTAATTGCATAACTGTCTCATGTACAGCTAAACAACGTGTTAAATCAGGATGTTGAAAGAATACTTTATTATTCATTAAGTCCCTGTTTATAGACGTTGAGATATTGATGGTAACAAAAAAGATGAAGAAAACAGAAGCAACTTTTAATGATGAGAAATCGATGAAAAGTTTATATATGGCAGTAACTATTATTTATCTAATTAAATAATCGTGTGTGTTATTAGATTTATCAGAAAACAAAACTTATTCCAGCTATCATGTCAAGTTAGCTTTATTGTTAATAGGCACCAATATAAAGGCTTGACTTGATGATTTCAAATCATCTGAGCATCAAGTGGGAAGTAAAATATCACATGATATATTTTCAATGGTTTACTCTCGTAAGAGCGTGCAAAACGAAGAGTATTAGTAAGGGTAACGGACAGATGAGCAAGCTTCGAAAGGGTTTGCATCAGTAGTAGTGAGAATCAAACATGAAGGCTTATTAAAATACTAAAAATATGCCACTAATATATTTACTGACTGAAGATGATAAATTAAACGAAAGCATTGGATAAAGAATTTCCATCTATGGTGGTAAGTATTTAAATGGAATGAATAAAAAAATAACTAGCACTTCGTCTCAAAATGAATTAGTTGAGTAATGAGCACAGTTGTAAGTTCAATGGTAGAAATCATGAGTCAATTAAAGCTAGACCACCGAGGAAAACCTGGAAGCACTGGACGGCCGTTCCGTCCTTTTGCGGGACTCCTCAGTGGAGTTCAGCCGGGTCTGTTGTCAGATAGTAGCTCACTGAAGACAATGGTGGATATGTAGATGAATTAACACAGTTGGATTCCGGCTCAGTGGTCTAGTGGTTAAGTACTCGCGCGCGAGACTGATAGGTCCGGGGTTCGAATCTCGCGAGGGACGGTATCGTGGGTGCGCACTGCTGAGGAGTCCCACAATAGGACGAAACGACCGTCCAGTGCTTTCAGGCTTTCCACGTTGGTCTAGCTTCAATTGACTCATGATCTCAACCAATAAAATTACTATAATGTCCACAAAAACCCTTCTGACAGTTGTAAGTGTTGGAAAATATAAAACTATGGAATTACGTTACAATTAATGGATTGATGAGAAAACATGACTTTGTATAACATAAATTGGCATCTAGACGTTTAAAATACATTATTTTATTAGAATTTAAAACGATATAAAACATAAATAAAGGCAGTGAACTAGGTTCCAGCCCACATTCTTCTATGCCATATCTTAATGGAATGAGAATACATAATAAGTAACATAGATGCTAAGTTTTTGATAGTGAATGACTACACTTTTAGAAAAGGGATGATAGTTAACGACAAGACTTTTTGATGGACGGGATACAGTACAGTGAAGTGGTGGTGATGTCACACGAAAGGGATAATCAGGAGTAGTCGTCAACAAGACCGGTACATAATATTGAAGCTAGTAACTACTGTTTTAGATGAAGCAGACAATCAGGATCAAATGACATGACGATCAGATGTCCCCATCAATTTTTAATTCATATAATGCACAGAATCCACAGTTTAAATTCAAGACAACTATGGAAGGTAAGAATTTCCTCGTCCATATATATATAAAGGGTGAAAAACGGATCATGATCTTTCCTACAACTCAGAAACTGGAGTCACTGAAGCAGTGTCCTGGCAATTACTCATTATTATTCTCATTTTTATACATTCATTTGACCTGTCAGTAGATACATATGTACACTTTGTGCAAATTATTTATCTAACGCTTGAAAATGAAAATAAATTTACTTTGCTGACAGACAATACTTTAAACATACCTATTCATTCTGATCATAAATGTAAACTCATAACTGAAGGAGCTTACAGGGATTTATCGGAAAAAAAATACTGATTTGATGTTATAAATATTTAAAAAACAAACAGATTTCTTAGTTATGATGAAAGGATATAAAACATCGTAATACGGGATAAATAAAAATATAATAAACTGAAGAAAAAATCTAATTTACCATAAACAATTCTTTAATAGAATTTCTTCATTTGATCCTAATTGAACACCAAGTAAACTTCTTACTCGTCCAAGTGAACGTAGTAGACGAGATACTTCATCTTGCGATGAACCACTGATGACATAAGTTTTTTCTAGCGCATTTTTTAGCTAATTTTACATAAAACGTTTTAATGAATTTTAAAGTCGGGAAAAGAACAATAACGTAATAAAATTGTTAAAACTGTTTTATATAAAATTTAAAATATTACGTGTTTCTTTTTATATTTTCGTTGCTATGGATCATTAGATACTAATCATGTTAACATAGATAATATTAATGTTAATAATAAAGAAAAAAATCTGATATAACCATTTCGTTAAAGCATTGTAATATTTACATTCAATGTATTGTCAAAAATGTACTGGTTACAATTCATCTTTAGTCACTAAATAGATAAATATAGTCCAGAAATCAAGCTACACTCAAATCATTACAATCACCACTGATTTTGCCGCGTTGTTAATACTTCTATAGTATCCCAGTATTAAATAATAAACAGCATTTTTACTTTGTAATCAAGGAGTTCAGAGAAGAAAACTTGGTTCTCAATGGTGTCGTACATTAAAACCTTACAACTGTGTCTATAGCCATTTAAAACATGATAATGTATATAGGTCTCACGACCAAACCTTGACACTTGGACCATTCAGTTAGAATCCGATAACTCACTTTTCTACTTAAATCAGTTCTTGTCCATTGAATACCACCGGTGAGGAATCTCCTGAAAATCCTCAACACCGATGCTAAGATGATACAGTTTAAGAGTACATCCTAATACTCAATAATATCGCTACGGAAATCCGTTCATTTACGAATGAGATTAGTTTCTATAAAATCTCTTAGGTGGAATATATAACTACTTTTAAAAAAATACTTAACTTGAGAACAAAATTTTCCAAATAACCTTACTTCTTCAGTTGCATTGTATTGACGATGAAGTGCAGAAAACATTTCTCGGATCAGTTCTAAACTTTCAATAAAACCTTCTTTAGCCCATTTAACTATCGTATAAACGATAAGTCCATCCAGTGAACCTAAATATAAATATAAATATGGAACTGTTAACATTATTCTTCATATCAATATGAAATCTGATTGAGACTACAAAAACAGACCCATTTTTGTGAACGGTTTATTTCCGAATATTATATACAATAACTAGATGAGACGATTGAAAAATAGTAAGGGGAAAATTGTCAGTCTCTCCTAAATTAACTTAAAATTCAGTTATTATGGTCATTGTCTCACTCATTATTCAGCCTATATGTGATTGCCTCAATGTATTGATTGAAGTAATGGAATCATTTTTCTCATCTCGTTCGCAGAAATCTTAACAAATATATTTTTGCTTTTTAATGTCCTATACACACTTTACACTTAATGATTGTTAGTCTATTTGTTAAAATCTTTCATAAATCTTCGCAAAAAAATGATAACCTGTTTATCAACCATTTTCCTTATACAAATATGGATAGTCCATCTACCACCCCTGCCTGTTCTTATTAGAGGTCCAGATGGTTTATTGTCAGTTGAGTTTTACGGATTTCATAGAAGACAGCACAGTAACAATCAAAAGCAAATTAGTATTTAGTCATCTGATAGAATTTAATCGACATATTAACAATGTTCAGATTTTTAGTTGGATTTCAAATTTTTCTGTTGTGTATTATTTTCTTCTGCTCTGAAAAGCATTTTTATCATAACAGTTAAAAAGTACAATAAATTATTAATTTCAAAAATCTTCACTTCAGTTATTTATTAACCTTCTATTCGCTAGTGTCGTATGAACTATGAGTGAAATCCATTGAAATAACTTACTGTCGGTCAATTTACGACTTTGAATTTATCAGTCAAACATTATCAACTAAGAAGTTAATTGACTTGTACAATACTCTAATTGTTTATTGTCGAAAGGTTTGTTCATAAAGTCAGAAAAGGACGAAGATTTAAACAACGATTATTACTACTAATCAACGCATTTGTAGTTATTATAACATGTTTGATGTATAGACTTACGTTTTCCTGAATGATAAAACTGAGTAACAGATGTCTGCTCATTATTCTCATTCACTTCAATGGTTGAATCATTTGTCAATGGATTACGAATAATTATATTCCATAATAATTTTAAAATCCATGGTGGCGTACCTGAACCTTCTTCTGGATGACCCATATCAGGCGGGACCAATGGAAGGTGAGCTAAAGCTGTTTGTAATTCATCAGATGGATAAGATGGACCAAATGATGCTAAACTAAGGGTATCTGATGGATGTGTTAGTAATGGTGAATGTAAATGTGATTCGTCGAACCCACTGTCCGCAGACTTATCAGAGTCTGATTTATTTCCTGAGTTGCTTTCATTATTTTCTGGTAACATTACACCTAACTTATTACAGAGTAGTTTGTGAAAACTTCGAAGCATTTCCTAGCAAAAATAAAAACAATATAAGATCGTTAAAAAAGAGGATGTGTGTAGTTTGTGGTTGCATATTATGGAAGGATTAGATACCTATTTGGTCCTAATTCGGTATTCTTCCGTAGTGTGTATATATAACCCCTGAAACTATAAGCTATCAAATAACTGGTTATCATCTATATACTGGGTAAAACGATAATGTATCCGAAAGTTTACAACTAAAATAATTTATTATTAATAATTAATTATTTCCAACCTCAATTAATTTCTAATTATTCTACAATTTTTCATCAAACCAATGATCTTCACATGCTTCAATGTACTCTTCTACTTGAAAAAATAAAATTTTATGCAGGAAATATTTGCAAATCTAAAATCTTGTTGCTTTTAATAAAACAAAAATAAAGCTGAAATAACATTAAGAGGTTGTTTTATTGAGAGTAATGAATTAGTACACATAAAACGTTTTATTTATAAAGATTACAAATTTTTAACAAATGAAGTATTTTTTAAATTTCATTTGGTTTACTAGACATAAAATTCGTTTACCTGGAATTTTTGATTCCACCAATTATCTTATTGAAATGTATATTCCTAATTGATTTACTTGGTATACAAATGAATTATATCATTTCTTTGATATAAATTAACACAGAAAGATTAGGGTTACCATTTCAGAAACTTCTGATTGAGAATACTTATCTCTCAAAAAAGGTATTCATACCAAATTAATATTTCACATTTCTAACCGATACAAAGTTCTGGTGACACCCAATAAATAAACTGAGTTCTTTTTTTTCAATATTCTTTCGACATCAAATTCAACTTAGGACAGTTTTAATTTTCATTTAGTTTGTCATATGAACCAGTGATAAATCTATTTTTCCTCTATTAGTCAAAGTAAAACATGATTAAACATATTTAAAATTAAAAAAATCGGTATAACGGAAATTTAAAAATCTTAATACCTTAACTTCTTCTGAGCAGGGATTAGTTTCAACACCCTCTAATTCATCATCTTCTTCTTCATTTCCAGAAACTGTCTCATTAGTTGATGGTTCAGTTTGTGTCTCTTGTGAACGACCTGTTGGTCCACCCGGACCATGGATTTGCAGAAGACTTTTCATTTGTACTGAGGCAGGGCATCTAAATTCCCTTGTTCTTCTAGCTGCTACAGATGATGGTAGATTGGATTTCTTGATAGCCATATACCTAAAATTTTGATCCTAAACAAGAATTATCAGGATAAGTTATGCATGAAATACTAGAGTTATGGGAGCATTACTTGCATCACAATTTTATCTGCTAAACAATGTATTTTCAGTCCATTATCACACTTACATACTAATGCTTTTATCTCAGATACTTTAATTATCATCAAATATTATGAAGTAGCATCTAACTCCTTGTTGATAATTTGATCTGACACTAACTCTGATCAATCTGATTAGTCTACATAAAATTTATCAAAATCAGTAGGTCATAAAAAATACAGCAAATATATGACAACAGAATTAATACCGTACTTTTGCTGTTGCTGTTTCATGGTCACTGTTTTCATTTTCTTCTAGCTAATTGTAAATGATTATAATTACTCTTTGATAGCAGTGAAACCGCTCTTTATTATCTTATTTACCTCAACGAATGATAACCCAGATATAGGTACTCAGAAATAAGTTTCCTAACTACTGGTTTGTATTGTTGTAATTCCTGTGACAAAGAAACTTACAAACTTGTCTTACTTTCTGTCTTTGGTATCAATCTGATCACGTCTTTAAGCCGGTGTCTCTTTTGTGATTATTTTTACAGTACAATTTGAAATTGCTTGAAATTAACATACTAATTGACTTACTTCTTGTAAAGCTTGTACAAATTTACTAGCAAATTTTACAACTTGTTCTACTCTGTTACGTAATTGTAAATCACATAAATTATGTAACAGACGGCATATTTCTAGTTTGACACTTTCTGGCAATTGAAACTCGAGTAGACTTTCATACGTCGAATCACCTTAAGATATCAACAAACAATTAACATGACAATGATAACCGTAGTAACATAAAGTGTGAGTCTATAATACTAAGAAAATAAATAAAATATTTGAAATCTCGAACCACTTTGTAATATTGAAGTTTCGTTATCACTGTGATTAGGAAAAAGAATGAGGATTGTGGTCCTTATAAAATGTATGCAACATTCAACTGTAAGGTACTGTCAGACACAAAATTTAAATGATAAGCGCTGAATGAATTTTATTAATCAGGAAATGAAATATGATCATAACACTACAATACATGTTTGTTAATGTAATCTTTAGAGTCGATTAGCACGTATCCTTATAATTTAGCAATAAGTTACACCTGCAAACTATTCCTTTAAGGATTGAAACACAAGTCGCTCAACTTCATAATTATAGGCGTTACTCCTAAATAAATATACAATACAAGTACAAGACAGAAAAGTCAATAAGAATATATATTCATGTATATAACTACTTATATTTTACAAGAATCAGTCACTGAATGCTTTGACATTTAATAAGTATTTGATAGCTAGATAGCAAAATATAATTTATAGTAAATACAATATTGGAAAAATTTATTAAACAATAGGATGAATAAAAAACTATATAAGTTGTTTGAATTTCATTCAATACATATCTCACTATGACTGGATTATATATTAACCATAATACTATAAAATATAGATATTAATTACTGTCATATGATTAGCCATTTTTATAAGTTCATACAGTGCTTAAACTGTCTGAATGAAATTGATTTATTTTTCATACAACTATGAACAGTTGCTTCTCAATTTCGGTGATATGATGTTATGGTCTCATCACTTAGAATAATATTGCTAAATGAATAACAAAATAATAATAGGCTTCTACATTGATCATATTTCAGTTACACAGTGACTATTTCACATGTTGGCAGTTAACCTAGAACTTATCAACAACTCTAAGAAAAAAACAGAAATAAATTACATGTATACAAACCTCTTAATGGCAATGATGCTTTAAATGATTTAGGATCCAAGATAGCCAAAAGAGTGTGAATATCTTTTTGATCGAGCACACCCATAACAAGGAGACAGTTGATTGTTTTTACTAACGGTCTAAAACATTCAAAAGAATTTTTTCAAGAACATATCATTATTAGTTTAGAATCAATCAACTAGAAAAATTTCCAGACCATGATACTGGTTAATCTTTGTAAGAATGTAAATCCATGTATTAACCTTATTGTCGTCAGTATATTTTTATCTGACATGTAAGATACTATTTTTAATTCATTAAGGCTATTTTAGATCAGGACTTATCACAACAAAGTCCACACAAAGTATACATAAACACTGTATGATAGTCGAATAATGATTGACTTCTGATTGTGTTTTCTGTTCTGTTCTTTGAACATGACGTTGTCTTAATCTAAGTATTTAAAAATGATATTTTGTCAAAGGACTACAGTTCATGATTGGAATACATTAAATTCGTTCAGCTCATTGATATAACGAGACCGAATGTGTTTGGCTAACATGTTTAATTGATCAAAAAATTATAAAGAGTACTTAGGCCCCCCGCTTGAATATCCGGGCTACCTTTTCCTACCATCTAGATAATTCAACAAGTTTTCCTTTTTGTTTGTTTTAACACATGAATCTGTCCAGGAGCGTACATAAAAAGTTTAGAAATTATCATTTTACAAGGTACATAAGAGTACAATCGGAGATTTCGTGGTGACTGGCAATATGCATTGTAAAGAGTGAACATTAACCGGATGTCAACTTCTAAATCCTAACCGCCAATCACTAGACGGCAAGGTGAACTATCTTCAATTCCTATTAAATCTAAACATGTATCATAATTGTGGTCCAATCACAATTCAAGAATCCTGGTTTAATGAGTTACAAGACTATTTTTTAATATCACTACAGTATTTATCGTCCGAATCGATCAAGCAAAATGAAGATGTGTGGCGGCAGTATAGTTACATTTGTAAGCATGAAGTAGTGTTGATCTAATTCTACATGTTTTAAGTTTTCAAACGACTTTACCAACTGTTTAACTTTAAAACGCCGCCCTGAACACTTGAACAAATACGATTATTTGTGTTACCAAAATCTACGTGACTTTGAACTACATATATACACGATGTGTCTTCGTTTATTAACTCAATGAATTTACCACTACTGACTTTAGTAGTTCACTTACACCTATATAACATGATTTATCTGTATGCAACTTTCTTTCATCAATAAGTCAGAAAAATGTATTAGAATGTCCCACTCATTTGAATGCCCACTTATACTTAGTTTTCATCAGCGATGTGTAAGTATATGTGAGTTGTGAACTTGCCGCATCGTGTGGTTCTGATTATTGTATTATTCGTTTTGTACCTAAAGTATATGGCAAGCTTGAAAAGAGTAATCCCTTACACCAGACAAAGGAAGTCAAATACAGGAATTACTCAGAAAAAAATAATCAGAATCTGAAAACAGGTTTCGTACGACAAAATGAAATTTTTTTACAGATGACTCATTTGGAAACACCGTTGATGTTTTCATTTATTACCTTAAATTCTGTTTTGATCTTAGTTGTCTCACTGAAACTATTTTTGTAAGTTTGGACTGACTTACATCTCCACAATTAAAACGATTACGGAGTGAAAAGAAAGGATGTAAAAAGGAGAAAAACTCGATTGAAGTTCATAGTATAATCAGAAAAAAATATCTAAGTTCGTACAAGTATGGCAAAATAACCTTCAAATACAGAAAGTCACTATGAGGACAATTTATTTAACATTAATTTTTAACACTTGCTAACTTCAGTCATTTTTCAACTGTCATTCGAAATCTTAGGTGAACATTCACTTTTCCTCCTATTTATCTGGTGTCGGCGAGTGAGTTTTTTCATTAAACACTACACATATATCATTACTGAAAGAGGAGGACAAAGAAATTTTCCATCAAGTTAGATGCTAGTTTCGACTCAATTCATGATAATATATCAGTCCATTTTGTGATGGGTGAAATTCATATTGTTCAACTTTACATAAAATACAATATAAAAACTTACAGTGAATTTCACATTATGACAAATTAAATACCAAGTACCACTTAATTCTTGAAGATTTATTGACTTAATTTATGTATATGTGCCTGCAGTCAGTTGTTTTTTATTTTTAAAAAACTTGTTGAAATACTTAATGCTGAGAACTCCATATTGTACTAAACATATAATGTTGAATAAAACCATTAATAATAACAACAATGGCAATAATAATGATCGAGTGATGCAATAATGAAATTTCATTTGATAAACAGTAACTCAATAATTGATTTCATAATGAGTGTGCTTAAATTGTGTAGAAAGTATGCAATTACTTTAATCACAGAAAAAATTTTCGATTATAAAAAGTTTTTCCTCAAATCGATTTCTTCATTTTATTTTCGAAAGATTTATTCAATCAGTCTATAATCAGCAAATATAGTTCGATTCTGAGATGCAAGGTCGTGGATACCCACTACCGAGGAGTTCCATGCTAGGATAAAACCGCTGTCCAGTGCTTTCAGGTCTTTATTGATGATCTAGCTTCGACCATTTCATCATTTAAATTATAAAAGTAAAGTCTAGATTAGATGTTCTATATAATTTTTGTTTGAATTCAATCTAATATGGAAATAAACATTTCAAAGTACATAATCTAAGTGACAAATAACAGGTTGACTGTTGTATTAACATTCATGAGGTCTCATTCATTCTTTATTGATATTGAGAAAAAAAAGGAAGCCATATTTGCGGTTACTTCACATCTGATAATTATGTAGATCTGATACTTTAGGAAATAAGCTTTGAAGTGATGGGTAAAAAGAAGCTATTATTGCTGGCTGGTAATTATATAGAATAGTTCATTAGATCTGCTATGAGAAAGTGACTGACAGAATTTTGTAGGTGGTTTTTCTTTTTCAAAGTACCATACAAATCTACACTTTGAATGTATTGCAGGATTAATGGCAATTAGTGTACTAGATTAAATACATGAATAAATACTGGTGGAGAATTCACTCTTTGAAATAGAATAAAATTTGGTTTAGTTGACTGTTGATAGTGAGCCCGTTTTTATGATTGAGCATATAAGTTAACAAACTACTGAAATTATCTAGATCTCCGAAATGATCAAATATACACATACCTGACTCATGAATCAAGTGTTTACTAGAAGAAAAAACCACTAATCAAATGTTTAAATAAGTATATGAAGAAATTAATTTTATCATTTATAAATAAAGGGCTCAACCAAGGTTGTATCACTGATCAACTGAGAAAGGATGAGTTAGAGATAGTAAAAAACAGATGAAAAAAACACCACCTAAAAAAATGATCTACTGGTTGTAGTACATATCAATAACATAATATATTTGTTATGCGACGAAAACCTTAATCGTACACTTTTTAAGAATATACATTATAAAACCCTTTTTTACTTACAGCAATAAATGTTCATAACTTCCACCAGCTGGATCACGTATACTACCACCTTTATATACACTATCCACTAAACAATCTAAACAGACTAATTTCAATTTAACTAATGGAAATGGTGGACAATCGGATAGTTTTAATAAACCATTCGTTCCAGCTATATTCAATGCAGTTGACATTGCACTATCTTCTTTTGTTTTTTCTGGTGGCGTTACAGGTAAATTGCCAGTTCCATCTGCTCCAGGACTGTAAAGTGGAATCAAATGAGAAACGATAAAATGTAAACTGTTTCTTAATTAACCAAAATATGAGTAAAGTGGATATATATACATAACAAGCTTTATGTAAATAATTTTATTGCAAATATAATAGATGGAAATTCAAAACTTTCTCCATTTGCTTTGACTTAGTATTCATAGTACTCACACAAATAGTATGACTTCAAATCAAGCATATTGACGAATACTCGGTACACGATTTGCATAAATTAGTTTTAGTATGTAATATCAATTTCTACTTGATTTGTGTAACACCAAATTCAACATTGAACTCAACTCAAAATAGTTGATTTTCTTTTGAATTTCTTCTATAGATCGTAAGTCAAATGTAATAATTATAATGAAACAACTATAATACTAAATTTGTAAGAGTAAATTAATAATTAAGAAGATATAATTCAATCGACTGCACTATCAAATCATTATCTATCGAGCTTTAAGATCGTTACCATATTTTTCCTGAGTTAAAGTTATGATGATAATGATGTGTGAATCTATGATGGGACTATCCGCACTATAAATGAATCGACAGATTCGATGTTGAATAGACAATATTAAAGTTTAAAATATTCACATTATTTAAATTTAATAGAAATGATCTAATGAACTATTCAATTGTCCATCTTCATTGGTGTAGATGTTGATAAACTCGTTTTTCTCATAAATATTCTAACATTAACGTATATAAATTGACTGAATTGTATTGTATTAGGGCAAAACAAAAAAAATTTGTTCCGTTAAATTGAGAAAAATAATTTTTGTTTATTAAAAGGAATAGAAACTTATGAACGTAAATAAAAATTTAAAAAATATATATATTTTGTTATAAGTGAAATTAATCAAGACATGCATTGTGACATTTTATTGAACATAAAATCACAATAACTGAAGTGAATCAATCAAATTTAATTATACATTTATTCAAATACTAATTGAAGTTTAGATGTAATCCTAATAAATTATAAACATTGATTAAATTATAGCAGTTAATTGAAAATAAATGATACTAATGATAGTTGTAACTTTTAACCACCTCTTTTCTATGAATATATGCTGTGATTCAGTCCGATAGAACTATTTACTTTCTTGAACTTTACATGATGTTGCTCTTTACTATTATATAAATGGTCTGACAATTGATGAACACTTTATGAGGAATAAAATTGCTATACTTGAAATTTACTAAGCAAGATAAAAAGAAGAGGCAGTTTTGATCTAACCTAAACTTTAAAAATAGTTGTTTCCAATACAGAAATAATCACTTTGAGAATATTACAGATTTGAATAATCATGAATGCAGAATATGACCATATGTCACATGGATAGAATTATTTTAATTGTAAGTTATAGTAAAGTAGAATATATTTTTAACTAATCTATACAAAATTAAGATATGATTGACTGAATATGAGAGCTCCATGCAATCATATTATTACAAGTTAACCTTGACTGATTGAGTTATTACGTACACATTGTGTGAATGACCCAGATTTATTCGATGCAAATACATTAAGATAAAAGTTTAAAAAAGCTAATTTGGTGTGAAAATTTTGTCCCTATATACACTTGACATATATGTCTGTTCGTTCAGCAGCCAATCTAAGGTCGTTACAATGACAATAAGTTAAAAAAATAAAAGCATCTCACATAAGCAAAATTAACTTGATAAAATTCATAACACAAGATTTTAGGTTTATGACTCTGGAAATTGGAGTTTTAGGTAAATTGTATACTTATTCCTTAAGCGAAAAACACATCAATACACACACATTGTAAGATGAAGATACAATACGAATCAGATGGTCTTTCTCTGTCAATCGAATATCTATAATGAAAATTCCCATTTAATTATTTAATAAACAACTCCATAATGTAAATCCCAGACTGGTATTAACTACACTTCTAGAGAAACCAAAATGTACTGGACTTCTAGTTTGGAACCCTCCAGAAGTAATTGTCCACGATCGTGCCACAGGTAATCGGATCCAGGACCTTGAGACAAACAGAACTCAAAATTTTTATAGAACTAGGTTTTCAATATGTTTCTCTCTCTCTCCCATATATATGATTTACAACAATAAAATAATACTAATCGAGTAATGGTGCAACACAATAATTGTTGGATTTCGAAATGATTAAAAAGACAATATCACATGGTTACCTGAGTAACCATCGAAAATAGGATTATGATAATCAAAGCAATTATTAAAAAGCTAAAAACAATCATACGGTTGCTAGATTACATAACACCTAATGAGAAAGATAAAAAATATTTCGATAAAGAGTTAATTTTATATTTATCATGATGTATATTAAGAATATGTAAAAAACAAAAATGGTTGAATTCTCAAAATTACTTTGATGGCTTTTTTAAGAATAGTATCAGTGGAAGTTCAATATAAATTGTTCCTTTATCTATGGCTAAGAAAGAGAGAGAAGGATTGCGCAAACTTCTTTTGAGTACAAAGTTTGTTCAGACCCACAATGAAAATTAACTGATAAGAAATAAAATAGTTGCCTGCATCAACATGGCACTCAAAGATTGATTATGTTGATTGATAAAAAATTAAGTCAACAAATTATTATTAACTTGTTCATGTATAGATTCCCTTTTTAAATCTGGTAGTTAAGAATTTTATCTCAAAGAATTTAAATATATTTACCAGGGTAAAATGAAATTTGTGAATCTATTGAAAGAGAAATGCTTTGCTTGAATATCTTCAAAAATGACTGAGCTCCAGGCTCAATAATGCAATTACCTATTACCTTATAGATACATAAATTTTTCTAAGTTCTCGACGGGTAGTCTAGCCCTAAACTACTTGAAATTTCTAAAAACACGACCATCAAACATTTAAGCCTGAAGAAATCACTACCCTATCGTTTTTCTGATAGCAAAACACCTTTTAATGCTCACTATATTTGGTTTTATAACTACTCAGCTCTTAAAATTATTTATTTTAAACTACTGATTGTGCTTGACGTGTAGCATAGTACAAAGTTTATTCCTATAAATCAAATTATTGGATACTCAATTAATCCAGCCTTACAACTTCCCCAGAATATAAATCTTTCATTGAATCGCAATTATTTTACGAAATCCAGGTTTACTTTATAATTCCAAAAAATAATATTTAATTGTTTCGGGCATCGAATGTGAATATTAGACGCTTGGCCTAGTTCTTCATATAATACGCCTTATTCGTATAAATGAAAACAATAATGATGCTGACGATGACAATAATGATAAGGTAAAGTCAAATTCATAGCAACAGTTTAGCAGGTAAATAAATTACAACTATGAATAATTATCAGACAATTACATCGTCAGACAAACAGGTTACTTCATATTTAATTTCAAGTAAAAAATTTTTTTGTTCACTTCACTGGTGTAAAACAGTAAGCAGACATGAATATAAAAATTTGATAAAAGCTGTAACTTTCCTCCAATCAATGCATATTAGAATGAATTAACTGAAAGAAACTAATTCAAGCGAGAGGGATTGGGTTTGAGTTTCACTGCGAACATTAACACTAAAGTTAAGTTGCATTCAGCTGACGAGTTCTAGATAGGGCAAAATGAACATTCTGGATTCCACTGCTAGCCAATATCAAACTGCTTAAAAATAGTTGAATTGTGAATGATAGAAATTTTGGTAAGAGAATACAGGGACGAGAACAAAACCACAACTAATTTTTAGCCAGTTCTTAGCCAATCAAGAAACAGCTTTTTTGGATGGATAATTTGAAGGAAAGACAATACTAATAATAAAAAGTGCAAACAAATTTCATATAGTTAATAGATCTAATAAAGTCTTCTTTAGATTACTCTGTCTTCAAATTAAAAATAACGAAATGTACATTCATATTTTGGGACATATATTATCCATCTCCTTGAACCATTATAAGGACCTGAATGGACTTTCAAGAGTCCTCGCATTGTTCTCGGTTAGAGATTTACAGTCAGAGTTTTGTTCATGAACTGGTATCACTTATTCAACAAAAGTTTTATAGCCTTAAGAGTGGATGTAATTCACTAAAAATACAAGAGGCGCTATCTGATTAGTTCATCTATAAAATGTAGTATCACCAGATTAAAGTTTGTTTCAGGATTAATAGTCTGGGGTTCAAATTTCTTGATAGTATCGATTTGCTTGCTATATACCATCTAAAAAGACATAATCAATCATTTTTTACGCTTAATACTATAAGTTCTATCCCATGGTTGCGAGAAGCAATTTGTTATCATTTTAAACGTTCTGAATAGCCTACAAAGTTTTTTCCACTGATCACCATACATGATATTTGAATTTCTCGCAAAACTTGAAAAGTCGCTTTCTCGATACTGATTCGCTCGTGCGAAGCTATTCTGATACCAAAATCTCCAGGATACTTTTGTGTGATTTTTCTTATATTATAAACAATATGAAGCAAAAAATAAATGGAGCCATGCTAAGAAAGCCAATCTTTTAAACATACTTCAGTGATAATTTAAGACATTCCTGTCCGTTTGGACACTTTACTAATTAAAAACTCCACTCAACTTGTTAAGTTTTTTACTGAGCATTCTAATATCATCCGACTAGTTAATTAAAACGCAGATGAAGCTCTCGATATTTCACTTTTAGAGATTTACTATTTGTGTGAATCAAGGCAAAATAAGAAAACACCATGCAAAGAAATCTTTTGTACAATAACTTAACTCACCATATAAAATGTATCATTCACTTGTTAAGCTTGACATAACAGGGCGCATAGTTTACTAGATAATAAGCTAAAAAACGTTTCGCCAATCTCATAACAACAAACAACTGAACAAATTGTGTTTAGTTTTACTTTGCAAAACGAAACACTTACCACTCTTGACACTGGAGTCTATTTAATGTGGAAAATAACGGCCTATTTGTGATATGAATCTTTCCTTGGAATGGCATGACTTTTACTTCAACAAAATATTTCAAAATACTTGTTGAATGTAAGACTTATGACTGACAATGAAATTAAGGGTTAGGAAGGTGGAAGGTTTAACGATAACGAGATCTCAATTAGAACGAAGTTTGTTTGGGTTGAATAACATAACAAAAGTTCAACAAAACATATATATACCTATCGAATCTATAGTCTGGATGAATATTTCTTAAATTTCGATATTGAAATAAGAAGACGAAGATTATCAGAACTATGTGATATATTAGCGCAATACATTTCGAACAATCTGATCACACATACACTTGTTAAGAACATTTATGTATAAAAAATAAAAAGGCAACTAGACTGGAAATGGGGTAAGAGGAGACAAGGATAATAATAATAATAATAATAATAATAATGTGAATACAATTTGAAACCTAATCACTCTGGTTAATAAGCCAATATTACCAGGGTAGGTTAAGGTGAGAACAAATTGTTTCTGAATACACAAAGGGGGTTTGAATTTTTGTATGGCTAAGACTTCAGTAAACCTTAGTATACGCCATTTTACACTTTTATACAACACCACAAAAACCGAGTTAAGAGCAATCTTATGGCCTTTTTCGATATTTTCAATATTTTAAACTTATAAAACTGTTAGATGGATTATATTTCTCATGTTCCCACTCATATTACTGTTAAATTTATCTCTGCATTACAAATATCCTTCCCTGTCTTAAGTATCACTGTTACTTGAATGGACTTTTCTAAATAGGACTTTCTTATCTCCAGCTCTTACCAGTAAGATCAACCTAAGTGCTGTAGGTTTGAAACTCACTGGAGTCATTATAAAAACACTTTTTATGTGATGAGACATAGCATGAAATTCGACTACTTGATTAAACGAGACGTGAAGATAATAGGTCGCCATTACCGATTGTGTGACCTTTATATTTCTAAGACGAAAACATTCTCACAAATCATTTTAAGATGCGATTTTCGTTAACAGTGGAAAAATTGTTTTAAGGAAAGATGAGACTTTCTAAGAACAATATCTCTAGAACATAGCGTAATGCGAGAATAATTTAAATAGTCTGAATACAAAACTGCTGTTCTCACTGTGTAGATGTAACATTAGCTTAACGAAAGTACTCATAGTTCTAAGTATAGAACTAGTTATACTACCATACGAAGCTAATCTAAAATCAATCATTTTCGGACAATGCAAATATGTAATGCTTCAAGTTGCAACAATTCATCCAAATATAGCAAGATAGAAGGAGAGAAACAGTTAATAAAATAAAGGCAGAGAGACGAAAATTAAAGAAAGCTAAAAATAAAAATTATTATTCACAAAGTAATGAATAGGATGGAAAAATAAAAAGTTTGCAATAGCGGAAAGATTAGGATTTAGAACAAAATAAAATCTGAGATCTGTCAAATAATTAGTTTTCAAGTTCACCACCCTTCCCAGGGGTGGGTATTTTCTTAAATTTTAGTTCCTCACTATGATGTTATAAAGTGAGTATGAATTGATTTTAATCCCTATAAACCTTTAATACTAACACTAAATTTACTTGAAACTTGTAGAAAACTGATGACATGGTTGGTGCACAATTAAAGTTAATCTTCATATTAGCTTGCATCATATGCCGACTTCAGTTAAGCGCTCATTGAAAACTGAGTAACAATAGGCAGTTGGTCAGTCTTAGTAAGTGACTTTTTAATGATATACACTCACGAGCATACTAGGGATCAAGCTAAATTCAGGAAGGATTATCGATGTACTGGTGAAAATTCGATTGGCAGTTTTCAACTATACCAGGAGTAAGACGCGTATTATATAAGGGTGCAAGTGTGGACCACTGGATGACATCTCAGCGGTCTGAAGATAACAGATTGGTTGTACGGCTTGGAGGTCTTAATTTTGATCACTGATGAGTTAGTCCTCATAAACAGACACTTACTGGGATGAAACAGCTGTTCAATGCTCCCTAGTTTTCAGTGGTCAGTCCGCAATGTAAATTATCGTTAAGATGAATAATCTTCACGATGTCTCCATCTCAAAGTTAATGATTAAAATAATATTCATAAAAGAGTATATTTTAGGAAATAATGAAAGAAAATTATATATATAAACTAAAACGTTTTAATCGATGAACTTACATAAGTAAATGTGGATCAGTTTTCAGTTCTGGACGAATACTGATATGTTCTTCAACAGCTGGTATCCGGTCGAAATCATATTCATCAACTTCTTTAACGCCGTCATCGTTTATTTTTTTACCGTCTAATTCTCCTGTACGTTCATCAAAGTCGAATATATATTTTTTCGGTTTCGGTTCAGTTTTAAACATTGGTACAATGAATTCCTTTCCTGTGACTTGTTTCAATTTTACATGACTACTTATATGCATAACTAACATTAAATCAATAAAACCAGAACGTAGAGGTCCAGGCATATCTATTTATAATAATAAAACATCATAATGATTAAATTAACTGTTTTTTGGAAAAATGTATTCATTGTAATTTTTATACATAACTAGTTGAAAATTTATTTCGTGAATAAAATTCAAAGAAGTCCACAATGAAAACAGTAAGAAAAACCAAATGAGATACTTTTCTGGATATTTACATACATATATACTGAGCAATTCAGCTAAATCTCTTACCTGCGGCTGTCATAGCATGCAATAATTGATATTCATCCACATGATTAGTTAAATAATGTGCAACATTGTGATTATCGTGACAGCATAAAGCACGATATAATTCCAGTGTATGAGAATGATACCTGTGTTGTGATTTTTAAATAAAAACGATGACTGTTTTAAAAATACGTATTGGCAAAGTTCAACAAATAAAATTTTCATATAAACAGATCCCTTGATAGATTTAAACAGAGCAAGGGCAACAAGGTTTAGAGAATAAAATGAATGCATTCTATTACGCAGTTTCTCATCAGCTGCATACAATCGAAGCTACAGTTATTGTTATAATTAATGACAAATGTTAAGCATATTTTAGTTTATGAAGTTTAGATGAATGTTCGAAACGCAATCAAAATCATAGTGATCAGGAGAATAAGAATAGGAGTGCATGAATAAACATACTTAAGATCGATGTGTATTTATATGTCGGGATGTACAAATGAAGAGGCTCTTCTCTTTATCCTTCTTACATGCTTACTACCACAGGTACATTTAACTTCATAGATGTGATTTGAGGTGACGGAATTGAATTGGTTATCTCTTTCATTTTCCACTGTAAACTTTATGTCTTGATGAGAGTGGCTGAAGTCAGTAAGTGACCTAGAAGCGTGATCCATATCATCACAGATAATGAACATAATGTCAACATATCTGTTTAATTATGTTTAATCACAAATCCTGAATAAGCTTTAGCATAGAGCACTTGAGGTAATGAATGAACATTTTAGCTCTCTCAATAATTCCATTTATGAATTTTATTCAATACAACATAATAACACTGTGAATGAACAGAATATTGAGATTCAGATACATCTAACTGACGAGTCCCGGATAGGGCAAAACGTGTGACATGGTTTGTTATGATGGGATGAAAAGTCAAAATTAGATTAATTTACTCATTATGATTTTTATTCAACATCAATTCCGTTTGATTGCATTTGATGATTACTCAGTGTAGTATTTGTTTCGTTTTCCTCTATGACATTTTATTCTGTATAACACTATATTCTTGTATGAAGTATTTTTCATATATGTGATTTATTCTGATTATTAATCAAAAATGGATGTACAAACCAATATATAAATGAGTTTATTTCTAGCTAAACTTGTCGTGGTTGCTCGTGTTCCTGGCAGCTCGCGGAATATATTTCCCTGTTTCGAACATAGATTTCTCTCTAGTTAGCGGGGCTGAGACGCATCAGAATAGCTAGCTTATTGGTCTTTGGTCACAGAGTCTTGTTCCGTTCGCAGATTAGGTGAACTCGTAATCGCTTCAAACATAGCATGGTTTCGACTGCTAACCATAATCTAACTCTGTTAAATGAATCGGTATAAATAACATCCATATAAATAAGGTTTCCTCGAAATCGGATGATAAAATTTTTATCGGAATCAAGTAGGTATTTTTTGAACAATATTTACAAGATTAAGGCAATCGAGGATTCCAAAATTTTGGGCAAACTTATATTGTAAGTGCACAGCAATTAGGTTATCAGTTTACTGTAGTCGTCATGCTGTTCACTTTTCTTGTTGATTATTTCTAGATAAAGTTTTTTAGCAGTTTGTGCTAAACAGTAATACAGTTCTACGGTGATAAAATGTTTATCATTTAGAGTGACCAGTCATTAATAATGGTATATGCACACTTTTGCAAAAAAGGTTCAACTTCAAAGTAGAATAAAATTTTTATTTCACTTACTTTAATAATTCTGGCATTTCCTCTAATTCAAGAGCTATAAAGCATCTGTCGGATTCTGGTAAACGAACAGCGATTTCAGAGACTGGATATTCAATAGAGGTACCCCATCCGCGTAGTTCACTAATCTTCATACTGAACATCTTTATAGCTTTCGGTGGTACACGAGCCCAATGAACACGCTAGGCAAGAAAAAGTCAGTCAGTCAGTCAGCTACAACGTAGGACCAGGCACATATATGCATCGGTCCAAGTTGCCATAACTCATTAACACAACAAGGTGGACACCGGATTCATAAAAGTAGTTAATTCAATGGTGGTAATATATAAAGAAAAGACTGCAATAAGGATGTAGTACAGGAAGAAAGAATTAGTTAGCAGAAAGAAAGATATGAAGTGATTTTAATCTCTTAGTTTAAGGGAAGATAGAGAGTGTATACACCGACGCCATTGTGATCGATTCTGAGCCATGTCACCAAGAGTCTCCAACCAGTGGTTACAATAGTCACGCGGACCCCAACCAAGTAGTCTGCATCTACCAACATGGCTCAGACTAGAAGTTAGTGACTTCAAGCACTGATGCCACGTTTTGGTTTGGCCGCCCCTAACTTTCTTCCAACCATCTCCAACACCGGTTAGCATTGCACGTCGTGGTAATCGGTCTATGATGAAGTTAAACAAAAATGGAGAAAGTGGACAGCCTTGACGGACACCACTTGAGGTTGCAAAAGCAGATGACAGTTCACCATAAGTTGGTGAGTTGAAGACAAAACTCTATTCTTTTACTACTTAAATCTATGTACTAAGAGTGAAGAACAATTCCCTTTTTATGTTTCATGAGTTATTTCAAAGCTGAAAATTGTAAAAACAATATCCAGTTTATCTATTGATTTATTTCGAGATTTCCTGCACACTAATAAAGTTAACAGGTCAGCTGATAATGATGATGGTGGTGGATTTACTAATTTAATTTTATAAATTTTTTTGATTGTTAGGTTGAAAACTAGACAATTCAGACAGATGGGTTTATTTCTATATGAAAATTCATCATTTATGTACATAACTTATTGTTAGAATATATTTATACAATACATATTACTAGTTATGTTTTAGTAGCTAACCGTAAGATATGTATAAATATCATCACTTAGGGATAGATTTAGAAAATGGAACGATACCTAGCTAATAAGTTATACTATTCTAATGGTTGAATTCGTGAGTCAATTTAAGCTAGACCACCATTGAAAACCTGGGAGAACTGGACGGCCATCTCGTCCTAGTATGAGACTTCTCACCCACGATCCCACACGCGGTATTCGAACCTAGGACATTCGGTCTCGCGCGCGAACGCTCAACCTGTAGACCATTGAGCCAGCATCTAATGGTGTCTAACTCCAACCAATCCACGACGACTAAATGGTCGTCCAGTGCTTCCAGGTTTCCAATGGTGGTCTAGCTTAAATGGACTCATGAATTTAACCATTAAAATTTCTAGGATCTTCATAAACCCTCATTTTGATTATATTGTTTTTCGAATGACTAACAAAAGTTAAATATAATAATTGCGATCATAATCTGTAGGTTAATAACTGCTATAAAAAATCTAAGCATATGTAATTCATCATTTTAAAAATACCTCCAATGCTTGAACTCTTAAACGATGTGGCAATACAGTGGATGTATATCTTGGTGGTCGAAGCATACTCGCCGTAATTGGTAAAGTATAACGATTTCGTCGACCAAATTCAAAATGGATAGCCTCTTTAACAGTAGGTCGATAGAAGACTGCAGCAAATAGACGTGTGGATGGCTCGACCTGAACAATTCGAAATAAAAAGTTTGAAATCAGATAGCTATGAAGAAACATACATACACATACACCTAAGTACGTTAGTAAATAAATGAATAACTAAGGAAAAAATGGAGAATATATATATTCTATGAATAGAAAAATCAGCAAACTGAAAATACCAACAACCATTCAAAAAAATATTAATTGTTATGTGAAAATACAAAATAGGAGAATTGAATTGGTGACTGCCGTTACAACGAAGAAAACTAATATTTGTTGACAAAAGCTGGATAAACTGTAACCTCATAAGCAACCTAAAAAGCAATTACCTGAAACCGTATTCCACTATCACGACCATTTAAATCAAATCCCAATGTTCCAGTGGCTATATCAACCCAACAAGTTAGCGATAAGCCTTGACTCATTCGTTTACCTAAGTCTTCTGCTGTAGCCATCTGATTGAGTAATTGCCCCAAGTTAACCATGAAAGATGCACGTTCAGCAACAGCAGACTATGATGTAAAATAAAATATTACACTTATCGTTATTGTTATGAATCAGATAAAACTTTGGAGGATGCAATTATAAGCCATTAGTTATTTGAATACCTATTTTAAATTCTATATAAAATTATGTATTTACACTTCTATCGTTCAAAACGTTCCTCTGCTAACTTGGATCAATTCACTGTATGAGACATTTTTAATGTTTTATGTAAACACTTAATAATATCAAAAGTTATGTAGCAGAGATAATAACAATAACGTTCAATTTGTATTAAATTATAAACTAACTAGAAGTCTTTATTTTAAAAGACAGTGTAGACTCACAATAAGTTCGATTCTCAAAAAGAGAATTCATGATTTTTAGTAAAAAAGTTTATGTAGATGTGGAAAATATTGCTTCTCACTTATATATTATGATTATTATTACTCGTTCTACAATTCAGATATATGAGAGTACGATACTATTGAGTTGATATTCAAGAACCTACAATTTTCAACTGGGATAGTTTATATTTCATATTATCAATGAAATATTCGTTATCAATACTTTATAGACCAAACATTTTCTTAATAAAGATAAGAAATATCACAATCCGTAAACACTGTCTACCTTTAATGTTAAATCTGACTCCAAGAGACAAACAGCTGCTTGACGAACAGTGAATAAGTCGGCAGCGTATGGTTGCACACCGCTGCCACTAGTATCACCAAGCATAGGATTTTGATTAGAGTGACCATGTAATTGTCCATGTGTTGTGTCGAATTGTAATTGTGATGATACATTATGTAAAAATCCACTAATATGATCCGGTTTACTTGTTTTAGCTAATTTGAAGTAACTTGTGACCCAACCAATATGAACTAGGCCAGGATCTTGTCCGGGTAACACTAATACTGTGAATGAAAATTCATCGACGAGATTAGCTAATGGACTTGTGTGTCCACTTGATGTTGGCTAAAAATTTTTTTAAAAAAAGATGAAAGATTTCAGGAAATAATACATTCAAATAAGTGATCAAATGGTTTAAAATTTCCTTATATTAAAAAAGATATTGCAACAGTATCTGTGATCTTGTATAACTACTTTTTTATTTATATGAGAAAAATTCACAATTGCAAGTTATAAGAATTTAAAAAGAAATATAAGCTCTTCAATATGTATTGTCATACAGATCTTTCATAAGTTTATCCTACTGGATAGATCAAACTCATGACCAACTGATTTTCATCCCCATTCGTGATCTCATTTCAGTAAAAAGACAAGCTATACTTCTATAAATTATTATTAATATAAGAAATGCAAGTTGCTCACCAATTTTATTTTATTTACAATATCTGTTAACTACTCTATCAACACTGTAGATTTATGATTTATATCTCTAGTGATAATAAAAAAACTAAGTTCAGTCTAGAAGTTAGTGATTCAAATTTACATACTTCAAGATAAATAAATTCAATTTTAGTGAACTTGATTGTTTACTTTGATTATGCTTGGTCTTTTGAATAAGTGGCTGACGATTAGTTCTCACTCTGATACGTTTTAGAAAAATAGTTAATTTCACAATTCAAAAACCTAATATTAGTGCTTTTCCGCAGAAATAGAGTCCTAACTTAACTATTACCGTTCTGATGTTGAAATATCACCAATAGTTAGGAAATAAAAACTCTAATGAATGGATTTATAGCGCATTTTAAGAAGTAAAATATCAATCTAGGTATTATAATAATAATACATCATTCTAACAGTTGATTAGTTTTTCATCACAAATAACATCAACACCACTCTTGATATACTCGGATCATTAACGAGCAAAAACGCGTCACTGGTTAGTAGATACATTTAATCTAACTTAAATATTACTGTAAGTTTATCTTTCCAAAGTATAAGAAATGACCATTTCATGCTCACATCACTTTGATCTGAATAGTGAAAATGTGCAAATAAACCTGTGTTGTATCATAATCCCCGTGTTGTTTATAAAGAAAATATGATGACGTGATTATTATACTTAAGTATTCTTGGCGATTAAACGAACAATGATTCTATCATTAAATAAAGCAGAATAATAACAACTTTTAACGTACAAGAAATAAGTCCATATCATCTAGACCAGTTGCACCTGCTCTAGTATTTTTCATATCACCGAGAGCCCCTGGTGCCGGCATTCCTGTCTGTTGCACCTGCCTCTGACCACTAATAGCACCAGGAGGATTTTGATCAAGTTGAGACATTTGGGTTGTTGTAACTTGTGGCCCCGTGATGCCAGTGGAAAAACCCCCAGCTGTTGCAGAAAGAAGACTACCAGATCCGGCACTTCCCTGACCACCACCACCACTAGGACCCAACGAACCAGTTGTAGCATGTGCACCACCACGTTTGCCACCAGTAAGGCTACTACCACCACCACTTAGCAACGACCCACCACCTTTATGTCAAATGAGGAATAAAACGATTACTGCATCTAAATAGCTCCAAATCATTAATGAAAAGAGATCACATTACTAATCTCCAAACTCTAGTAAATCAGTTCTAAAGCATTAAGCACATTGAAAACAAGTTGCTTGATAAGATTATACAAAATCCTTGCAAGGAAATGTTTCTTATAAGTATTTTGGCTACGGCGGGATACAAATGTATAAGTTGATCCAATGAATGTCAAATGTACATCAACTTACTATTCGATAATAGGTGGATAGATAGATTACAATTAATTCACATACAAAAGTAGATTACTTCATTTACCCTTGTCTTTTTCTGTTGACGCTAAATAATAGGTGGATTGGTAGATTTTAGTCAAATTTTGAATTTACTAGAACCAGTGCAAATCTCCGAATAAATAAAGTAAAGAAAACTTAATCATATTTTTCATTATTGACAGAAAATTCTTCGACAAATCGCAACAATAATAGTACCTAAAAGTATGGGGATTTGTGGAGACTGCAGTGTTTTCACAGTTGAAATCATGAGTCAATTAATGCTAGACGACCATCAAAATCGCGCAATAAAAAGTAGTTTAAAGAGAACGAAAGAACAGAGGAAATCTTTCTAAAAGAGAAATCGGAAATGGATGTTGGAAGGAAATATCAAAGTAAAAGATTGAGAGGAAGATAATGAATGAATGAATCTAGACCACTGTGAACGATTCCAAGTCATATCACATAACGTTACCAACCGCTGGTCATAGTTATTGTACGGACGTCTATCAGTAAAATTGTATCTTAGAAAGTGACCCAGAATAACAATCAGTGATGTCATGGATCGGTGAAATGTCTATTTCTACACAACAAAACATTGCCTATCGAGGTAGGAAGAGTCTGAAAGTGCATGACACACGTCCCAACCACCTCATCCAGTGAAGATTTACATCACCTAGCTATTGGACAACATATACCTAACCTCAGCATTGTTTGAGTAAGGATCGTGAACACTGGAGCTGTACGACTATCGTCGACAAGGCAGCTGAAGAGCTTTGATCCTTAGGAATTCTTGAAATGTTTTGAATAACAAAAAAAAGATGGGAAAAATGTATTGTTACAAATGGGGAGTATTATGATATGAATGATAAATCCTATCTGGGGAAAAATTAGGTTTCTATGAACTAAATCCTGATGTTTGTTTAAGGAATCACGGTATAGTGTTCTAAGTTGTGTTCGAAAGTCGGAGATAAAATAACAGGTAATGTAATTACTGTTGAATAACTGGTTGAAACAGATTAGTATGTCACTAATGAGTAACGACTGATTATTTCACCTAGGTATCAGTGAGCAACTAAAGTTCCATTGACTGATCATGATACAATTAAAAAACATTTGTTTGAGTAAAATGAAAATAAAACAGAACAATGGGTGTCCACAAATGTGGAAACCAGTCAAGTAATTTGACAGATCTACATCTTTGTTTGTAAACACAGGTGAAAGGCATGGAGATTTGAATAGGAGGAACGATCTACTTACTTACTTATTTACGCCTGTTACTCCCAACGGAGCATAGGCCGCCGACCAGCATCCTCCAACCCAACGATCTAGGGTCATAATTAATAACAACTTGTTTTATGTATTAACAGAATTCATACGCAAACAAATTTCTGTCGAGAAAGAAATTGAGCCAAAACAGTACATATAATTAAACGTATAGTTGTATCATCATTAACCCACTAGCTAATAGTTTTACAGAAAACCAAACACTTATGTTGTCAATAATTGGAAGAATCTTTGTGAAAAAGTTACAAGATCTACACCAAATCAGTTTGATAACAATAATAAGATAGGGAAAGATTAAAATTGGTCAGTTACATCCTTTTTGCTTGGAAAAAATTTTTTTTTCAAATTTCTAACCTCCTCCACCTAAAGTCGATGTTACTTCCGGGCTTGGATCCCTTGATCGAGCTTTCTTAAACATATTTCCAAGTCTAATTTTCTTACCACGTCTATCTCGAACTTCTAGTGTAGAAGCGGACATATCCTAAAGGGCAGAGAAAACGAAAAAATGTCAAATAAACCGATTGTCTAACTATCTAAGCTTTAAGTAGTAGAATCAATGATGAAATACTACCACTAGCTACTAACAAATGCATATTCTTATTAAATGAAACTCTATCACAACTGACTAGGCTACAGATAATACCTCATCAACACTGCTGTAAGACAGGCATGCACTTTGAAGTCAAATTAGACGTACGAAAGAACAAAAAAGCTGTCTTTATAGAGCCCTCCATAACACAATAATACCACTTCTGTGGTTAAGATACACAGGATTTTGTAAACTCCATAATTAGAAAATTCTGTGGAAAATCATACGTAGATGTATATGAACTATAGTGGATTATTCAAGTAGAAAAAGAAACTGCTGATAAATACACACTTACATGAACTGTGAAACAGTGGATGGACAATAATGTAATCTTGAGTAATAACATGTCAAATCTACACAACCACATTCTCGTTACAGAATACAAGGTCATACAAAGCATGTTAAAGTTCAATCCATTAGTTCAATTCTGTTGGTTTCAGTGTTCATTTGTGTAAACAGTTCCAAAACTATATATATCTATCTAGCTAACCAACTAACTAGCTAACTAAATTACTATTATTAATCCATCTACCTATCTTTATTTATTTATTTTTGTATAACCAAACATTTTCAAAACAACTCAATTCCATTAAGAAGAAATCTTTACAACGCAGTTGTGAGACATTACGATTTTATTACAGTTGTTGACAGTTAGAGTACCAGTGTAATTTCAACTCCAACTCAATTTCGGAAGCATCTTATTTTGTAGTTGATTCAATATTATCATTACTTTAGTCTACTTTGGTGGCTATTCACTCTCATTACACATTGATTCTGCCTGTTACTGATGTACCCATATAGATCAAAAATATGAACGATAAAAATGAGTCAATCCAACAGTTCAATATCAGTTTCAGGGGCTAATGAGTAACCTAGACAACCATGATCTAACAAACATTTATATTTAAATGGTGTCTAATAATCACTATATTTAATTCAAATATTCTACAAATAAATGTATCATATGGCCATATATAACCACTCTTTCTACTGACCAGCTGCTTTTACCGTTGGGAGCTTTCTGTCAATAATTCATTTTTATGAGTAATCAGTAATTCGTGCAACCATTCGCATGCCTTCACATATTTAAAATATCCCTTCATTATAACAAGATCCAAATTAGTTTGAACTATGCTTAAGACGCACAGTCCTCAAAAGATTTCATAGCATATAGTCATGTTGACACAGTACTCAATTCTTAGACACAGGAAGTAAGAACTCGAAAAGATAAGGACACTTGACCGCGCCTCTTAGGTATATCTGCCTACGCTCCCACTGATTGTACTTAGGGTAAAGTAAAGGATGACTTTTACTGATAACTTTTCAGCCTCCAAAAATCTTAAAACTCAAATGTACTAATCGTATGAGGTGTCTTAACGTCAAACTTATTGGTCTAAACCAGTCTTAAAGGCATATATACGAGTCTTAAGTTGTCCTAACTCAGCAAATAGATAACAACACAGGTCTCTCCAACGATGATTAAACAACAGTGCCTTACAAGAAAAATCCAACTTTAAGCATAAAGCAAGACGTCATCTGACATGACAACCGCAATCTTAACACACTGATAGACATAAACAGATTAAATAAGCCACATTATGATATTGATGATGAATGGCATGAATCAGTCGGAGCGGTGCACTTGAATTCATTTTTTCTCTTCTCTTAACTCCCAAGTTTGAAAGTAACCTTATGCACTGTTTTACTTCATAAATTCATACCTCCTTTGTCAATCATTTCTTCCATAAAAATACTTTACTACTTCTACTATCACTGATACTTCATCTACTAATCTGATAATTTTCTTGATAATTTCATATCACTTTGTTCGTGTGATATGAAAACTTGAACCGATGCGGACATGTGACAGGTATTTCATTGAATAGGTCTCATTGGCCTGAATGTGTATTTTAGGAGATTGGTTGTCTATGTTCATGAATGAAATAATCAGTAATTTTTTGCATCAGTTTGCAAAGGGTCTCTTCTATTGAGAAACCATAAATAATGCGTTTCAAACATATTCATTTGCTATCTAAATGGATCATGATAAGTTATTAAAAGTCAGTTTTATATTTGACCACTTCGTGAACTTATTCACCATTTTAGGGACTTAGTCAGACTACAAGAATAAAGACTATGATATTACAGCACATCACCAATCATGAACTATTAGTTGTTAGCACTCGTGTATAATCAGACTACAGATTGATTTCAAAGACAACGTTCACAAATATTTCAAATTCTCTCAACAAAAGTATCAGTAATCAATACTGAACTTACTTGTCCCATCATAATCAGATTAGAAGAATCTCCAACTCCAACACCTTGTGTGTAAATTGGTTCTGGTTCAAGTTGACGCCTTAAAGCATCAAGATGTGCATGACGTTCATTCAAGGTTCTATGAAAATAGAAATCAAACTGAAATGTTTTAAAACTTGTTAAAAAAACTATTATGATAATCGCATCAGATAAACCAAAACAATTTAAAAATGACTTCATCATTATGATATTGTTTCAACCGATATGTAAATTCTGTGTAATTCATTGGATAATCCATTGGTGAACTTATGTTAGCTTTGACGCCTCAGTTATAAACTTTAATGGTTATTGGTTTTTTCTTGGTTTACGTTATGGAAATAAAAACGGTCACTATTTACCACATAAAAGAATACCCTAATCTATGATTCAGAAAACATTCACTTATTATCGAATATAATGCTGCAGTTAAACTAAATGAAACAAGATTTTATTCAGATTAGTTTTTAAAAATTCTCGAGTAGCCCAATTTAAAATTTTACGACTGTTTCGTTAAATTCATCGGTACATGTTCATTGTGATATAGATTGATGTGCATAAAAATTCAGATATTGTACAATAGGGAATATTTTCAATTAAGGAGTTTTGAGATTATTTTAATTTGCTTGTAGGATTCGTCACAAAATGACTTCATTCAAGATGCAATAGAAAACCAGAGAACATATATTTCTTCTTAGTATGGGACTCTTTGCGAGTGTGCATCTAACCCCCTCTCCAGGAACCAAATCCAAGATCTTCAGGTTTAGAGATGAGTGGCTACTCACTAAGCCAATGGGTTTATATTCAATCGTCGATCTACACACTGTTAAATCTTCACAGGTCCCCTTCTTCGAAAATATAATTATCTCCCCTATCGATCAATTTCAAGGCTTTATCTTGAAACCTTATCGAGAATTCGTTCATTCTACTCATATAAAAAAACATTTCTATTTACTTTTTCAATCATCAATTCTTGTGATACTCCATTTATACTAATTCTTAAGAAAAGCCAATAAGATCGTACAATGCTTTTGGTAACAGAACTTAAAACTAATAGTCATATCCTACAGGTAAAAATGTTCATAACGCCCAAGCTAAAAGTGTCCTATTCTTTATTTAAAACAAAAATCAAAATTGTTAATTAATTAACAGATAGGTAATCAAATAGTAAATTCTTACTTTGATGTAAAATGATCTTTACACTGTGTGCCTAAACTTAATCGTAAAAATTGTATTTCTTCTGATGATATATGGTCTGCTTGTTTAACTGTTACTTTAAAAGTAGGTGTTCTGAAAAAAATTAAGAAAAGGTGAAACAGCAGTAATGTATTGGGAATCGTTAAGAAGAAAGAAAATACATACTTCTCAGTCAAGCGAGTTTATTTATTGACTTCGCCAATTATATTTACGTCCATCAAATTACTAAATGATTCACGCTAACTAGTACCCACTCTATACACTTAAATTCATTTAATAACTGAACATTTAAATGTATATATATTTTATTGTGATAATTTGATGTCGTTTTAGTGAATGATTGGTAAATAAATAAGCCACGATGGGGATTTATCGAGATTGTAGTAAGTCTAACAGTTGAATTCTAGAGCTGATTTAAGCTAGGCCACCGTTATAAAGCTGGAAGCACTAGATGACTGTCTCGTCCTTGTACGAGACTCCTTAAGAATGCGGGATCGTGGATGCACAATCGATTGAAGTTAAACACTAGCACTGTCGGGTGCCGGCCCAGTGGTTTAGAGGCTAAGCGTCCGTGCGTGAAACCAGAGATCTTGGCTCCGAGTCCCGCGCTCAGAGTCGTGGTTATTCACCGCTGAAGAGTTCCATACTGGGACAAGACAGCAATACAGTGCTTCACGGTTTTCAGCGGTGGTCTAGCTTAGATCAAATCATGAATTCAACTGTTAGAATAAATAAGTTTATGTATACAATCTTGTTCTATTCCTTGTGTCCGGCATATCGATCCTGTTGCATAATAATAAGTAGGAATTTTTTCGCAGTCATAGTAAATAACCATACCGATAGCAGCAATCTGAATTTTACCGAACCACAACAATTATAATTAATAATTAGTTATATATCACTTATGTAATTCATTAACTATTAACAAAGGAAAACAATCGAATTCTTTATACATTATTATCAGATCGAAATGATTGATGATGATGATTAAAGATTCCAATATTATGTTTCCCAGCATAGATTTCACATAAAATGAAATATTTGTGTGAACATTATCATTATCAGCCTCCGATTTTGATATTTGAAGTTAATTTTCATTATGAAATGATACTGACTTATTCATCATAGTTTATTGTGCTTCAGTAATGTAAAATTATTTACCTAACACATCATTGTTCACAAAACAAAGTCTTCTAGTGAACACATTACAAATCATGAAACATGATTTTCAACAATTCTGTAGCTTAAGTCCATTTAATGGTGAAGGTCATACTCAATACGTTTACAGAACTGCTGATTAAAGAAACAAATAGAATGAAAACTTACGTTCCAGATGATACGTTAACTTTTAGCGATGGATGCTGCCGATCAACATCAACAAATAAAGATGGATCCTCTCTGGAATACCACATAGGCAACGGTCGACACATATTACTGAAATTATAAATAGAAAATAGCTAATGATCATATCTCTTGTGCAAGAAATATTATGATTTGATAATTGATTGTCATTGGATTAGATATCTTCAGTTTTCGGAAGCTAATCAATCATACAAATTATTCAAAACGTTTTAAATATTTTCATGCTCATATATAACTCAGAAAAGTTAGGCAGATTACAGACCAAGATGGATTTATTGGATTGATTCTTTGACTAAAGTTTGTTTCGCAAGAAACTCGCAATTCAACAATGAAATTTTGTCATGAATATAAGAGTGAGTAAATTGTCGTGGTAAATCGTTAAGATTCTAAAACCTAAAAACTTAATGTTGATGACGGAGAAAAGCTTATTTTCTTCCGTACATTTACTTTTCATCGATACAGTGTGAGATGCTATGTCTAAGCGATTACATTTTTGTGATCATATCTCTTTTGTTAGAAGATAACTGTCATCACGAATTCAACTAAGTTTGTTGAAAACCCCGAATCGTGTAACGACTAAAGTCAAACGATTAAGCAAAGAACGAAAACCCTTGTATAACCATCATTTATTCCATTGACCCACTTCTCTTTTTAATATATTATAATTTGTATCTTAACTGAAGCCAGCTTCTTTACTCGTATGTACGAACACTTATTATAAGACAATTAAACTCATGTATTAATTTACTCATCATTCGGAGCTGGATGAACAACGACCTAATTGAAGTATAGTACGGCTTCATGTACTTCAGTGTTAGATGAACGAACGTGATCAGTGTGGATTTTTGTTTCATGGTTTAGTAACTTTTAGGTGCTTAACAGAGAAAACGTAATAAGCTCAGTAATAAACCAGAGCATGTTTCGCTTAAGTGCTGGACTCTTGACTGGACAGTTTTTATAAATCAGGATATTTTTGTTTATATAAAGTTGAAAACTTCAATGGAGTAATCTGATCGCATGGTTGTCAAATGTTTATCTGGTCAATCGTGTAATTTACGATCAATAAATAACAGCTGATTCAGCTTTCATAATTAAAGAATAAAAACATTAACCACAAAATTCAGCGAATTAAGTAAATTAAAAAAGTTGAATTACACTCCTAATGGTTTATATCCTTCTTGCAGTCCACAATAAGTAAAGAATTTCAGTGATTGAACATCATTTCCATAATTGATCTTAACTTGCTGTCCAGATCCAAGAGAAAATGCTGGCACATAACCTTGAAAAAATCAATTTTGGAGAAAAATATTTGCTAGCTTATAATTAATGGAGATGTATTTCAAAATAAATTTTATTCTTAGTGAAAATACAGTTTAAATATACATTAAAACTACTATTATCCGATTTGGATATATGTTGTCGGTTAGATACGGTTTATAAAGTAGGATTTTAGGTTTTTCAAGCATTTCACAATGATAATAATGGTAATTATGTGACTGATTTTCCAAGTACGGGTCTATATACGTAATATAAGAAGGACGTCAGTGAGGACATAATACACGTGGTATAATTACAAAGACGAACCATATGAATTTAGCGGTAAAGGAAGAAATGAGTGGATAAAAAACGATAATATCTTTCCTCATTTTATTTTACATACAGTATAGTAGTATAGTAGTTCAAATAAACTCATCAAGAAAACAGGTAAACAACAATATAAAATGTTACTTTACCAGTGTATAGAATCCACGTTGCATTTAGAGTCGAAAAAATTGTCAGATTAAAGAAAGTGAAATATATAACAATAATACAAAAATAATCCCATAGTAAGACATCCAAGAATAGTTTTCAGCCGTCACCAAGGATGTTTGACCACTGGCTTCCAGTAGTTCATTTCGTTAGATGAATAAGCTCTACACTTTTATACATAGCTCATATGGATATACAACTAATTCAACAAAATACTATATCACTTTGTAAATTCTCTTTGTTTTATTTTAGTCTAGCCCATCAATGTTCTTTAACAGAAGTTGGGAAATATAGTGACTTGGTCTGTATAACATATATCCTAGTTAAAGAGGAATAATATATATTTGTAAAATCTCAGCGAAAGAATTTGAAGTAATTCCAACGTTTCGCCTGGCAATCTGGTCCAAGCTTTTTCAAGGGAAATATATATTTATTCCTCTTTAATGACTCACATTAACTCGGCGCCCAAATATTGTGGAACTATTCATTTAAATTTAGACGAAAGTTCTTATATATCCTAGTTAATTTTAAATTTTTTAATTAGTATGACAATTTCGACCTGATAGTCTGATGAAACATTCATGTCTTAGTTAAGTCGGTTCGTTCAGATTAATCTTATAAACTACAAGCATACAAAAAAACACTCGATTTACCTTCTTCCACTTTTATATGTTTAAAGGCTATTTCCAGTCCTAGAGGATCCATCATCAACTCTCCATTCAATGAAAATGCTGAACAAATAAAGAAATGATATACTTTCATGTACTGAAGAAGGGATATTTATGGAAAATATAAACAAGTATCATTTAAAGTTAGTAAGACAACGAGGATGAGTCAACTATAATAACATGAAAAGTTGTGTTTCTTTCGACTACAGTTATTAATTTTTTAATGTTATCCGCAGGTTGGTTTATAAATAACAGAATACATTCACAGCTTCATCTAAGTTTTTTGAATGATGTTTCATATGAATTGCTGATATGCACGTTCAGAGACTGATAACTATATTGATATATTTATTTCTAAATCCTATATCTTAATTTTAATGTCCCCGAGTCATTATGTTGAGAAAAGCATTTCAGGATAAACTCGCACTGAATATACCACTGTATTAATTTTAGACCAAATATTGAAAGTAAAAATTCACATAATCTGATTACGATTGTATTTTTCCTTAGATAAATTATTTTACCCTCATGAACTGGTCGCGTAACAGTTAACATTTGATTATATTTCCAGGAAAATGACCAAATAAAATTGGCATTTAATAGATGAAGAATAAAAAATCTAGACGTTTAAAAAGATTTAAGGTTTGAATTTTACATGTAATTACATATATTTTCGATGAAAGAGCGATAATCTAGTGACTACTTGGCGTTCCATCAAAATTAGATCCAATACATTCTGTCATGAATTCTGGACAGATGTTCGTATAGGTCCAAATCGGATTTTTTAAAATTATTGTTTTGAACGTAGTAAATATGATACACTTGAACTGTAGTAACTCAGTTTCGTTTCCGAAGTATGACATTATCGAAAAACATTCCATATATAAATTACTTACATATTGTTTTGTCTACTAAATCCATCATGCAACCAACTACATCGCCTGGTCGACAGATTGTACCATAAACAGAACCATTTCGATTCCACTTACGAGCCTGTTAAAGGAAAATAAACAATAACTAACCAAGCCGTTACAATTCACTTTTTCTTCTAAGTAAATTCGGATGAAATAATGTTATAACTTATCAATTTGTAACTGTGTAGGATTTTAATTACTATAGATCAATTTTATATAATTACTTCATAAAATGATTCTCCACATCGACTACCTGTTGTCAATAACTTCAAGCCACTTTCGGTTAAGGAAAAAGCATGTTTATCGATAACCATAGGAATAATGTGGTTTCTCTGAAACTTTTATAGAAGAAGAAATATTGTTTAATAGATTAAAGAAATATCTTCATATCCTTTGAGACGATGTTAGAGATTTATTGCCCAGGCCGAGCATTTTGATGTCAAGTTTTCCGAGCTGGATAATTTTATTGCGATACTTTCAGTGTTATTCAGGATTATATCATCAATGTACATTTTACAATTAGTGTCTACATGTATATCTTTTTAAAACAATTTATTTATCAATAAAAAGTGTGATATTTAGTTTTCGGCTTTATATATCCTGTCTAATGCGAATATCATTGAAGAAAGAAGGTATATTAATTGCTGAAGTAGTCTTTCGCATTACCTTATTTACACCATAATCGTTTTGAATATACTTATGACAATCGCTGCCATTTTTTAAGTAGATAAATACGTTACAAATCGCATAAAATGTAAAATGAGAAAAAGTACTCTTAAAACTCTCTTCGTTCAACATCTTAGTCGGTGCTTGTTTCGATAATCTGAAAAGAAGGCTAGAAGAGTATAAAATGTTATGATTTTATAGATCACTAAAATTTGCTTCAGATGTTTGAATCAGGTGATAATATATGTAGGTAGACATGTAAGTATTTTCAATACTTAAGCTAGAAAATAGCTGACAAATATTTTACGATAAATGACTAAAATTATGCCAGCAATTATTGAGAAAATAAATTTTAGAATGATTGTTTAACCAAGATCTTTCCATGATGCTAACTATGCTGTTAATGAATCTGCATCCACGACATCACATAGGCTTCAAGTACAAACTTTAAAGTGTTGCCATGAGTACGATAACTTAAACTCATTAGGCCATAATCAGACAGTCTTCATTTGCAATCTCCGCCCGATTGCTAATCAATGACAATTAACCATAAAAACGTCTTTATAAAATTAGGACAGTCTTAATATTTTGATATGGTGATGACTAAAGTATAGAGGAAGTCCGAATCCAAACTAACAGCTTTTCATATAAGTGGTTAACGATTGTACAAGTGTTACGTTGGGTGGCTGTCCGAGTCTAATACTAATAAATACGCTTTCTATCTGCTCCTCATTCAGCCAATTAAGTTATAAAGCCGAAAGTGAGTAGAAAGGTTTTGTTGGATAATCGAATCGAAACATGTGCACAAACTCTTTCACGGATACATATTTTCTCCTTTGCATACGCTAACATCTCTCACACGTCATTAAGCTTTGAACTGATAAGTCCAGTCTCCCCAGTGTATCGTCTTTCTTTCCTAAAAAATAAGTCTGGTTTTTGTATTCAGCTAAGGGAATAAAGATGAGAGTACATCAACAAATTTTGCTAAAAGAACTTACTATCAATCAGATCTTAGTTTAGTTAAAATCGTTAGCTATTCTATTAAACTACAAGTATAGAATTCTGGATAACATAATAGTTGTTTTAATCCATCTAAAAACAGGGTTACATAAGATTATTATAAACGCTTCCCCATAACTCAAATCAATTCACAAAAAAGTTATCAAAATTAATAGTTACCTGATGTGCAGCAAAAGCATACGAACTGCTATTTGAACCAATTATTAAGTCAGGCGGTGCACTTTTCTTAGCCCATCCAATTCGAATAAAACCAGATGTTAGTATTTCTGCTTCATAGTACCTATCATTGAAATTTGATATTTCATACTTAACAATTGAAAAGTGAATAATTCAGAAACAAGTGAAAAATATGACTTTCTTATTCTCTTCTTAGTCTTGTTTTGAGAAAATACTATAAAAAAGTAGCATGCAGATGCAGAGATGACGACCTTTCATGCATTTATTATAGAGGCGGTAATTTACTCACCATTTACCACGTGTTACTGCTCTAGTAGTTTGGCCACGATAAGTCCTGGTTGGTCCTGAATAATCCATGTTAGAATTACCACGACCTGAAACCACAGGTTATAAGTAGTATGAAGTGGAATTTGCACAGTAATCGATACGTAATTAGTTTGGTTTTTAAATGTTTCGACGAGAAGGCGTTGTCATTACCTTGTCAGCATTGGTTGTTCATCACCGATATGGATTCTCAAATTAAGGTTATATGCTTGCTTAGTCAATCTACGTTTCCAATGGCTTTCCAGCGGACGTTAATTCGAGTTGAAACCTATCTTGACAACAACCATAGCTTGGTTTGAAAATTCACCCATCAAGGTGTATATGTTTAAAATATTAAAGATTCCCATTGTGAAAATTAGAACAACACATATAAGCGAACAATTTTTTTCAATTAGATCGTCATCAAGCTTTACTCTAATATACATGAATATTTATACGAGAATTTTCTCTGTCTCAGTACTATTTATTTTCATGTAAATATATTGTATCCAACATATCTTGTTCTCCATGAATGATTAACTTTATTCCAAAACCTCAAATTTGTTATTGCGTTTAACCTTGTCTTATGAATAATTACTGGAATAGCAAATTAATAACCTAACTAGTCATGAGATTTAGCCAAATTCATTTGTTCCATCATCTATGAAAAACTCTCAATATCTGTATCATTTATCTTATTCTAGTGTTCGCTCTGACTTTTTATCATTTATCTTGAATTTATTGTTCGGAAACTTCTCAATCAAAAGTACCATAGTTAAAAGTTATTTATTAATCATTCTAAGTGTATTTATTTTGAAAGAACAGTCTTGTTGTCTCTCATGATTTGACTGAAATAAACATTGTTTCCTTTTGATTAGTTTCTGAAATTTTCTCACGTTACCCCACTAGGTTTATATAAAGCTGAACATGTTTAACTGTTTGTTATTTTTAGAATGGAGTGAATTTGTTTTCAATCCACTTTAGTTCACAGAGTGGATAACTGATTGACTAATTTTATAAAATTGTTTATGTATTACCTAATTAGTATACAAATTAATATAGGACACTATGCAGAAACACTAGTGACTGACTTCAGGAAAAACTCCTGGAGTTCTAGTGAGAAGCCGTTACCAGTGGAGTTCAACCGGTCTGTTGTGAGATAACAACTCACTGAAGACAATGGTGTACGGTGGCGCAACTTCGTGGATTGGTTGAAGTTAGACATTAACACCGTTGGATGCCGGCTCAGTGGTCTAGTGGTTAAGTGCTCGCGCGCGAAGCCAGTAGGTCCTGGGTTCGAGCCCCGTGTGGTGCGGGATCGTGGATGCGCACTGCTGAGTCCCATACCAGGACGAAACGGCCGTTCAGTGCTTCCAGGCTTTCAATGGTGGCCTAGCTTCAACTGACTCATGATTTCAACCTGTGAAATTTATAAATTGAACAAATAATTTTGTGACTCCATTATTTCAAGGGTCATTTGATATGAAATAATGTTTGTCAGTAGAACTATTAAAACAAAATAACTGCTAAAAAAGTCCGTTCTAAATAGTTTTGTGTGAATTGTTTACAAGATTTACTTAGTTGTCAATTTGTTTTTTTAAACAATTTTCTGAGTTTTGAACTGTTTATGTATTTCATGTGTGTTGTGAATTTATGAGCCGCTTGTTATCACGTACCCTATTCGCCAATCAAAATACGACTTATTCGCTCTTATACTATACTAAACCAATGACGTTCTAGCGGTCTGATCAGCCTAGCCTCCCATTGGTCCATTGCTCGCCTAGCCCGTCCATCTGAGTCCAGAATACCAATAACAGCCTCCACTATGCGAATCATTTATTTCAGACATACTGGGTTTATATACCAAACAAACAGACCGCAACGAAGCATAAAATAGGAAATAACATTCATACACAATAAAGCCAAAAGGTGGTTGTGAACGTAGAAGGCAGTAGACAATAAACTGAACATATCTTAAGAACAGTAAATCGTACAATTATAATGTATAGGTCAAAATAAAACTTATAACAAGGGGAATATAGACATACATAATTTAGTTACTTTACATTCTATAATATTTACTATTATTAATATTCTTTTTCGGTGAAAAATATTGAAGAAGCTAAGAAATATTTTCGTTAATTCATATCAGCTAGATACACGACTATCTCCGAAATAATTGAAATCTCTCGAATTAAGTTGGTAAGAATGAGCTCACTAGTGATTGTGTTAAAAAATGGACTATTTTTAAGTTTTAATAAGAAGTCATTTAAAATTGAATTTAGAAATTTTCAGATGATAACATTAAATAAATGATTACGTTGACCGAAAATGATAGTAAACGATTTCGGTTCACTGGTTTAAGAGTACCTTATTAGATATAAGATCAAAAGGTTGTGATTGTACTCTGCTGAGGGTTTGACTAGAAAGGTAAATTTGTCAAGTTCTCATTGATCTACAATGGTTTTCCAAGTGATATCAACGTCTATGATATACGCTACCTTCCGAAATATAAATAACTTCTTAATAAAAAATGTTAAACAAACCTGGATCGGAAGAGTCTGAACTAATGGGTTCCAGTGAATATCCATAGGCTATAAGTGTTTTCACTGTTTCAATCGCTGTGTCCCTTTATAAAATGAAATATATACGTAAATGTAAAAACTAAATGATAATATCAGTTGTATTATTAGTTTCACAATATGTGAAATAATTACGATAATAATGACTCTAATAAATATATTTAGCTTCCTTGAAGTTGAACGATATTGTTAAACATAGTTAATGTCATCCACATTATTATGATTCAGTTTATTAGATCTGGTGTACATCTCATATGACATTTTGAATATCTTGGTTATCAATATTTATAGACATTATACATCAGAAAATCATTTGTTTACACAATTATTAAAAAATAGGGAGCACTAGACAAATATTTCTTCTTTTTATGAGACCTTGTCGGAGAGAAAACATAATACAGTGGAGTCTGAAAGAAAAACTTAGAACTGATTATGCGTTCAATAAAACCTTTTAATGACTGTTTATGACTAAGAAAATCTTTTTAGCAGTATTTACTAACCCAAGCACATGTTGAAATAAGTAAACATAATAACTTTATTAGACTGAGCCATGTAGGTCTATACAGACTACCCGGTTGGGGTCCGCGCGACAATCATAATCAGAAGCTAGGAACGTTAAATGGACGGATTAGAATCAGTCTTAAACCTCAAACTCCAGTGCTTTTTTCTTACTATAGTTGATTTTTTCTACCACAGCTGATACTATTACTACTCTGGGATTTATCATGATAGTTTCATATTTTTGTGCTAATGCCCTATGGCAACTTGAACCTCTGTTTATACCTGCAATGTTTCTACATTGCATGTGACTGAATTCCAAATCTTAGTCTCATACTAGGACAGGACGGCCGTCCAGTGCTTCCTGGTTTTCAATGATGGTCAAGCTTATATTGACCAAGAATATATATATATATATATATATATATATATATATATATAATTCTTTAAATGATAAGATAGTTGTAACATAAGTTTATCATTCCTATAAATCTCATATAAATTATCTGTTTAGTTTCATCGAAATATTTATTTCCTCATTAACTGGAATGTTTAACCGTTTTTTAATGATATAAAAAAACTTGATAAACTGAAGTCGAAATGGTGAATCGTCATTCAACAGAAAACTTAAAATTAAAACAAATTAAAATCTAAACAATATAATAATTTATCATCAAAAGCTTACTTGTTTGACTGTTGAATAATAGGATCAACTTCACTGTATGGAACTAAATGTGGACTTCGTTTCTGTGAATGATCCTTGAAAAATATTAAACAAAAGTCACATTTTACCTCTGATAAAAAAATGTGCTCAGAAAATGTGATTTGAATAAAAATACATTATGTGAATAAGATAAAGGAGCATTCTCAAACTTTTAAAGTGCATTACGACTAGTATGATTGAATATTTAACTGATCAGAAATTAGTTCATTTAAATAATTTATTCATATGTTAATTATTATAAGCTGAACAATAACTTACAAAAAGTAGCTATGTATATATACCTGTACAATTATATCATGTTTCCACTTTCACTTCCCTCACCCATTGCTGAAAAATTTCAAAAGATGTTCTATCGTTTCCATAATCACAGATCATCTTATACGTTTCGAAGTGTTTACACAGTTTTGATTTGGTGGAAACTGTTTAAAAAGTGAGTTGTAAATCAAGTCTATTTGGAATAAGCGTAATCCATAGGGGGAAATTAGCTTTCATCATTACTGCTGTCAACAGCATTTCATGACAGACAATGAGCTAAAAAAGCAAGCCTCACATCAGTCAATCAGAACCTCTGTTAGTACAGAATCAAACAAACTTATTATCCGTCCATAAACGTTGTTTGTCATGAGTGAAATTACTTAGTAAATAAACGAAGTATATTAAACACTAAATAGACACATTATTCCCTTAACAAACACAAGAAAAAAATCAATGAGCCTTGGGTTTTTTTTACCGTTTTTGTTTGTGGTTAGCTGACTGTTATCGTTGTTGTTGCTAAGAAGCCCGCAATATATGTTTTGTAAATATTCATCTGGTAGTCTAGTATTATTAGTCATGTATTCACCAGTGACTCATTTCGAGTGGTAATTACCGGAGTCCTAGTCAACAGCTGTGACTAGAGGAATTCAACCAAGTCGATTGTGAGGCAGTCAGCCAACAATAAAATTGGACGATGGTCGCTCACTAGCTAGTTGACTGAGTTAGATATTAAAACTTCTGAGTTGTGACTCAGTGGTCTAAAAGCTAAACTCTCGTTGTGAGGGTTGAACGTCATACCTTTCAATCTGTAGTTGGGTTGAGAACAAACATTATTGAGGAGTCCAATGGCAGGATATGTTCAATTCTTCCTGGCTTTTAATGATAGTTTGACTATGATCAACCAGTAATTTCTAATATGAAAAATTTCAACAGTTTTGTTATAACTTGTGACCACCGATTAGAGGGCAGTGACTTATCGACCGGACCGATGACGCGTAAAACACGTGCGGACAGTCTAGAGTCTTGATTGGTCCTGCTTTCCGCCTAGCCCAGCCTGTTAAGTCCAGAACACCAATCCAAACCTCTGCAATATGAATCAATTTATTTCAAACATACTGAGTTTATATACCAATCAAACAGACCACAACGTACAAATAAAATATGAAACAACATTTGTACAAGAATTAACCAGATATGACTGTGAATGAGGGAGGCAGTGACTAATGGACAGGGAATAATTCAAGAAAGGAAAATCGTATAATAACAGTTCATAGGTTAAAATAAAGCTTATGATAAGAGAGACATGAATATGGATAGTTTAGTTAATCAACAATTATACGATAAAAATATACGTATAGTATTGGTCCACAAATGGATCCCAAAAGTTACCATTCATTATTCTTGTTGGGACATAGCAAGTTTCCACGAACCCGCCATGGTATTATCATTTACTTTCTAGACTTTCGAGATTGAGCCACTATTTAATGGTCTGAAAGTGTAGTTCTCATTGTGTTACCTAAAGATCTTAGATCAATCAAATTTGACTCGTGAGTGTACACTTCACCACAATCCGTGATTGTGAAAAAAACATTGCATCAATATCGTGCTAAACCATAAACTAATCCATTGTTTTTGCTATTAACTAAAGGCTACAACATGTACATAGAGAGTATTTACATAAGTGGTTTTACTGAAATAAGTGCAGTTGAATAGTAATAAGGTGAAGAGAAACAATAATTTTTTGATCAAAAATATTGAAATAATGACACTTTTTAACATAGCCACGTTATACTTGAGAATACACGCGATTTAATTCACTGAGTTTAAGCATATTGTTGATAGAATCATCCTTAATTAAACGAACAGTCTAACGTTGATGGGGGAGATTTTTAAGTTAATTTTCTAAATTAAGTAAAGAACCATGAACATGGTCTTTGTTATTTGGTGTTGGCGTATGTGTGGATGACAAAAGCCGAATAATTCATGCATTATATAATTAAATAATCATCCTAAAAACTACTTACTTCAACAAAACCATAAGTCCATCCTAGTGCAATACGATCACGTGCCCACATATTATGTGTGTTTTCAGCTAATTGATCAACTAATGCTTCTATACGCACAGACAAACGAATTTGTGTTAAATCCAATGGCTGAGGTTTATAACCATTCACCTGAGTAAAACTATTTTGTTACGATTATTAAGAGAAAAACAAAATGAAATAAAAAGTTATCTGTAGCTATTTCCAGTGTTCTTCAGTATTGAACTTCCTTATGTTTACATACTAGAGTGGTCCCAGTGAGAACGAGTGAAGCAGAGTTCATTTGAAGTCAATTTGTAATGATATGGATTATTCTTTGCTGATATTTTGACTGAATTTGTATCAGTTTTAGTTCTCAAATGTGCATCCTGTGTGCATTCTCTAAATATAACCAATATATCAGCTGGTTGTACTTGGGTCTCTTAGTTGATATTCACTTCGGAATTAAAACCTAGTATCCTTAGCTTTAAACGTTAAACAGTTTTTCCATTTATCCACTGAACTATCAGCAATGGAATAACCAAAATTATTACGAATTGAATAAGAATTTACTCAGTCCAAAGGATTCTTTTCATCTATAAAAAACCTTTAGTGTTAACACATGCAAAGAATGTTAACGTACTTCTGTCAATGGTTACAAATGCAGGTAAAAATTCATGAAGTGAACTTGCTTCTACTGGTTTGCTTACTTGGACCTAACTCCGCATCGCTTTAAACGGCAAAACATTTACTAGTAGGCTACTGAAATGCCATAGCTATGTTTGTTAAATGATTTTCATTTGTTGTAAATCCTTGTTGGCTTCTGGGACTAAATTACTGAACATCTGTTGAGATTTATGTTGGTCGAATGAATGCCTTTATATTATAGACACTCTTTCGTTGTTATATATTTTTTCTTGTAACTAGCTATTGAGATGCTTAATTCTGGTTGATATAGATTATTTACAATATACAGTCATCACTACAAATAGTGTAAGCAAAATAATCAGCTGAATATCTGTTGCAATGGGCGGTGTCCAAGGTCTGATATGGTTACACAACATGAGACTACTTGAGCGAGAAGACAAGGGTAAAGAAGGAAGTCTATTGAACTACCAAATAACATGAATGTAATACTTATTTGTACTTATACATTTATACCCCTTAGAAAATCAGCCCATTTCTTAGCTAATGGAATGCATTTGTCGTTCAGGACATTTATGACTGTCATCAAGTGACTGTGGAGGCCCGTAGTTTGATTTTGTCTTCATTTAGATCGACGATATTCGTTGAAGGGCTCACCACTTTAGTGGCCCGTGGATCTGACTCCTATTTAGATCGTATGGATGTTTGCTATCGCCCATTCTCGTATATCATCGTCGACTTGAATCGCGTTAGTCAATAACGGAATTAAATAAGTCGAATAACGAGAATTGACTTGTGAATACATACATTTTGTATGTGAAGCGAATGAAACATAGCAAAGCAAAATGACACGCAGGGAAGATGGCTGGGAAGCCAACTCCATTTTTGTCAGGCGTTACTCAACATTTATAGTCAGACAAAATAAAGCTACAGACATGTGATTAATGGGATAAGAAGGGCACACACATATACGCTCATATAAAAACAGCGAATAATTGACAAGGTCAAAATATGGCTCAAGTAGAATGAATAGAATGGAATGTCCGAAAGCTAGAATAAGATATATGGGCTTAAAATAATGACTGACACTACATGACCATCTCGTTTGGCTACTTTTGATTAGCTCAATGTGTAGATATCCAAAAGAGATTGAAGTCATTTATAATCTGCTCTATGATACTAATAATGTCATCAAAGACACATCAAGGTAAATCACACCCGTTTTTCGATAGTATTCCATATCTCAGTGAACTGACTAAGAATTGATGGGGTTGGTTTCAAATAGGACAATGATATTACAATCTGACATAAAACAAACGAACAAAACAAGGGATCAATCTTTAAAGTCAGTGTCAGTTGGCCTGAGATGTCTAGAGAGGCGTGAGCTTCTTCGGTATGATTGTGTAGTTGCTAAGATCACTACTGAAAACCGAGTGTTATGCATCATGGGCATCTGTTTTTTATTTCGTAAATCTAAACCATTATTGTTTTCAGTATGGGGTTGTGGGGATTTTTAGGTTATGGATTGAGATTGTGAATCAACTGATGTTAGACCACTATTGAAAACCTGAAGGGAGTGGACGGCCGTTTCGTCCTAGCATGGGACTACTCAGCAGATCTCAGCCAAAAACGTACCAATCTCCACACCCGCATACTGATAATTACCACGTGCTCACCAGTGACTTGCTTTGTGAGGGAATTCTCGAAGTTCTAGTGAGAAGCCGTGACCAATGGAACTAATCCATGTCAGGTAGAGACAATCCAAGATGGTCGCGCCACTAGATGCTGGCTCGGTGGTCTAGGAGTTAAGCGTTCGTGTGCGAGCCCGTAGGTCCTGGGTTCGAGTCCTAAGAGCGGGGACGTGGACACGCTGCTGAGGAGTACCATACTAGGGCGAAACGGCCGTCCAGTACTCCCGGGTTTCCAATGGTGGTCTAACATCAATTGATTCATGATCTCAACCATTACTGTTTATTTATCTACTTCACTCTTAGCGTTTTAATACGTTTTCATTGGTTGTCTTTTTCCCAATGTTGTAACCTATGACAACATGAGGTAATGCTTTACTGTGTGACTCATCACTTATTTGTGTTTTTTAGTCTGTCTTTTTATCAATTCTTTTTCATTATTCATATCCACTCTACAATTAATATACAATTGCAAACGTTGTTAAAAATATGGTAACATTACGACCATAAACTATTGTATTACTGTGAATAGTGCTTCATTTAGTCAGTCTGTGCGTCAAATATACCAATCACTAATAGGTTTGAAAAGTGTAGTAGAGACGAGAATGGATAAGGTTTTCAATAATATTACTTAACCATATTAATAGAAATGCTTACCTATTTGATAGCTTCATTGTTCTCATCCTTGTACCCTCAGGTAATGGTTCATAAGTAATATTATAACCTAAGCTAATTATTGTTCTTAATGTTTCGTAGGCAAGTGTTACATTATACTGCTTATCTGACGGCGGCAGCTTGTCAAATGTAGTCAAACATGGATGAAGATTATTTTCATCATCTCGACGCTATTTTTCACAAAAAAATGAGTAGGATATTTCAATATTTTCAAAACATTGAAGATAAACAATAACGATAATCAATAAACGAAATTATTTCATTTGTCCATCAAAACTTATTACAACACATTTTAGCCATCTATTCGGTAAATACGAACTACGAATAATGTTATTCAGGATTCGTAGTAATAAATAAATCGACCATCCTGGTCAGCAAAATAAATGTGACTAAAAATTCAAATTTGTCCCATAGAAAGTCCGGCTCTCATAGCAAAACCGAAAATATGAGATAGTGAACAAACTGATCTAAGGTAATCGAAATAGACGAAAATATCACAATGTGAAACTGTAACCCTGCTCCTAATAATTATAAAAATACTGTAGTAGGATTCGTAGTGAACCAGGCCCAAGGTGTCAAAGTTATGACCAATAACGCACGTTTTTCGTATAATATTCTAAAATAATTACATGTACTTATGGCATTTATTGTGTTCATCATTATAATTACTCTATCTCAATCACTGTAGCGGTTATTCACAGTTCCGCATGGTCGTCTAATCCTTGTTAAACACAACGATTTCCGTGTCTATTTGCTTTTAGTTCCGTTTTTCGCATGTTGAAAAACTGTTATCAAGATTAGACACTGCAATCAACTGTAATTTACACTCTTGTGTCATAACTAATCTTTATATTATTATTTCGGGAAGCCATTTTTATTTCAGACTTACAGCTGCTTTAAGGGCCACAGATACCTCACAAGTTAAAGTTTGTAACTAATTTTATATATATTACTCAATAAAGAACCTTCTTTTAGACAAATCGCTACTTTATGAACTTCGGTTTCGCGTGCATCTCAATCGTGTAATTATACGCTTTGATAGGTTCAACAAACACCTTGAATCAAACCACCAAAAAGACACCCAGACTGCGTCTGCTACAGCGTAGAGTAAAACAGTCGGAAAATAATAAAACTCCTAGAAACAACGTCACAAAGGAAAAAATAAAGTATCAAGAAAACAAACTAAAAATATTTTTTGGAACTAATGAACCAATTCTCGTATAGCAAAGACGAACTCCAAAAACAGTGGATTCATCCGGACGTTATCGGAATTCTACAACCGTAAAGACGTGAAGGCATTCCTAGACATTTATTAGAGAATATTCTTGCTGGACACCATCGGAAAATCTTTGCGACGATAATATGCGCACGAGTCATCACATCGACAAATCATCTCATACTACCAACTCAGTTTGGATTTAGACACCATCTGCCAACGGCTCAGGAAGTCACATCTCTTCGACAGATCATTCAAACTTCACTAGACAATGATACTCAGATAATAATGACTTTCGTAGACCTAAATAAGACTTTCGATACCATCCCGAAACAAATGCTACTGAACAGGTCAAACAACACCTGCGTCTCTCAAAACATCGACTAGTGCATCATGTGCCTTCATGATGAATCTAAAGGATATATAAAAGGACAAAACGTAAACTTCACAATGTACAGATTAGTAAGAGAATGGAGCAAAGAGGGTTCTTCTTTTTTCAGACTATTCTTCCAAGAAATCCTCAAAACTGCTAATAATGAGGAAAACTTATGACTACAAGTAAATGAGAAAAATAAGACAGAATAAAGACTATCGCATCGAATACGCGGATGATCTCTGCCTTATCATGACAAATACCAATGATTCCTTCAAAACGCTGACTAAACTTAAAAAAAACTCAAAGCCTTGGGAATGTTGAACACAATAGACAGAAAAAAGACTGACCGTAAGTAAACAATGGAAAACCGGTAAATCTACATTGACAAAATAATCATTGAAGAAGTAAACTTCTTTTAACTATCCGAGACCCATAAACCGAGCAAACGGGCCGCCTGATGATGTTAACCAAAACGTCACTAAAGCTCGTCACGCAACAATCAAAATCTAACCATTGTTGAAATGGAATAACATCAGTCTACCGACCAAAAGGAAGCTGATAGAATCTACCATAATACTGGCCTTAGTCTACGGTCCAGAGACTAAAATATTAAGAACTAATTACTAGAAGCTGTTCTCAATACAGTAGAACAATTGATTCTCGGAATCAACAACCAAAAAGATCTGACGACGGTGGAACTAGATTAGTCTCCCAAACATGCCATCAAAGTCCGGCAGAACCAACCAAATACCTGGTATACGGCTCAAAAACGACCAGAAAACTCAATGATGCATAAATGCCCATGCACAGGCAATACAAATCTTAACTGATAAAAAGGGTATAATAAACCATTGTTACGTGATACATAAATGGTCGCCAATAACTAGACAGGAAATAAGACCAAGGAAGAACAAAACAGCTTTTGCAGCCCGGTAGTTGTGCCTTGTTTTATGGAGTGTATCTCCAAAATAGCTATTGGCTAAAAGGAGCAATTAAATAGAAATTCTATTTCCCTGGCTGGCAGGGAAGTTTAGAATTAATAGTTTGTTCTGTGTGAGACTTTTCAACTGTATTTGCGTTCATTTTAAGATTCGAACCTAACGACTGTTGTCTAAAACACCGTCCAGCCTCATTTAGTTCTTGACAGATTAAGAAATGAAGAAATTATTCCCTTGGGACTGGTATGGCTCACAAATAAAAAAGAAACAGTAGTACTTTTCAGCTGTACACAGCAAAATCTGACCAATTGTAATGGCAAACCAAGTATTATCTGTTAATAATGGTTCACTTTATCTTAGTTAAATACAGAAAAATAATAGCGATGGACGTAATCCACAAAAGTTAATTGTAAAACGTTGGTAAACAGTCTAAGTAAAATACACTCAACTAATGATATGAAGTTAATAATTAAGCAAAGAAGAAGAATTGAATAACAACTTAATTAGAACTAGTGGGTTTCAGGTTACAGATTTGATGTTTTACATACTGAGACTGTAACTGAAATTCAACCACTGAGTGTTATAACCAACTATTGTGTGAAAAATTAACAAATAAGTATCTCTATGTCTTAATTTTTGAGGCCTAACCAGTTGTTGCGCCTTGGATGATAACTCATTCTACAACTGATGTGAATTGTCAAAGATATTTATAAAATGTCTTAAGATAGTAGGAAATATGTTCTCATCAACTACTCAGTTTATTGAAATGATTATGTAAACTATTACTGAATGTTAGACTGCCGTAATAGTATATCAGAGTGAATAAATGAATTAAATTACTTTGCCTTAAGCCTTACGTCAGACGCCAACAACTTTCATTTATACCAGATTATCGATTCAGTTAATCCATATTATTTATACCCGGTGATAAACATCCAGTAGTTTCCACACTATGCACCTAAATGCAACTGAGTAAATACTTTTTTCAGACGTCAAGCACTGAGAGGATTAGTTTGTTCCAACTAAAATTCATGTTTCATCTCATATTTTTTTATTTTAATCAGTTTAAAAGAGTAAAACTTACTTCACCATATTTCCAGCCCTGGTCAATTTTACGCATAGACCACATTTCATGTAGATTCTCAGCTAATCTATCACGAACCATTTCAACATAGTTTGGTAATTGGATCTTTTGGAAAAAAAAAGATGGAAAATCTGTAGACTAATCAACATTGTAATCATTTTCAATCGTGTAACAGAATTTACAGACAATAATAGGATTTAATTGCACAGACTTTAGCGGTGATTTTTAAAAGATATGATGTATTCTGAAAAATTCAAACGAATAAACAGAATTATAAGATTATAGTAAACGAACGAGGCCTTCTCAAATGTGTTTAAAATATGTTACATTTGTCTGGTGGATTGATGTGTGTGGCTATTTGTTTAGTTGGTTGGTTTGTAAAATCAAGTTCAGTTGAAGATGAATTTAATCTCTGGATAACATTAGAAGGAGAACCATTGAAAATCCAGGAGCAGTGGACCGCTATTTTGTTCTAACTTAAGATCCTTCTATATATGGAAGTGGGTGTATATTGCTATTAATCCCCAATCTTAGACAGAAAAAGTTTAATGAACACTGGCAGTCAGTCATTCTTTTGTATATGCCAGTGCATGACGGAAGGTTTTTTTAATCGAACTACATTGCATAATAAATTCTGACGTTAGTGATGATTATCAAATAAAAACTAAATAATAGAAAAATGGATAAGCTATTTATTGTAATACTTACATGAGAAGTACGCACTGTACGTGGTACAAATACATATTGTTGTGGTGTTGGTGAATTCAGTGGACCGGTGAATACGTATTTATCAAGTTGACCGAATGTAAATACAGGTTCAAGACGAAGTTTTTGCCCCGGTTGTCTAGCATAATATATAGGTGAGTAACCGGGTGGAGGACCATGATGTAAACGACCTTGATTTGATCCTAAAAGAAATCTTGCACTTGCTTTTGCATTCATACTCATACATGGATAGAACAAACCGCTTATATTGAAATCCTAGAAACATTGGTAAATAGTAACAGAATATTTGTGAAAACATCAAAATGAAAGATTAAATTAGTGAAAATATATTCAGTGATAATAAGTATCTCACTGTGGTGTATGTACGTTATAGATAAATTCAGAATAAATGACACTGAAATAATAATGCATGAAAAATGATATTCAATAAAATTTAGTCACTGTAATCACAACAAAGGTGGATTGTCATTTTCATTAAAAATGTACACGTTCACGTTTTGCATAAGCTAACTACATGAAATTTTGTTTAAACAGAAATATTTATCAAATCAAAGATTTCTGTTATGAGATACATGTACGTACTTAAGTGACCAGTATCCTAAACTTTTGACGTCCGTATTGGTAACCATAAACGGTACGGATCACATAGTAATTATAAGTTCTTCAGCTGATTCACCTAGACACTTTTCGCAAAGTCAAGCGACACTATGTAATAATGTATCAGTTTATCAGTTCTCTTATTTTACAATAGATGAAGACGAGAACCAGTTGGAATAACTTATCTGGCAAACGGCAATACATTGTCGACACAAATGAAAAAAATGACCAGATGAAAGTTAAACATAAATTACAATTTGATCATGGAAATCGACTAAACAACGCTCACCTGAAAATATCCCCTTACTAGACGCCCGTTCACATTAAATTGAATAACAGGTCCAGTTAAATCCAACAAGCATCCAATAATATCACCACGTTTCAATGGTACATTAGATGTTGCTTCCTCATTTGTTGCTTCATCTGTTCCGATCGTAGCCCGTTTCGGCTTACCACCAGCCCATAAACAACTTCCATCAAATGCATAACTAAACAGGTCATCACCCAATCCTGCTGCACCCCAACCTGGTCCACCACAGGGATGTGCATTGTAACCTTCTGTATTAGCCCAACCAACCCGAATTTTTGCTGGTTGATGTGTAACTGTCTCGAGTGAATCAATAATTACTTCAAAATACCACTTCGGATACATAGCTCCACCCTTGAAATGGAGGAAATAGTAAATGTAAACAATTTTCTGGAAGAAATAATCACATTTTATAAGTTTATTGTGACCAATATTTATAGTACTGTATCTGAGATAATAATCACTGGAGTGTCAAGGAATTTCGTCTCATTACTAAAACAATATATCAGAAGGGTGAATTTTGAGTTTCATGTTTATAAAGAATATCTCAGAGATTCCGAGTGAAAATAAGAAGCAATGTTGATGAGGGAAATGTTATTACTTTAGAAAATGCATGTATGACTATCGAAAAGGATTATTTTAATTTACGACTCAACTGTCTTGACTTTTACCTTTTAATAGATGAATCATTACTAAGTACAGTCTATCGACTTGTGTTCAACCATACTCAAGCCTTGATGGAAGTGAAAACTTTTTGGTTGACGCTTGAGTCGTAATTTATGGCTATAGGTGTTGGACAGTATGGCGCGAAATCATTCGCAGTGCTATAGTTCCATCGATTTTCTAACTTCCTCTGAATCTATATTTTCATTTTTTCATTTTAAACTATATCTTAAATGTCTAGATTTTTAGTGTAATTGATATTAATTCCTTTACTTAGTTTCTAATTTCATAAATTCCCTCTCGTACTGTGATGATTCGAGTCATAATAGTTTGATCCTCCACTTGCCCAATGATAGTCGATCGATCTGAGGTTATGAGTATGAACTCAACACTTGCTGTATAGATCTTGAATCAATCTTCTATGCGGGATCGATTTTAGAAAGCTATGTCTCCGTAATCTATAAAACAGAAAAAGCTGAAGAAATAAAGTATGCAAGACTGCACCTAGAACTTTTGGAATTTATCAATCCCTCATCATCATCATTATTATCAATTTCGCTTTCTGTGTGCAGTTACGAACATCTTTTTAATTACAACTAGAAATTGTGACATGTATCGCCGAATAAGCTTCCAAATGTATAGCATTTAATTCGAGTTTAGGGATATATTTTTAACACTAACAACTCAAATGTTTCCAATTTTTCAATTAATCATGAAAGAAGTGAATTTTGTACATACTTCAATGATCAGTTCTAAATGAAAATAAGAAACCGATGAGAAACCATTTTGGCACTAGTATCTTTTTAAGCGATATTAATTTATGACAAAAAGTATGTATGAGTAACTAGATTATCTATCAAAAGTTTGAAAATCGTTTATATGATAATTTTGACTTTCCAATTAGTTCAATAAGAGCAAACATAATGAACTATTGAAAATTCCGAAAATATTTTAATCCGGTATAACATGGTACATGAATTTATCAATAACCTTTCGCCAATAGCATGGTATATGATTCTCATCAACCCTCACTTTTGTTCATTCAAGAAAATTTTCCATTCATGGTCAAAATCACGAACCGATTTTAGCTAGGCCACCATTAGGAACTTTCAGGCACTGGAAAGCTGTTTCATCCTAGTGTGGAACTCCTCTTTTAACCGGGAATCAAACTCAGGACCTTCAGGTCACTGAACCGGTGTCTAATGGTGCTAGTTTCTAACCTCATCATACGATTCACATCGATTGCCAGCCCAGTGGCCTAGAGGTTATGCTTCCACGCCTGAGGCCGAAGCTCCTGAATAGGATTCCCGGTTATATGAGTACGGGTCCTAACTGTTAAGGAGTTCCGCAATAGGATGAAACAGCTGTCCAGTGCTTCCAGGTTCTCACTGGTGGTCTAGCTAAAATCAGTTTATGATTCAAACTGCAAACTTTTATATGCTCCGCAAATCCCTTTATATAAGTGTTTAAGTGCAACATCTTGTTCGTAGAGCTACCATCAACAACTAACGGAGGCTAAGTATGATTATTAGTGACATCTTTCATGAAAAAGATGAGTCAGTGTGAAATTAAAAGTGGGTCGGTTAAAGTGAATATAGAAAAATCATGTGAACAACTTAAATTTGTTTTAATAACCATTGGAGTTTTGTTTCCTATACATATTAAGTAAAATCAGATAAAGGGTGATCAGTAATAATTATATATAATCATCAACAATTATAAGGCTCACATCTTTATAACCGACAAATATATTTGGTCGAACTGATCCACATTGATCAACTAATTTTGTTTGTAATAATAAATCTTTTTGTGGTAATAAGGTTTCATATATCAACTCCTGATTTAATCGTACAGCTCCACCTTGACGTCCTAGACATAATGAACATAATGCTTGTAGAACCTAAAATAAGAATTGTAAAAACATTTATGCACTCTGTTATTCGCATAATATCTGAACCATATATTAGGAAACTTTTATTTCTAGAAAAGTCATAGATTTGTTATATCATCACATTAAGTAGCCAAAAAAAGAAAATAATCAAATTTCAAAGTTAAAATGAACGATAACTCAGACTATAGATAATTTTTATCACGAATTAGTAGTAATTAACGAACCATAGAAAACAAGGTAGCGGCACACAACTGAGTCATCTCAATCTAATTGAATTCTCTACTATTCTATAAATTGAGTGAAGGTGAAAATGTGAGACTTTAGATCCCAAACAAGTAGTCATGCTCTCTGATAGACCCAAGTATCGGAAGCTCCATTCTATGTAAAATCGTGAATGAATACCAATTATTTTTAGTTATAAAGTAGAATGAAGCAGTAACTCAATTTCCCCTCCTGCTTTCAGTAATTCACCTGACAGAACTACCTACAACTAAACCAGTAATTTGATTAAAAATTAGTTGAATTATTACTTCTTTACAAAGGAGTACAACGTGCCATATCGTACAAATACATTTAACACAGCTTTTTAAATAAATATTTAATAAATTTGCAAGATAGTGATTAAAAATTCTCGAGTTTTTTTTCCATAAAAATATACTTTGTTAGGTATGTGTAAAAATAAACTTTTTAATAAGTGGATAATGGTATTATGTTTCTTAACACTAACGCTTTGAATAACATTGTATTTCACCCATTTACTCATTAAAGCTTTTCTAGTCTGAGAACAATAAAACTTACTATTGAACCTGTAAACACTAGTTTTCAGCAACAGTTCGTCAACCCACTGGCACACCGATACTGTTATAACTCAGCAGAACACTAATATGGCCATTTTTCATAACTGTGGAAGACCAGCGACTTAGAACAGTGAACATTGCAAATCACACGACTCGTGTGAAAAGGCGAATATTACGGATGAAGGTTTATTAAGCACCAAAGATAAATCAAAACTTCACCTAAAAACACTGAGCTTTATATGATTTACTTTTTGGTCAATAACCAGACGTGAATACATCGAACTTAAAAGTACTTGAGATTAATACATCAGTAAATTACAATTTACAATATCAATAAAATGAACTGTTTCAACCAACAAATGTAACTAAATGTCTCGTCCTCTCTGAGTTAATATTTACAAATTTTCTATAAGGCATCAAACTAGTTGTTCTTCCTCATTTTTGAAGAAATGTCTTGGATCATCTTTGCTTGAACTCCCAGCATTTTAAATGATATATTGACGAGTCCAATAGCGTTTACCGAAATAAGATAAACATTGTTATCTCCTGAACTAGAAGCAATCATTGTGTTTTCACCCGGAAACTTCTGGTTACCAATTAGTCTTGACAATGCATTGATATGACCAAAGACATTAGTAAATTTATACCGGATTCGAAAATCATAATCCAGTAGGTTAAAAGCCCATCTTCGAAATTAGTATTCTACCGAGAGTAGAACCTTGACATCAGATCCAGAAACTCCTACAAGTAGTTCATGTCTGTAAGTAATTTTGAGTGTCAATCATGAAGCTTTTTTTTAATTCTTTTACTTTATTGAATGACCGTTCTCATCAACTTTCATGGAAAATTAATAACCTTATCTTAGAATATTTCATATAAGTTAACTGTCTTCCCATAACATGCATCCGTATCATCTTCGTTGTATTTTGGAAAGGAAATGTTTTTTTTATGATTCACAATGTAACAGTATTCCACTCAAACCACGTAAGTCCATATGAAGAAATCAGTCATGCACAAATCGAATCAGAAGTCAACTCAAACTTTAGATTATTTAAAAAAGACTTCAAGAAACACAGTACTAACCCTTGGATCACGACCTTGTTTGTCCAGTAACCCAATCAGTGTGCGTATGTGACGCTCTGTTATCAAATACAAAGCTTCGTCACTGTCAGTTAGAACACAATGTAAAGCATCCAAACACCTTCAGCGAAACCCTGTTGTAATTCCAGCCTGTTGAAAAGCCAATCCAATCGGGTAGGTGTAGCGAACTGTGCACAATTTTCACGATTGCCACGAATAAGTGCAGCTAGTAGTAAGTATAGATAATTGCCCAATTCATCAAACTGATCAGCTTTATCCTCACCAACAGCTTGTGAAAATTCTCGACGCGTTTGGAATGTTCCAGTGAATCTTTCTATAGTGCTCAATACGTGTCCAATCATACCTTCATTCTGGAGTAGACAAATGATAAGAGGTGAAAATAAAGCCAAAAGTAATGTGGAACTATGGGATTTATTTGTTTTGACAGTTCGGTGTCAAACACAAGACATATCTAGTCAACGATCTCTATATGATAGCAACTAGCCACGAATTGCAAATGACTTGGAATTATCATTCTAGGACATTTCCATCCATTTTTAATACAGTTTAAATAGCAGTCCAAAGTCACTAATATTTTATATGTCTGGTAGGCTTATCATAATTTCACCAGATGAAAGTCCATTAACCACCTTAGGAAACTTTGATAATTAGAACAAATACAATACATTACTTACAATTACCAAGTAGTGTAACAGCAAGTATTATATTTGTATTCACATTATTCATTTTCGACAGGTTAATACAAAAAGTGACATTAATATATTACATATTTTCTGTGTGTTATAAGAAATCAACATTGCATACAGTTTACTATCATTTCAATGATCAGAAATTTTTTGTCAGTTTTAGTTAATTCAATTATCAGGAAAACCGATTATCAATCATTCATGTAGTATCTCACTTTATACAGTTAAATGACTTAATGATAAAAAACACAATTATTTACCTGAAACAAATTTTGACGATTTCTTAATGCAGTTAATTTAGATTGTTGAATTTCGTGTTCTTCATGTGGATGCGGTTGAGCGAAAAATTCAATCAAATCCTCTAAACATTGAGTTACTTCACCTAATAAATGTCCACTGCTTAAATTACACTGACTCTGTTGTGATGGTAAAGTTACGTTTTGCGGTGATGATATATAATTTAATGTATGTATAAAGTTATTAAATACAGATGTGCATCGACGTATTGCTGATGCTGACCTGATTTCTTCATCTTGTGCTCTTACTAAACTAAACAAATCATCCATATGACCTTCAATTAATAGGACAGCCTTTTTCTCTTCCACACGACCAACACCACGTTTACGTGTTTCGTATGCCTCATATGATAACCATCGACCAGATGCCGCATGTTGAAGGTAAGCTAGTGTTTCACCTAATCTAAGATCTGGTTCGCCCATACCTTCAGTTTCGTGTTCTTCTGAACGTTTTTTATCATCCTGCAAATAAACAAATTTGGAGTTGCAATAAATATACGTTCACTTTTTATGAAGATGTAAAAAAACAATGAATTTTTAGTCTAAAATATAATCTAGTATAATTTATTAATATTCTGATTCCATCAAAATGATATTTGTATGCACAACATTTTGTTTTATTCAGAAAAACAAAGGCGATAATAGCTGTAATTGGTCCACAACTAGTTCACTTCCTAATCTTCAATTTCAAATTACTAAAGCCTACGTGCCATAAATATCAATGTTTTGGTTCTTAGTCTGTTTTTCTAGTCCTTGTCAATTAACATGAATAGTGGTTGTCAGTCGCTCTCATACAAATAGTACAAGATAAATATCACAAAAAATTACGATCAATCAAATATGCAAGGGTTTATAATATATTGCATCATATCACTTGTTAACTGTTTGAAAACAGTAGTTAGCGTAACTGATAATTACTACGAAGCTGAAAATTCTTTTGAATTTTGTTACGGACATTATCCATATAAACAATTTTATGAATTAATCAAGTGTATAACTAGATAGGACACATACTATTATTGCTTCAAATAGATAGTAAATTAATTCAACTCAGATATTTTATATAAAGGAAGAAACTGAATGTACTACTCAAAATAAAAACATACTTTACTAGGTCTTATCAAAAAGATTGAAGCTGCATTTGTTGCTTCATGTGCTGACAAAGTGACGACATCACAGTGTCCACTTCCATTGGCTTCACTAGGCAATACACCCAAATAACGACCAGTAGTTACATGACGTAAACGAATTTCAGAACCCCATGAGAAGAAACCAGCACTCCATTTAGTTTTCTTATGTTCAATCCGCCATAATGAGCGAGCACTTGTTGAAACAGCGCCAATTTCATACATAACCGCATGACGTGAACTATCAGAAAACATATTAAAATAGGGGAATAATATTGGTTGGTTAAAAACAATGACTACCAATGAGGTGAGAGTACACTAAAGAGAAATTTTGAACTATACTGTCAAGTGTGGACATGAAGTTTTCAACACCAGCAACCATACAAGGTGGACATTCTCAAAACAAATGAAATCATACACGATACATAACTAACTCTACTTCTGACCACCAGTAATAATTTTCGAGATTTCGTGTTTTAGGTGTTGAGACACAAATATTTTAGAGAACTTAACAACAATGACGCTTGAGTTAATTAACCAAATTAAGCATGGATAAATTTGAATATATGACCTAGTGCATAAAACTCAAAGCCCTAAAGACTACTATACTACATCTGCTACAAACCATACATACATAAACTAATGTTTTTAGGTGATTGTTATAACTTGTCGTTTGAATGTTACTTGTTATATCTGGTCGTCGCTGATTGTTGTGTCGGAAACGCTTATCACTTATACTCGGAACGAGGGACCTCCACAATTCCCACGACGAGAAAGTAAGAACACAAAGACTGGTATAAGTGTATATTTATTAACCCAAAACACGACGACGACGACCTAGTCGAAAGCACACTCATTGATATATTGATTGTACACACACTTTGATTAATAACTAGGATGAAATCACATATATAACAAATCACATACTGACCATAGTTCATGTCAATGGAATGCAAGAATATTACATATTATACAGAATAAAATATCATACGAGAAAACAAACCAAATACTACATTGAGTTATCATTACATTGAATCAAAACGGAAGTAATGTTGAAGAAAACTCATAATGAGTAAATCAATCGAAAATTGACTTTTCTTCCCGTCATATCAGTGATATATATTTATGAGATTCGCTCAGTTGCTATCTTTTTGAATTTATCCAGTAACCATTAACTATAAAACGTTTAAACAGAAAACCCTGTGATTTAAGTTTTTCAATAAATGGTATAATACGCTGAGGTTGTTAAAAATTCTTTACTGTGATAAGTGTCCGAACCGCTGCTTAAGTAAATTCTATTATTTTTTACCCAAGGACTGTGTATGCATAAGCCCTGCACTGGTGTTTTGGTGTGTCATTTTTTCTAATAGTTCAGACCAGTTCAACACTTGAAAATGTACATTTATATCAAATAGAAATACTGTTCATAAACTGAACATATAATATATATGAACAATGAAATCCGTCACATAAACTTTGTTAAACATTGGTTTAATTTTTCTGAACATAGATTTTAAGCTATATCAACCTCTATCTACGCGTTTGCGTGCTAGCCTGTTTGGTTGTCGAAATTAATCAGTAGGTGAAATTTAAAACACTATCTCAATTGTCGTTGCTCTGCCCCTTCAGAATCTTCTTCCAAAACCAACCACAGAGACCAGAAGTATTACGAACCAAAAACTTCCACGTTTCTGAGACCTTAGTAATCTACTGGTTCAAGGTGAACTTGGTGTGCGAAGGAGCATATTCATTATTTTAATCTATCATGATCCTAACACTTCTGCAACTCATCATTTCTAATGATCAGTTGCTGTTATCTCCTTTTGATTTCTCAAAATTACCATTCAGTAGTTAATTTGGTATTAAAGCTCTCTTGTGGACTAAGGTTTAATGACTTGATGAATGATTTTTAGACTATTATGCACTGGGTTCCCCTTATTAATTGGTAAAATCGAAAATAACGTTTGAGAGCAATAACATGGATTGATTTTACTTCATACCATCTTAATCAGACAATTAAAACTATGGTTTTTTCAAACCAGAATTACAAAGCAAGCCGAAAATACTTGTGGAAATGAGTATGTCTGGAAGTTAGTGTGATCACATTGTTAATCCGGCCTGCGCCTCATCGATTCCTTTTAATCGAATAATTTGTTTCTTACTAAGTTATACTACTTGTTAATATTCAATAACTAATTTCATTCTCAATCATTTTGAGCACAAACTCTACCATACTGTTCGTTGTATTTATACGAATTCGTAATATTCAATTTATTTCTGACAGTGACACCAACTGTTTATATCTGTAACATTTACCTCCATTATCGTACGTTCACTAAACTTTTGTTTAACTATGAAGGTCTTTATTTTCTGTGTCCAGTCCCAATTTCAATAGTTAACAGTTATCATACTCGTAGTCACAGCTAATAGATTCCATTTGAACCAACAGATGTCTGTAAATAATCTTCCCGTAATTATTTCAGGAATCATTTTTTTAGACTATACACGTTGAGGCATACAACACCGCAGATAACTAATGAATTAAGGTGTGTTGATTAACTGGATGCATTTCGTAATAGTAATACCACTTCATGAACAAACATTTTTGTTTAGGATTCCGGATTTTTGGGTGTAACTTCTTCATTTAGTCAGAATTTACTCATAAGGCCCCGATCACCTCAAGGAAATTGCATTGGCAGAATAGGATAAAGTGTCCACCCTAGGTTTTCTGAACATTCTCCGTAAAGTGTTCCCTCAAGACACTTCATTTCCTCCTGGACGCAGAACATCAATAGAGAGCCATGAAATCTTTCACAGTGCTGAATGGACAGCCGAGCCCTAGTCTTCTGAAATTCCTTAAGACTTTTTTTAACAGACCCTGGAAATAAGAGTTATTTTTCTAGAGGAAACTGTCACAAGTATGTTTTTGCACTGTTTATAAAACTCCTATTTGACTACTTTTTTTCGAGACGACTGCGAGTTAAATAGCTACAGATACATGTGTACATCATCAGTAAGCAGTATCATAGAGGAAAAAAGTGACTTTAATGAATGCTTTTAATGTCTTCATTAGTAAAATTCTACAGATTATAAAAAATCCTACATCCTGTTTAACAATTAATTATTTCGTCACAAAGCATCGCGTAAATAAATCTAAACAAACAGTTTAAATTACAATTCTACTAATTGGATTTAGACGCTCCTGATCGTGAAAGAACAGTTGTTTACAGAAAATTAGATCAACCATTATTCTTTATCTTTGCAATAATAATTGATTTTCAGTGATCACAGTAACCAATGTATAATCATGGAAACCATAAAATAATGTTTCCTAGACAGCTAAATTCGTCCTTATTCCTTAAGTTTTGTTTTCCAAAGAAGAGTATTAAAATTTATGAATTATTGAGAAAGAGTTTCTACTTTACTTACCCAGACAATAAATCAGAATTCACTATACTTGAACGTTGTATTTTATTAGGGGGACTTCCGGGAGCCGATCCGTTCATTGTCATTGCAACCGACGATGAAAATTCCTCTGACTCAGTGGCACACGCTGCTGTCAAAGATTCATCACCATGAAAGAGGCGAACAACATCACCACCTAATACCATATCTATTTAATACGTACAATGTAAACATCACAAAAATTGATCGGTAAGCCAAACAATTAACTTTCATTTATTTCAAAAGTTATCAAAATCCCCGTTCCTTCATTTATTTTGTTAAGAAGCTAATCGGGTTTAGGTATTTTTTGTTCCACTACAATATTTGCACAGTAATGCTTAATAATCACAATTACTTACAAGGCGAAAAGATATCTAATCTGCATGCAATTTATTGTACTATAAAAGATCAGAAATAATATGTAAGCTACTAAGTAGATCATCTGTGCGAATTTCTGATAGAAGTTTATTAAGCATTTAAATCGTCCATTATGAATAACAGCTGATAAAATCCCATGTAGATAAGTTTTGTCTTTACTAAAATGATTTTAAATCGTTTATGGTCTTTTTAAGGCCTAAACTGCGGTCACTTATAAACCCTGAGTAAATATCACCAAGATCCTTTGGTTGAAAAGAAACCGTAACTAGTTTGATCATTGACAGTGGTTAGGTCCTTACATAACGAAATAATAGGATACACTGGCTCCTGATTTTTCAGTAGATACGACACGCAGCAGAGCTCCATCATAGTAGCACCTATGAGTTATTTGTTATATGTCATTTAGTAAATAATGGTCTATTATCATTAGCTTTATTTGATACATACATAAACTGGAACTTTCAGATACAGAGTGACCTTTTTACTTATTTTTTTGTAAAGCAATTTACTTTACCGTTGTTGATATTAAAAACTACATTTTATCAGTCTTTCGAAATATATGAATTATAAGCAGATGCCTTGACACTATCCATGGTTATGTTTTGTTTTATGTTTCGATTGTGATAAGCATTGGAAACCATAACACACGTTCCATTCAATTTGGGACTCGTCACTAGAGTGTGTCTTCGTCCCATTGATGTTCATACTTAGATTCGAACCCAATACCTGCCTCTTTTGAAGCCGACACATTATTCACTAAACTAAGTCCGAAAGGTAGTCGACTTGTTTAGCTGGTATTGCGTCATTTGCAGGGGCTTATATTTTCCTACTCATGATTTTCAAGACTGTAGATAATCAGTGTCTTCGTAGAGAACTACACTTTCATGATTGAAGTGATATTAGATATATACCAAAAATGGACAGAAAACTTACGCATAGATTTTTGCCTTATTGCACCACTGGAAACGGGGAGTACTGTCCACAGAGTTTGCTGGAAACTCGCAATTACGCCATTGCTTGAAATGACTTCCCATAAACATGCTAAGAAGAGCCAAATATATTTAGGAAACAGTTAATTGTGAATATCTGCGTTAAACTATTTCAGATGGAGTCTGATATGGTTCAAACGAGGTTAGAACCTCAAGAAAAATAGGTTCTTGATTTGTGCCAAAGCCCCTTTGTTTGGCCAGTTTTTATAGGAGCATTCGTATTATCCAGTCATTAATTAGTTCCCCAATATTCCTTGTAGAACCGATGGCCTACTTACCAAATGACACAGCAATCAATTACCAACAATCAAAACCCATAAACTTATTGATCCTCGAGCTCCTTCCAGCCCAGTGTTGAACCAAAAGACAAAGATATCAAGTAAATCAATTCCCTATTACACCATTCAATCATGACCTAGAACTCAAAAAATAATATTTCTCCAACTGCTGACTGCATAGTAACAGAAAGTAGAAAGTTGCGATGTATAAACTCAGTTACAAGTGACACCAAAACAGAATAATAGGGAACTAGTTAACTGATGGTAAATCTGGAATGACTTGATATAAAAAGTTCCTTTATGGGTTCAACTAAGGTCAACGAATAGGAGGACTTAAAAATTTAGTCACTAAAACGTCCAACAATTATGCAATAAAAATAAAGTTGATAATCACCCCGGGTATAGTTCTGAAATGTGAAGGCGCGAATCGGCAAAGCAAGAGTAGCATATTCACAATTGAAGAACATCTGGAATTCAAACCAAAAGTCGACCAACACCAAGGTCAGAATTTTCAATACGAATGTCAAGACAGTTCTACTGTATGGGGTGGAAACCTGGAAAACTACGAAAGCCATCATCCAGAACACACAAGTGTTTATTAACATCTGTCTACACAAAATACTTCGGATCCGTTGGCCAGACACTTTCGGCATCAACCTACTGTGGGAGAGAACAAACCAGGTCCCAGAGGAGGAAGAAATCAGGAGGTGGATAGGACACACATTGAGGAAAGCACCTAACTGCATCATGAGACGAGCCCTCACTTGGAATCCTCAAGGCCAAAGGAAAAGAGGAAAACCAAAGAACACATTACGTCGAGAAATGGAAACAGATATGAGAAGAATGAACAACAATTGGATAGAACTAGAAAGAAAGGCCCAGGACAGAGTGGGTTGGAGAATGCTGGTCGGCGTCCTATGCTCCATTGGGAGTAACAGGCGTAAGTAAGTAAGTAAACAAGTTCTGAAAGTTCAACTTTTGGCAAGTCCTATTCGGTGTGACAAAGGTACGGTGACAACTATTATTTTAAGGATTATTAAAGCTTCCGTTATTCAGCGATGGGGAACTACAATACCTAGCCCTGTTTGTGGCTGACGAGACCAGTTAGAAACATAAGTACGCACAAGATATCTACTGTAGAAAAACATGGGGTTATATGTTTAGGCCTTAGAAAACGGTATTTAAAATAAAAAAACAATGATCTAACAGACTTGTAAGCTGATAACAGCCTTAATAAATGCTCTGAATGTGAGATATCAATTGGATTCTATTCGTAATTAACAGATGAAATGTTTCACAATCTGAAACAATTCACTTTTTGAGTCGACTTGCTTCAATGAACAAATGTTTTTGTGTCTAGATTTTAACAAATTCAAATTCACATCTTAACTAAGGAATGCAAATCTGGAGTCAGAAATATGGATTATTATTAGCAAAACGAATTCTGATTAATATACACTAGTGAGAAACTATATATTTGTATTCATGTTTGATAAAATGACACGGTTAGGAATAAGGATCATGTTGGTAAATATAAGTTCTATTAATAAATAATACATATCATTATCTTAAATAAAAACGTTCTGGCATTTTAATTCATTTTTGTGTTGGTTGTTTGAGTCTTCCCATTGATGTCGAGGACTGCAAGTGATCAGTTGGATATTGACATATGTGCATCTCGTGTGGATTGCCTCGATACTGCCTGAAGTCACAAGCTGCATAAGCAGAAATAGATGGTGGCTAGCGGTGGATGTGTGTTTCTTCCCACTTTGAACCCGTCAGTTGGATGTACCTGAATCTCAAACAACCAATACAAACGTCACTTCATTACACAAGCTAGTGGATAACTGGGCTCAGTAGCTAGGTAGATAACATGATGGCGTTTGAGGTGAACAGTACTAGTTTCAAGTTCCGGAGTGAACAACAACTCTGGGATCCAGGTATATCTGGCTAACGAGTCTCAGATAGGACGAAACGCATGTCCTGGGTTTCACTGGTAGCCACCATCCATCTCTGCTTATTCTGACATTTTGTATATGTGATCGTCCTGATCCCGTATATAAATCAATTTACACCTTTAATAAGGTTTGCTAACATCTAAGTTAACCTAAGAGTGTCCCAAAGTAAATGCATGTTATTCTTAGTCAGTATTAGCTATGGATATATGGTGACTTCCATAAAATTCTTCATAAATTTCTAGAATAATGCACAAAATTGTTTCATACAGCTAATTACAATGAATAAATTCGTGAGTAAATAGAAATCACAAAATGAATGTGATTATGGTATGTATCTCTATTGTATTGCAGTTGTAAATGAAAGGGTTATGTGTACTCTAAGAATTTTAACATCATGTCATTAGCTCATTTCTGAACTCATTCCCTTCAATTACATCCTGAAGTTGACCATAAGTTAAAGTCAAGTAATAAACCAAAAAATTATGGTTTTACTTTGTTAGACCGTCGAATAATTTAGTTAACTTTTCATAAGTAGGCTGAAATAAGTGAAGTATCTAAAATAGCTGGACGAAATTAGATTCTGCTTATGTATGCTTAGATAATTCAGTTTAAACTACTAAACTCTACTGTTTAGTCTGTTTAACCTTCTGAATAGTAATATAACTACATAACTACATAACTACATTTGACCTGTTACTTATAGCTTGACATTCCGTTTAGAGTAAACTTTTCAGTGAATTCATATCATAATCGAATAAATCACAGTATATGATTCTTGTGTTTAAAGGGATAGATACTTCGGTTCGATTTCACTAGATACACTAGAGCTATTATAAATGCTTTCAGTTATCCTATTTTAAGTAAGCAAGATGAAATATGCATCTGCGATTTCACTGATATTTTCCAGGAGAATATCTAAAGCTTTCTTCAAATTAAATAATTACTAACTATGGGTGTGATTTTCTTTGAGTTATTTATTTTTACGCAAAATTATGGAAAATCAAACAATATTTAGTTAATATGAATTATTTTGACTGATAATCATCAGTAAGTTTAAAGAAGTCATAAAAAGGTAAATAATATTTTTTTTAAACCACCGATTGTATGATTTAAACAAACTTTAATTAATAGCAGTATAATGCTTAAAGTATATCACTCAAGTTTCACTATTAGATTTCTATTTCGAACACTACGATCAAGTTATGTCATCAACTCATGATAAAAAGAATAAAAGTAATTCAGTGAAAAAATATTCTTTTCCATAAAATCGTTTACTAAAGTTGTTTAGTCGTACTTGTGGTGATTTAATTATCTAAGTTGTTCATGCCATAAAAGGACACCAGGAAACACTATACACACATAAAAGCATATTTCTTTACACGTACTATATATATATATATATATATATATATATATATATGCGTGTATGTATGTCTATGCCTAAATGCATATACACATATTATTCAGTATACTGATGGTAAATAATGAATTCCACACACATTTGGGCACAGAGAGGAAAATGTTAGTTATTGATTTATGCACCAATCACTGATTTACAGAACTTATTTTAATTGAACAAAAAGTAAAATTATCTCTGAATTTGGTCAAATTTAGTAACAGCCCACAGAATTTATTGATTGGTTGTTAGTTTATTGTATTGTAGCTTTCTAAAAACATCTGATTCAGAAAAAGCAAGTATTAGCCATTAGGGGATATGAATGATTTTTGATCATATATTGTGAAAATGAAAATGCTATCCTAGCAAAACTAGAAAATGGCCCACTTAAAAGTTTATTCAAAAGTTCACATTTGCTGTCGAAATATAGATAATACATTCATCTTTATAGAGATAATAAAGAAGAATTAGTTGTTATCAAGCTCACAAAATGCGGAGAAACACGAAGGTAGAATAGTCTTTAAATATTCTACAAACGAAAAGACCAGATGAATTAATTAGAAAGAACTCAAACTGAAAAGTAATTGAATAAATTAGTACATACATTTCCTTTGCTTTGTACCTCTGACGTGCGAAACTTAATAAAAAAAGCCATTATAGAGAGTCAAATTTTCTATTAACACTATTGAAAAAGAGCTGAAAGCCTTGTACAATACTCTTCGGAAAACAGATGGCCTGAAAAGTTTATAAACAAATATAAGGCCACAAAAGTCAAAATAAAAGAAATAAAAACCCTCAATAAGAAATAATTACTCGTGCATCTAAAGTTTAAAGGCGAGGCAACTAGTGAAATGTTAATCCAAAGACTACTCAGAACACTCCGGAGGACGTTCAATGCTCGAAAACTGAGGCTAGTTTTTTCTCGTGAGTCAGTTTGTAACACAGAGATTAAAAGATAAAATACATAAGCTAGCCATCTCGTTTTGAGGTTATTAATTCGATTGTTCTTAAGGGACAAGTTAAGTAGGTTAAAGTTCCAGGAATATACATTTGTGTGCTCATGAACACCTTCCGGCATAACTAAGCAGAGGTGTAGTCAAGACAGTAAACAATTCAGTAGCAATCCAACTAGTTCAAAATAATTGTAGTTCTAGGAAATATCAGTCGTTTCCGATTGTTTATAAGATTAGTAATTTTCTACCAAAGTCTAGTAGACTCAAAGAACTCCGAATAGTAGGATGAATACCTATTCCGATTAAAATACTGGCGGTATGAGTGCAAAATGAATATTTTCGACTCATTTTCTTGCCTTGAGTAACCTCGGATTCAATATTTCAGTGGTCATCTTAAGTGTAGGATAACCTAATTTTACTGATGTGCATACAACCTTCCCCTTTTGTATTTGCATCGATCAATATTAATCTTATTCAAATATACATGGTTTTCATACTTATTATCATCATTATTACTATCAATCTTACTTTTATTATTAATCTTTCAAACACGTGAATGATTTAATTAACATTCACCAAACCATTTTGCCCCCTTCTTACTGAGTTCATATGATTTTATATATTTAATAATCTTTCACAAAACATCTGACTTGATCTGTAACCACATTATTACTTTGTTCATCCTTACTGTCAATATTTGTATTCGATCACTGCTTTCACAGTTTCATTCAAACTGATATTGTACACTAGTCATTTCAACAATAAAAATTCTAAATATGGCGAGAAGAACAAAATCTGCAGAATAACCTGGATTCATTTTATTTCAAGGCTTTTTATCAGCTAAATGCGGCTGATATTTGCATTAATAGTATCAAAAAAAGTTTTACATATCATAGTCAAAGTTTAGTTTGAAACTGCATAATAAGAAGAGGAAACAAAATATTTAACATAATAGTTGAAATTGACTAGTATTTATGGGTTGAAGATGGAGTCATATGAAGAAGGGGTTGACGTTACAACTGATTATAAAAAGATAATGAATATTAGTTGAACACTTGTCCATCTTATTATGTCTTGATTTTGCCTTAAGATTTAAGAGTTTAAAACAATCCATTGATATCCACTCATGATATTAACTTTAATTTTATGTTAACTAGATGCCGTCTTTATCATCCATTTGTTAACAGATTTTTTTATTCATCGTCTCTTTATAATCTTTATAACCCCTTCTTCATATGACTCCATCTTCAACCCATAAATACTAGTCAATTTCAACTATTATGTTAAATATTTCGTTTCCTCTTCTTATTATGCAGTTTCAAACTAAACTTTGACTATGATATGTAAAACTTTTTTTGATACTATTAATGCAAATATCAGCCGCATTTAGCTGATAAAAAGCCTTGAAATAAAATGAATCCAGGTTATTCTGTGGATCTTGTTCTTCTCACCTTACTTAAATTTATCAAGGGTTCAGGATTTACGAAATGGCGATTTTATTTTATTTTACAAATTCACATGAGACAGTTTTAGACGGTGTATCTGTTTTAAACTTGGTTGTTCTTTCAGTATCTTAACTTGTATTTATAACTGTATGATTTGTTGATAATTTATTGTAAAGAATATTCCTCGTTCATATATCTGTTTTAATATAATGACTTCCAGTTTGTTCGATTTTCCAGTAGTCAGCTTTCTTCTCGATGATGTTTTATAACCGCTATTTGATTTAAAAATACTGATTAAGTGTCACAGACAAAGCTTAAACATTTATTCGTGTTTATATATTCACTACGAATTGTTTTAAATAATGTTCTTCTATAGTCTAAATCTCTAAACTGCTTGTGACGTCTTCCATCAAATCATATTTTACAATGTCTACTAACTCAAGTAATCTAATAATCAGTAGTTTAAAATAATTCATAATCTGTTTAAAAACCCATTATCAACAGTACGGGGAAGAAATACAGGAACAAAATCTCAACAAAATATATATTTTCATAGGCTGAATTAATAAAAAACAGTATGTCATTGATGGGATTCGAGTGTAAAGAGAGTTATTAGAAATATTTGTAATCTCAAATACAACTGTACATTCACTATTTATACTAATTCAACTTTTAGTCTTGAGAATTAACCTGAGCCATTATACCGGTGACTATCAATCAAAATAATATTTTGCTAGGAGTAATTAGTTAACGGTATTTATATCACATTCATAGTTACAATTAAAACACTTACTAAATAACGCTCTGATGAAACACTGACCAAGATAAGATCATCTCCTATCCGGACCTTTTCTCCAACGGAACGCTGTTTTGACGCTGGATGTATTGTCCACCAGCAAGCTTCAGCTTAAAAGTGGAAGTACAATGAATTTGAGTGTTTTATAGTTCAAAAAATGACAAGTTTGTAGTTTGAATGTGTACTAATAAACCATTCAGCTTCAAGAAGTCAGTCACCGTACGAAAAGCATACTATATTTTTTAAGGTCTTCAGTAAGAATACATAGATTTTATATCCGCGGTCGATACTTGTTAAGAGTTGACCCTGTTCCTAATCTTAGGATGGTTCAGTTTGCTCTCGAGATATAAACCTATCCGTCCTGGTTTAGCACCAGGAGATATCTATTAAATATCATCGTCGTAATATATCTTACGGAGAGATATACTATGTAACTGGATTGGCGTTGAAATGCTAATAAAAACGATAATTTTTATATTCACATTTTCTACATGGCACTAGTGATTGATTAAATTGAGTTTTAATCTTGATATACACAGTCTGTAACAGTCTACATAAAATTCTGGACGAAGTTCTAGTTTTTTTCATCTGTGAATCATCATGAATGTTGTGGATATTCTTTATTGACAATAAGTAAAAACATCAAACTAAGTTTCAGGGCCAATTGTTAAATTATCCCGGGTCATTCATTGTCGAATATGGTTTATAACATTACTTAATTCATTTGCCAGGCCTTATTTCCCGATCTGTGGAATCCAGTTAGTACTGTGCGCAAAAGTATCAATTTAGAGAGCTTCTAAAGACTAATTGATCGCGCTAAGTTTTGGTTCGTTTTTGCGGTAGTTAAATTTTAAATCGGGTTCGTTCAAATGTTTGCCATAACTGTTCGATATAAAGTTATGGTATTTTATCATCGTACGGATTTTTAATTCTGAATAGTTTTATCACTTGTTTAATCAGTTTTTTCATCCTTAAAAGTGTTCTGACTTGGATCTATAGACTATTATGTCAACGAGCAGAATGTTATAGTTAGGTGGATTCAGATGTTCCTGTTTACCTGTGAATAAACTATGAGTATGAATAAAATTACACAGTAAAAGAAGTTAAAATCTAAGCCTTATCACCCATAGTCTTCGAATAATAGTCATAATAATCTCTCTAACTTCAACTAGATAGTGTAGCTAATCATGTATATGGGCATAGATAGTCAGGGTTTTGAGATGCTGAAAAATACTTTTAAGTCGTGCAAATGGTTTTAGTGGTGTTGAGCTCACTGAATTAAATAATTCGTTTGGAGAGCCTTCATCTCTATTCTAAACAATATCTTTAGCTCTTGTCTTACGTAGAAGTGAACTTTTGGTTATTCTGTAAGTCGTATAAAGGCTAGTCATAGAGGTACTATTCATGATTGGTTTTCTTGGTAAGCTTCTCCTCCTTTGTTTGTCCTTTCGTACACATTTAGTGTCTTTGTCAATTGATCTTTAAACTGATGAGAGTGAGTTATCCCTTCCGTATGTATTCATAGATCAGGCGTATGTCAATGTGTTTATTGAATAGTGATTTATCTGAAGTCCATGTTTAGAAAGACTCTATGACATTCGTGAAATATCCCCCATCCAGTTTAAACAAAGTTTTTATCACAGACAAACATATTAAAACATTTTATGGAAACAACGAATCACTGGAGTAGGGTTTATTGTCAAAATCAAGGCGTCCCTATCTTCTAAGTTTTATTAACTTCACGACAGCATACCCCAAGATAAAAATGATCGTATGTTTGCCTGAGAAACAACAGCTCAGTTAAATAACTAAGAATATATTCTCCTTGTTGTGTGATTTCTTATAACAAACATGTTGGACTAATTTCTTAAAATATGAAAACATTCATATACTTAAATTAATGACTTACTCTCAGCATTCTGTTGAAGACCAACATCAAAAGCTAGTTTATCTTGTGATGTACTTGTCGAAAGACACGAGAGGTACTAGGAAAATTATTAGAATATGACCAAAATGATGTACTGTTTAAAGCAATATGAGGCTACAAAAATTTATTCTTAAAAAAATGAAGGTCATAGCATGATAAAATATTACTTCTCGAGTTTAAAACTAAGCTCTAATCGTGGTATGAGATACTAAATTTCAGTTTACGGAAACAGAGATAGTAAAAACTGCGATTTGTACCATAGTTTTAAGAAATACGATTGCAAACGTAATAAAATTCAGTAGCCTTCTATCCATAATATATAAAAAGCCTTGGAATTGCATTTTAACGTCAGAAACTGGCAACTATCAACGATATGGTTAGTTAAAGTAAGTGGATGTAATTGAGGTCGTTCGATGCTGATAAATTAGAGCACAATAGATATCCTGACAGTGATATGTCTGAAGACAAAATAATTTTTGACAACCCAATAAAATTAAGCAGATCTTTTGTGGGGTAGTTGTAGCCCATGTGTCTACAAAATAGCCAACAGATTATATGTACCTGAAGATATACTTTTAGTTTAATTTAAAACCATCTGTGGATATATTTGACATGCCAAACATTATAAATTTAACAGTCAAGTTAAGAAACGCAGGTAACATGGCTCAAAAGCCACAACTATTAATATCACGAAAACAATTATACACCTATACAGTTTAAAGTAAGAAATCTTAAAGTACGGTACCCTTAAGAAAAGGTAACTTTCAAAAACTCCAACTGTCATTTCTTAAAACCTGTATATTAGGAAGGATTAACCACATAACTAAGTAAATTAATCACATTTCTTGGTTTAATGTAATAACACTGGAAGTTGTGTTTTACAACTTGTCACTACTTAATTATTGCCTGGTAGTATTCAGCTCAACTTATTGAAATTTGACCAGTGATTGGTAAAATTTAAACAAACGTAACCCAGTGTACTTTTTCGTTTCTACCTTGAATCGAACCACATCACTCGTTCTGAGTTATGACACCATACTGAAAAAAGAATTGAACCCAGTTGGAAAATTATAGATACGTGCGAGGAAATACTACTGAGCTTACTGTAGCTTGGTGGATTGTTGATTTATACAATTAAACTTTACAGTTAAATTAAATTGTGAAAGGCGTTTCACTTCCAAAGTATATCATTTATTTTAGTATAAAAATTGACATAGATAATGAACAGTACTTACCATGTTACTTTCTCTATGTTTTAGCCGGATAGCATGTCCATAGAGCAAAGTTCTATGACCAGACTGACCGCTTCCCTATTCAAATTAAATAAACTATTATTTAATTGTTGTTTCTTTCATGTTAACAACATTTTCTTTGCAAAAAATATGTCAATAAAAATTTATTATTTATTTCATTTTGATTACGTTCTTGCTATCTCAGACTCAAAAAGTTGTTGAAATTGTTAGTCAAGTCTCTGCATGACAAACAGTGTATTTTACTTCAAAGATGAACTTTATCAAGACTCCCAAATTCCACGTATATTTCTAAACTCCGAATTTCAAAAATAACAACACGTTTATAGTTTGTTAGTTCATATATATTTTTGTAAACCTTTATTACTTAATAGATTTTAACAGACGTTCCCAAATTTTCTTAAAAATGTTTGACTAACGTTCCAAATGTAAAGTGGCTTAAACCATACAACATATTGCTCTCCGATAGTAAAATGATAGATGACCAAACGGGCTTGGCTCAAATAATTCTTGTGTAATATCTTATATCCACTAAAATAATCGTCATGTTAAACTCATCTTACCACATTGCTTGAACGTACCTATATTTTGGACACCCAATTACGATGTTAGTTATATTTAGTCATCTACTTGTAATTAACCCAGTACATTGAAAAAAAATAGAATAATGCTGCGTTTTCGCCCATGGTACGAAACAAGGTTTGTCCTTTTGTCACATAAGTGAAAAATGATCACAGCAAACATTTCAAGACCGAATTTAAAGTTATGCAAGTGGATTTTCAACAGTATTAAACTCTTTACATTGTGATAATAGCGTAACTTATCGCGTCATTTGGTAATTTTAAGAACATTTGCTTTGTTGGTAACTTACATCCGAGCTTTGATGTTGAATGGAAAGCATTTCTTGAAGGGCTCGTACAGAAAGAGCTTGGTCCAGAACAAAAACACACGGGGGCATATTTGGAGGAGGTGACTGTAACACAAAGGTCGACAGAAAAAAGAATAATCATGGGGTATTATTTTCGTAATGGAATCATGTTTAGCTATCTGATTTGTTATATACAACAGTATACAAACTACGTATCAATGGGGACTCAGCAAATAGTAATGAAGGTGAACGGTAGTTGGCATAAATCTTGCGAACTACAAGGTGAGGTACGAATCGCATACTTTATACACTTTTTTCGCTTTATAAACTTGAATGAAGTAAAGACGACAAAATCGGAAATAAAAATTAGATCCATTTTATAATGTGATGCAAATCTAACAATTTTTACATTATTCAGACTGTCTCATTTTTCGGAATGTTAAAAAATCAATATTATTAACTGCTATATATCTTATAAACGAAGGAACATTTGAATCTTTGTAACGAAATATTATATGGAATAAACTCCACAAACAATCCATTGTCTAATTTAAGCATCCCACTCCGCCCTACAATGATATTATATGTTGATAGTGTGAATAATTGACATCGCTGGCTTGATCTATGCTTCACTCTACAAACTTTTGAATAAAACTACTATTATCACCAGTGATAATCGCATTTACCACTGAAACGATGTTGTCTAGGAAACAGATAGAATGCGTTTGATATCAGCAGTCCATCGAAAACATTAAAAGGTCATAATATTGAAGTATAATTCAACAGATTCAGTGAGCATTCTACTACTCTTGTTTCGAATTTTCATCAAGTTATAATACTCATCCGTCAAAATTAATTTCGTGAACTACGTTGACATTGGATCATTTTTTAAGCTCAGATAGCGGAAATCTTTTTACCTTCTACAAAAATAAAGTTTAATTCTGCAAACTATCAAACAGGCATTTGGTGTAAGAAGCATTGTGAAATATTCTAGCTGAATACTAGAGATAGATGATAGTTTTTAAAGGTATTTGGTTAAAAAAAATTGGACTACTACACTGAACGGCTTGGCCGTTATTCCATTGCAACTGAAAAAAATATATGGATAAATCGAGTACAGTATAGAAATTCCTTTAGAATAGCACATCTTCAACCCTACAAAGGTGTTGTACTAAGTTGAAAGAGTGTTTGTAATCACATTTGTGAATATTTAAATTGCTTCTCCGTAAACAAATATAACCAGAGCTTAGCATACAATAACTTGAAGAATTTGTATAAAACTACTCAATCGCCGCTATAGAAACTCTTAAGAATGTCTTGGGGAGACAGCAAAAAATCTGCAAAATTTCCACAGGTTAGGGGAAAATCCCCAAAGTTTTGTGGAAATCCTCAAAATTCACGGATCTCCACAATATTTCCCCAGAATCTTACAACACTTTGTGGTTTTTCACCAAAATTTCCCAGAACTTTTGGTAACTTTATTGAAGACTACCAGACTTCCTACGACTTTAGGGAAAACTCCGAAATGTTACATTAAATATCGCATATACAAAACTCACCTCTCTTGAAATTATTTCTAAGGAACACATTCTGTTTCCAAATCCCTCTGCAGCCAAGCAAAGTCGCTCCGAGCTGCCATGGGAAAAGCAGCTGAGGCAAATGAAGTCTTCCTTAACAAAAAAATGAAATGAATAATATGAGGAACCATACAGTCCTGAGAAAAGAGGTCTCCTCCTCAACTGGTAATGAGGACATATTCGAAAGCAGTTTTTAAGTTTTGTAAATTTTTCACAATTTTTAGGGCCACTAATTCATTTTAAAGCCAAAGTGGCGTAAAGTTTTCGGTGTGAGCGATAACACCTAGGGAGCACTTCAGAATTCTTCAACGTAGTAGATATAACATTAGTGTATTTAAACAAGCATAAACTGTACCTTTTGACGTGTTTATAGATACATTATTTTGAAAAACAAACAGAATAAATGACAAACTTTCGATTAGCTGGTATATTGAGTAGTCATGTTCCATAAAACCAAATTAACTCCGTCTGTAGCACTTCTATGTTGATGTATTGTGCTTATTTTGATAGCTTACGGACGGAGTGCCCTGTTTTGTCGTTTTCGGGTTTTTAATAATAGCCCACTAGATTAAAAATATGGGTAAAGTTCTGTTGAATTAGATAAGGTTGTCGAATGATGTAGCTTTTCGACGACCTATAGACACTCATTTTTCCACACAGAAAATTCTTAGAACAAGTTCAATTATATTACATTTTATATTTAGGAGGAACAGCTCATAAAGATTCGCATTTCGTTTGTTTTACTACGGACGTTACTTTGCGTGGATATACGGGCTACTTTCTCCGGAACATAACCTGTCATCTCCGAGTCTTCAGGACTGATAATCCCGAATCATTTCGGTGATCATGGATCTATATTGTGTAATCAGGAAGTAGCCCGAGAGAAATATCATCAGGGCTTGTAAAACAGTATGCGCTCGAATAACTCCACCAAAATGTTTTGTCTTACAGTGGTTATTCTTCTAGCTTTTCTCTCTACTGTATTCTCGAACCTTTATCCAAGACCCACTTAACCACACTTTTTTGCTTCATAATCTTTGTCTAAACCTTCATTATTTGATTCGCTTCCATCGTTGTACTTTTGTGTTTCATAACCCTGGACCATTGACAGCACGGTCTTGTTTGACTAAACTCAAGGATAAGGTGTGGTATGATCAAGTTTTTTCTTCATACTCAAGTAAGGATAAGCGATCCTACGCTTGATGATTTACAGATGGCCTTCTTCGTGTACTAAACCGGAATACCATCAAAGATTAAGAGGAACTGAGCTCAATTTAGATAAAAACTGTTGGTGAATAATATGAAAGCAACAGCCACAACAAATGATGGACGCAAGTAAAGTCGTGTGGTTGCTTAACATGTATATACCTACTTGAAACTCTCGAGATCTACTGACTCCGTGTCTGGCTCATCTATGCTTAATGATCAATCTTGTGTGCCTCTATTCCTAAATTTACGAATGAGTACCAACTTATCGGCCACAGTTGCTAAACGAAGCTGAGAAAAAGAAATGTATTATTAATAGATTGGGACAAGCTACCAAACATACTGGTCCCTAAGTTTACTAGTAGGAAAATGATCCTATTACCTCTGAGAAACTGACATTTATCATCTCACGTTCGTTGATAACTGGTTAGCAGTACGTCCACGCTTAATAGAAGACAAAAGTTTGTCTATTTCATTTGTGCTACGACTTTTTCCAATCCATAGATCTGTCAAGGTTCCAACCCAGATATTTTGGATCACATATCAAGTAAAATAGTATTTTCAGTTGTATTTCACGCTCAACATGGTGCTAGTGCAACATTATGTTACCGGTGATTGAGTATTTGATACACCATATGCCTGAAATCTAGAAGTCACAACGCTGATCTAAAACTGGGAGAACCCACCAGAAAGTCAGCATCTGATATGCACTCAAGCATTGTCAGAGACGTAACGTAAAGAAAAATCTGAAAACCTTTGCACAAAATTTCATTAGACAGTATTGTGATTTGTTTGTTTCGTCTCCCTCTCTTGTATTTTAACGTTTATTCAGGCCTTTTTTAACCACACTTTATGTTCTTCAGTCTCCTTTGTTGGGGCTTTTGCTATTTTATCGTGGTTAAAATTTTTACCTCTTATTACTTAATTTACTGGTGTATGTTGCCAGATCACGGACAACAAGATCGTGTTTGACCAAACCCTCGGTCAAGGTGTCGTCCAGTGCTGATTGTTAACCTTAGACTGTCTGCCTCGAAAGGTTGCTGGAACCCTTGTAGATAGATATCTGGTCTCATCTTGTTGAGGATATTTTTACTGATTCTCAGGTATCAGATTCTTGTTTGTTAACTGGTCGTCTTGTTGTTTATAACATTGATTTGTGTTTGAGAGACCCTTGATTACATAGCTTAGGCTGTACTGTTTGAGTGAGTGATTTAATCTCATGAGTTTGTGATATTTCTTCAAGGAGAATATTAACTGGGTATCTAATTATGTCTTGTACCTCCAGGACAACAACCAACGTCCAAGCGTGTAGCTGTTCCTATCTGTTGTATTGTTTTTGTGTGACTGGAAAGTAGATTGAAGCTTTGCCTGAATAAGTGACGTGTGATTATAATTCGGCATTCAACCTACATTAAGGCTAGTGATTACACAAATGTAAACACTGTGCCAAAGAAACTAGATTCTGACATTAGTTGTTAGCGTATTCTGAATATGTTAAGAAAAACTGATAAACATTTCACGTCAAAAAGTCAAACATCATTTTCACAAACATACTAAGTAATGAAGATTGTGAAATTACTGAGTTTTCTGAGAAAGATGTGTCAGTGGAACAAGCTACTGTTAAAATCCAGCTGATATACGCAGTTTTATGGGGGTTTCTGTATGGAACTATTCAATTCAGTTAACATTTCATGACACAATTTCGTCATGCAAACAAAGTAACTGACATCAATTCATACGTTTACATAAAAATTTAAGTAAAAACATTTCCAATGGCAAATAAAACTGCGGAATTTGGCAGTTGGGTAGCCACAACCCGAAGCTATGCCCCAGTTTCTGTCAACAGTAAGAAGCAGTGTGTGGGTGTTAGGAAGGGAAATTGTAGTAGCGCGATCCTCATAGCGCTAAACATTGAGGATGAAGACGCTATCCAAAATCAACCGATTGTATATGAAATCCCAGTGCCGAAGCGTAGCTCACCTGATTGTAGAACAGCTTTGATAAAGAACAATGGGAGAAACGCAGCACATTGTTTAGAATGGGTACTACTCCAGCAAAACTGTTCTGCCTGTATAATGGTGAAAACGTAGCGGAAGGTAACCCGGCTCGTTAAAAGTAGTTTTGTAAATTTCATAAACATGCAGGAGATCATAGGTTAGGAGACCTCAGATCCCACTCAGACGCGACAAACCGTGAAGCATAGGAGATGCTACTCGATCACAAATAAACATCCAATAGCCAGCCAGTATGGTCGTTCACAGTGCGCCCTAGCTGGTAAGTGGTAGCTCGGAAGAATCTCACGAAAATGATGTGCGATAGAGGCGCCATCTCTCTAACGGCTTAGGCTTTCACACTACCATGGCAGTTGTAGGTTTCTGGTTTCCCGGTTCGTTGCCTAACGACCATTGAGTCTCTCTTCTGATGGTTGTGAACTTTCTAGATCAAGACGACCTAACCGAGGCTCATCAGGTCCGATACAACATAACATATCCAGCAACATCAGATGTTGTAGAAACTGTCCCAGATCGGCAAGACAATGGTAGAAAAGCCAAATTAAATACCCTCAGGGTCAAGCGATCTTGACCAACAACCCGCAACACAGGATACTGAGGCCACTGTCTTGTTGACAGAACACGTTATGCAGGCCAAACACTACGTAGGCCAGTTCCCACAACCTAGTCAACCCACTTTAAATAACGATTTGTGTGGAATCCTGGAGTTAATTTTCGCTACAGAAGAGCATCAAATGATGTGATGATTGTAGTATTTTTACTAATTGATATTTTAACTTTGTTGTGCGCTGATTAAGAATTCCAGATACGATACGTTCTTTCGTTCTCATTTAGCTTTACCTGTCATAAATTTCACCACTTCGAAAATTCTTTGTCAGTACAAATATTAAAATACTTCCAAGTACCACACTGACGTCTCCATGGAGTCAAATCTTTGACACTTTGACACCAATTCAAGTGTGGAACTCTTTGAAAACACCATGAAGTAGTTTAAAATCTGATGTATGACCAGAAAAGATGAATCTCTCAAGGAATTACTACTTTGTCATGTGTAGTGTGCTAACTTTAGATACAAAGAGAAAGTGAAGTTGTATAAAATAAGAAAGTTGAAGAATTTGTAGATGAAATACAGAGACAGGTCATCAAGTAAAGTTTCAGAGAACGGTTGGAAATTCAACTTCATGACCAGATAAATATTACGAATTTATAAAAAGAATTAACTCAGAAACCTAAAAGTTCATTCCAATAAATTAAAATATTACATAATAACTATTAGGCAGTGAATGAACTTCATTTCCATTCAGTGAAAATCTGTCTTCTTGATAAACTACATTCTCAATGTCTCTCTAGCTCGTGTTTGTCTAATAATGGTCCACATTCCTGTAGAAGTATGAAAAGTGATTCAACAAAGAATAGATAAGCAGGTACGGAGGTGAGCACAGGTTTGTTAAATGTCTATCCTGTGATAAATTTCACTTAATCCGTATTTCTTTCTTCATACTAAATGCCTTAAGTGTGGCAAGATTGGACACATCAAATCGGTCTGCAAAACTACTGTTCATTTTGACAACAGTAACGATAAACCCTGTAGTGTGGATTTTATCAACATGGGTATTTCTAATGATCATCTTTCTTTATCTGCGATTTCAAAAGGTCATTTTCATATTCACATACGATTATGTACCTCCTTTGGTTCATTCCATCACTTTAGTGTTGACACAGGAAGTATAGAGTCCATTATTTCATTCAAGAACTGAAAATCTCTAGTTTCTGACGTTGAAGTATTGTAGAATTATGAACTAATCCTGTATTAATTCATTTATATCTGCTGCTGTAATAATAGACCCAATCCAAAGATTGTAGATTTATCATAATGTGACCACGTAATCTATAATGTCTTACGTGGAAGTTACATCACCGTTTATACTGACGAGTCCTACCACAATAATGAGCTATATAATGTCCAGTACTTCTGAATGATATATTTCAGCTGAAGATAAAATAATGTATTTCATGTGAAAAGGTATGAGTTACATAGAATGACCATGTCTGTAGCGCTGAGTCATGCTATAGCAATCAATTGTTCCCGCACTCACCATTCTTTGACCTTCAAGTGTCACATATGGGATGTAATTCTTCTCATTACTCGTATGCTCGGCTACAGAGATCGTGTGATTGGGAACCAATGAACCTACAGTATGACCCACTGAATTCCCTGTATTATGGATTACCGGACACAGGGTGCCCATAAAAGAACGCTGTGAATTGTTAATGACAGAATAGAATTCTCCACATATACCTGGTGAGTTTTTAGTTAGTGATGTTGGACCGTCAATACTGAGTTTGAAAAGTTCGTCAAGGTTTAAGGTGGGGTCGCCTTTATTAGCTTCCAAAAGGATTTACTTAAATATTTGGTGGCTGTATGTGCCACGTGCAGTGGAAAGATTAGAATGATTTGTGTATGGGGTGTTTAATTGAACCGCTCCAATCTTTGGCATGGGGCACTCGTACTGTTACTCCCTTGATATCTGGTGGCAAGACGCTTAGAACATGTGATGATCATAGATTGGCAATGAACTCTCGTTTGTCAAATCAAGAGTACACGGCGGTGGAGGCTGAAGATATTCTAAATCGACTTCATAGATTTAGAGTGTTCTCGAAAGTTGACCTAAAAGATGTTTATCTTCAAATCCGTTCAGATCAATCTTCATCTATTTTGACGACAATTAACACTGCTTTTGGTCTGTTCAAATAGATATTGCATTTGGTCTAAAATATTCTGCAGCCATATTTTAAGGAGTGATGAATAAGATAACCAGTGACCTTAAAGGTGTTAACATTTATCAAGATGATCTCGTTTTTCATACTTCTGATAAGATAGTTCGTGACCAGAGACTTATTGCTTTATTGTGTCGTCTGATTGAGAAGAATGTTACGGTGAATCCAACTAAATGATTATTTTGTGCATCCAGATTTAAATGGCCTGGATACCTAGTTGATGGTAGATATTGTTTCGGACCAGTTCAGAGGTGAGGAACAAGAGTCATGCTTGCGAAATCTACTAAACTTTCTTCAAAGTGATGTTGTTCTTCGAACTTACCGTGTGTACATCCCTTACCTATCGCCTACGCATCACCTCTGGGTTTTGGTGCAGGTTTGAAGCAGGAAGGTAGACCAGTTATCTGTTTTTCAAGCAACCTTACTGTTGCTGAAAAAGGTTAATCACAAAATCAACCGTGTTTCGGACTGTTAAAAGACCTCATAAATATTTATTCGGAAAGAAAATCACTATGGTTATTGATTATAAAGCTCTAAAGTTCATCGATCATCCTGAAAAATCCTTAGCATGTGCCTCAGCCGCTAAGGTTTAACAATGGAGTATTGATTTGAGTGTCTATTACCATGTTGACTACATGTCTCGACAATCATTACAAGATAAACTTTTTAATACTGCAAACTGATTGTTAGTGTGAAAATTACCGGTAAGACGTTCAGATCTCATAAGAGAAACTAGTCAAGACTTTGGATGTGTGCTCAGTGATTTAAGAAAAGGTTGAAATGCTAATTTGAAACGTAGATTTCCTGTCTATTTTTCAAAGCGATATGCGTTGTTCAATATTCCTGATGGTAATTTATGCTGAAGTGATCGTGTTTTTATTTCTCCTCCATTGCATAAATCTGTCATTGAAGATTTTCAAAGTGGATATTTGGGTGTTGAGAAAATGAAATCCTCGGCGAGGCCCACATGTCGGTGGCTGGAGGTAAACGCACATATGTGTCGTACAGCAAACAATCATGGAAGTTGCTACAGGTCGAAAAAACAGCCTTCGAGGTGGACTTCATGGCCAGTATTGTTTGAGGCTTGGCGGAGAATTTATGCAGACTATTGTGGTCCTTAACTCCGCCCGTAGCTCTTCTAGAGTTACTGCCGGTCCCAAGCCCGGGTTGAGGAGGGTTGGGTATGGGGTTAGCGACCCCAACCCGTAGAAAACTAACTCGCTTAAAAACGCTAACCATAAAAACTAACTCAGACCATTTAAACTCTGCCCTGGGGGTTGGAAGGTCTTCATTTAGAAGAACTATGAAGCTTCATGGTGAAAGCCAAGTTCCTTCGGAAGCCACGGGGCCGATGCCCCTTCTAACAACCAGAGCAACCATTTTTATAGGTACATGAGACGTCTGGACAATGTGGGAGCTTCTCTAATTCTGCCCAAGGAAGCGAGAAATGCACTTGCAGGATGAGAATCTCACGGATCCAGAATCATCAAAGCATCATTCAAAACAAAGAAGAAGGGGTTCACAATGAATATTATCCAATGTTATGCACCCACCAATGATAGCAACAACGACATTAAAAACTAATTCTATGAGAGGCTGCGATCAATCATGGAGAACTGCCCAAGAAGAGACCTCACCATTCTGACGGGAGATCTAAACGTCAAAGTCAGAATAGACTACACCAAATATGAAGATATCGTGGGGAGACGTGGGCTAACTCGAAGAGAGAAACGAAAATGGGGAGAGATTTGCAAATCTGTGTGCATTCAACGAATTGGTCATAGGCGACACAATATTTCCACACAAACGTATACACAAGGCTACATGGATCTCACCGGACCACACTACAGAGAACCAGATAGACCATATTTGCATCAATAAAAAATTCCGAAGGACAATGGAAGATGTGAGAACCAGGAGATGACGTAGCTTCAGATCACCACCTAGTTGTAGCCAATTTAAAACTGAAGCTAAAAAGAACTGGACAAGTGGACAAACAGCACTACAAAGGTTCAATACAGCCTTCCTTCGAGATACTGACAAACTCAATGAATTCAAGATAGCTCTCAACAACAGGTTCCAAGCCTTACAAGATCTACTGAAGGAAGAAGAAACTACTATGGAGGACAACTGGAAAGGCATCAAAGAAGCATTAACTTCAACGTGTCAAGAGGTTCTGGGCCTAAAGAAACACCATCATAAGGAATGGATCTCTATAGAAACACTGGACAAGATCAAAGAAAGGAAGAACAAGAAGGCAGCAATTAACAACAGCCGAACACGAGCAGAGAAAGTCCAAGCACAAGCTGAATACATAGAAGCAAACAAACAAGTGAAGAGGAGCATTAGAGCCGACAAGAAGAAATACGTGGAAGAACTAGCAACGACGGCAGAAAAAGCTGCTAGAGAAGGAAATATGAAACAGCTTTACGATACAACGAAGAAACTAGCAGGGAAATACAGTAAACCAGAGAGGCCGGTCAAAGACAAAGAAGGCAAGCCAATCACCGAAATTCAACAACAGCGGAACAGATGGGTAGAATACTTCGAGGAACTCCTGAATAGGCCGGCTCCAATGAATCCGCCGGACATCGAAGCAGCACACACAGATCTTCCTATAGATGTCAACCCACCAACGACGGAAGAAATTAGAATGGCCGTCAGACAAATCAAGAACGGGAAAGCAGCAGGACCCGACAACATACCAGCTGAAGCACTGAAATCAGACATCGAAGTAACCACAAACATGCTTCACCTTCTATTCAAAAAGATTTGGGAGGAGGAACAAGTGCCGGTGGACTGGAAAGAAGGACACCTCGTCAAGATTCCAAAGAAAGGAGATCTGAGCAAATGTGAAAACTACAGAGGCATTACACTACTGTCAATACCAGGGAAAGTCTTCAACAGAGTGTTGCTGAACCGGATGAAGGATGCAGTAGACGCCCAACTTCGAGATCAACAAGCTGGATTCCGTAAGGATCGGTCGTGCACAGACCAAATTGCAACACTACGGATCATCGTCGAACAATCAGTTGAGTGGAACTCATCACTATACATCAACTTCATTGATTATGAAAAGGCATTCGACAGTGTAGATAGGAGGACATTATGGAAACTTCTTCGACACTACGGAGTTCCTGAGAAGATTGTCAATATTATCCGGAACTCATACGACGGACTACAGTGCAAAGTAGTGCATGGAGGACAGCTGACAGATGCATTCCAAGTAAGGACCGGAGTCAGACAAGGCTGTTTACTCTCTCCCTTCCTCTTTCTTCTGGTGGTCGACTGGATTATGAAGACCTCGACATCTGAAGGAAAACACGGAATACAATGGACAGCTCAGAATCAATTAGACGATTTGGACTTCGCACATGACCTAGACATTCTACCGCATACACACGAACAAATGCAGATAAAAACAGCCAGTGTAGCAGCAGTCTCTGCATCAGTAGGCCTCAGCATACACAAAGGGAAAACCAAGGTCCTCAAATTCAAGGTGGAGAACAGCAATCCAATCACTCTTGATTGCGAAACTCTGGAAGATGTAGAATCCTTCACATACCTGAGAAGCATCATCGATGAACAAGGAGGTTCAGATGCAGACGTAAAGGCGAGGATCGGCAAGGCAAGGGTCGCATTCCTACAATTGAAGAACATATGGAACTCAAAACAACTTTCAACCAACATCAAAGTGAGAATCTTCAATACCAACGTCAAGGAAGTTCTACCGTACGGAGCTGAAACTTGGAGAACTACTACAACCATCATCAAACATGTACAAGTATTTACAAGTAGTTGTCTACGCGAGATACTCAACATCCACTGGCCGGATACCATCAGCAACAGCCTTCTGTGGTAGAGAACAAACCAGCTTCCAGCTGAAGAGGAAATTCGGAAAAGACAATGGAAATGGATAGGACATATATTACGCAAATCATCAAACCGCATCACGAGGCAAGCCCTAACTTGGAATCCTGAAGGGAAGCGGAAAAGAGGAAGGCCAAAGAACCCATTACGTCGGAAAATATAAGCAGATATGAAAACGATGAATAGGAACAGGAAGGAGCTGGAAAAGATTGCCCAGGACAGGGTTGGGTGGAGAATGTTGGTGAGTGGCCTATGCTCCTTCACGAGTAGTGACAGGCGTAAGAAAGTAAGTAAGTAGTTGTGGTCCTTCTCTCGACAGATCCTATGCACTCTGTGTCATCGATAATTCTTCTGAGTGGCCTGATCTATTTCTCATAACTTACTCAAATTCACACTTCACACTACAAGCACTGAGAAGGAGTTCATATGGTATTAGTGACTGATGGTGACTTATTTTACTGTGGAGAGTGGAAATATCTGTTAACTGCTCTCAGACAACCCTGTAATGATGTTTAGGCAGAAAAGTTTTTCAGGACGTTGAAAGGTGATATTAATTCCACGAATGCTATAAAACTTGGTAGACTGAGGAGGAGAGTATACACATTCCTATTGCAATATAGAAATGCCAAACACTTTTCAACGAAAGACATTCCAGCAAAGTTATCAAAAATATGTATTTTCCGTTTGAATATGATGTGTTTGAAGTCTGTAGAAGTTTTATATTGTCATGGAAATGATCTTCGATCAGCCATGGGAAGTGTGGTGAAGAATGTTGGAAAATATATGCATGGAATTCTAGATATCAATGATTTAAGTACACAGCCGATATGTTGATCAGGTACAATTACAGGGATCAAGCGAATCTGTTCCATTTTTATTTTCCTAATTCTAATAACAATAAGTACATTCTAAGTCATACAGAGTGTACATCCGATACACAGACAGACATATGATGGATCTCAGGAGGAGAAGAACAATTGATTGCAGAAATTCGGATTACCATTTAAGCTGTGGTATTTTAGATGCCTTTACCAAATGATAATTTTTTAAACTTTATTGCGCACTGATTAGGAATTCCAAATACGATAAGTACCTTCGTTCTCATTTAGTTCTATCTAACTTAAATATCTCTATTTCGAGAATTCTTCGTTAGCACATTAGCTCAAATACTTCTAATCATCATCATAAACCATCAAGTAAATCCATAGCAACGCAATGAAACTTTTTAACAACTGAGGAGAGATAAAAAAATAGATGCTTTCAGCTTAATTTAAGGACTTTCGTTCTTACTGAACTATTGCTTACATGCGAAGATGATATGAGAATACATGACATTACCACATAATTCGGCTGCTTTTAATTATTATACTTACGTACTTATATCCCAATCAAATATGGTGAACTACTATCTATGATGATCTTTTTTTCTTCTTTTCCTTACATTTTGATATCACGATGTCTTGATTACTAATAAATAACTTATTTATTTAATCACATCTTGAGATAATTCTCTGCTTCTGTCATCCAAATTCTTCACCACTACTTTCGACATTGCAACCAAACAACCTTCTGTTTGGTAATTTGACAGCTTCTGGTATCCAAAAACCCCTATTACTCAGAGATAAACACACTCAGATTACGAGATATGCAAACCAGCAAGCAACTACCGAACTGACAAGCATTAGTGCTATCGAGTGACTAGTATACCGCCCATTACGCGTTGTCAAACACACGAATCAGCACTAGAGTAATGAATAGCAAATTCGAAGAAATAACTCAATTTATGAAGGCATGTGACATAGATACTAAATGCTGAACTTTGAACGACCTTGAACCGGACTATCCAAATATTCACAACTACCCTCTGGCTTCAATTTTCAGACTATCATAGCCTTACGTTTTTTCATTTCTGAATGTTGTCTACCACTTTCATCAATTAACTTAAGTGCGTCTAATGTGATTTTTGAGTCCTTGACTCACTTCTTTTCTCTTCCAGATAATCACGCTCCTTCAACACTCAAGGTACCTTGAGGTTAGAATCCAACCCACCGAAGAAGGAACGTTACTGCTTGTGTAGACCCATCTAGTTAAAAATGGATTTCCAACACCGTGTAGGAGGGAAGACCGGTTCTGGTGGAGTAGCATCAGAAGCTGAGGCTAATCGCGACCGTAGGGAACGTTTGCGACAACTGGCACTTGACACGATTGATCTGAACAAAGACCCGTATTTTATGAAAATCACTTGGGGACATACGAATGTAAATTGTGCCTTACTTTGCACAATAATGAAGGGAGCTACCTTGCACACACTCAAGGTATTTTTATTCTCTACTTTATCCCATCCTGATTTTATATCAGGTTCATATGAGTTTTGTTGTTCACGTACTACATGGAATATCGTTTTTTTTATTGACCTTACTCTATATGTGTGATCGTATGTTCTCCGTGTTGTGCTTCCAAATCTCGTTCTCGTGAGTGGTTTAAATTGGCTTGTTGCAAGACGCCGAACGAAACTTGCGATTACTGAATCCTCGGTTTACTTCACGAAACTTGCGATTACTGAATCCTCGGTTTACTTCACGAAACTCAATAAAATTTCTAGGTAGGATGCTCTAGTCCTGGCTTGTGTACGATTAACAACAAGGTTGTGTAAATTTTGTCGATTGCGAACTTAGTACACAGATCTGTAGACGGTATTTCGCTAACATTGAGACTATATCTAAGATGTTCTGACAAACGGCTAGGTTAACTGCACGTATTTGAGTTAAATGGCATGTTTTGTGTGAAAATCATATATCACAGACTAGTCACAGTTCATGCTTTCTCACTTCCTCAGTATAGAGAACATACCTAGTGATTGATATTTCGCTGTTCTCTAGATGTATACATTTTCCGAAGTACTGTAAAAATATTTAATACCACTGACGAGTTTGTTTACTTAACCACCGTTTTTACCCACTTTTTATCGGTAATACATCTAGGTATCTAACGATTGGTTATGTGTAAAATTTACTAATTCTATGTAGGGAATATTCGTCGTATCATAGTTACCACGTTCTTTAGATCGGTATAGAGCAGCTTACTGTTTTTACAACGTAATTCACAGTCGAATATTTTTGTATATATTGCTGAAACTGCTTCATTATCGCCCTCTAACTACAAGTGTAAGATCAAACCTACCTTGATCTAACAGTCTTGTACTCTGTGTAGTCCAACCAGTTTCTGAGTGCTTATATTACTTCTAATTTAATTCCCGAATCCTGCTTTGCCTTCGCATTAAATTGAAATTTGCTGCTATCTCCATCAGCCGTCGTTGGTGATGCTCAATAAGAGATTGTTGCTCATTCGGAAGCACATATTTAAACTCGGGTCATGCCCTAGTTCGAGCACTCGTTTGTTTACGTCTTACTGGAAAAATACCCATTAGAGCTCAACTTAGTGATGAGAACAATTAGGAATATATTTCAGGAACTACTAGATAAGCAGCTAGTCAACCATGAAAGTAATACACAACCCGAGTTTGCTTGGGGTGGGATCCAAAAAGCTGTGGAAACAGCAGCGATATCTTCTAGTAACAAACCAAAAAATTAGGAAAAACCAGTGAATTTTAGTGGTGTCTACATAGCTAATATATGCTCGGAAACTCATCCCGTCTGGCTCTTAACATGAAGAGGAGCGAAGACAGCTCAAAAGTAGCTGAATAAAGGCCTATATAGTGATTGTGATCAGTGCTAGGTATCTAAAGCAGGAGAGACGGAAAGTGCAGTAGTGATAGGTAACAGTAGACAACCGTTCAGACTTATCAGGGAAACGGGTATCTAAAACATGGCCGTTAGTGAAACTATCACAGAAAAAGACGACCATTATTCACTCTCAATCCAGGAAATTGGACCTATAGGCAGAAAACTATAGGGAACCTTTAGCCACTTTAGTTACCCACTATCTCCATGCAACCTAAGTAGCAAATTTATGTAAGTCTTTCAACTTTTAGTAAGGTTGAAAAGTCTATAGGTAATCTAATGGTCTGAGCCATGTTAGTAGATGCAAACTACTCGGTTGGGGTCCGTGTGACGATCGTAACCAATGATTAGAGACTCTGGATGACATGGCCCAGAATCGATCACTATGGCGTAGGTGTATACACTTTCTGTCTTCCCTTAAATTATGGCATTAAAATCGCTTCATATCTTTCTTTCTTCCTGTACTATGTCCTTATATTCAATCTTTCTCTTATATATTGCCGCCACTGAATTAACTACTATGAATCCGGTGTTCATCTTGTTGTGCTAATGAGGTATGGCAACTTGTACCGATGCATATATGTGCCTAGTCCTACGTTGTATTTGACTGACTGACAAATAATCTAAAACAAGGGACAAAAGCAGGGCTGATTGGCTAACCCTTGAAATGTTTGAGGGTGATGGTTCAGTTTTAGCAGTTAGATTAACTGAAATATTAGCTAAAGTCTAGAAACTGGGCGTAACTCATCAGACTATTCTCGATTACTGATCGTCTGAGTTCACATGAAAGGACTAAAATCCTTTTGTGACAGTCACAGAGGGATCAGCTTAACTAATACAGGGACTAAAATATTAGCCTCATTAATAATTCGATGTCTAACTAGGGCTTTTGAAGAGCAAACCTGAAAAATCCAGGCTGGTTTCAGACCTGGATGTAAATGTATAGACCAAAATTTCACCCTTCGGTCGATCCTGGCACATAAAAATCCTACTATAATTGTGTTCCTTGGCCTTGAGGCAGCGTTCGTGAGGTTCTGTGTCGATTTCTATCGCTAAAAGGCGTCCCAAAGAAGTACATCAACCTTGTACAGGCTTTCTACCCAAACACTTTTGGCGAACTGTCATCGGAATTGGTTACTTCAGATAGTGTTCGTCAAGGTTGTCTACTTTCTCCATTTCCTTTTAACCTTGTCATTGACATACTTTTAGAGATAACACTTTCACCATCTAACTTCTCGGGGGATGATCTACCAGGAGATTCACTTGTTGAATTAGAATACGTAGATGATATAGTTCTGTTTAGTGAAGACTCTGATAAAATGCAGAGCTTTCTGACCATCTTAAGCAACAATGCAGGCATGTTTGGAGTCAGGTTCTATCCCTCTGAATGTAAAATTTTACTTCAGGATTGACTGGCGTCAGTGCCTAAATCAAGGGTAGGGAATGGAGTAGTTAAAAGATCGATCACTTCACTTATCTTAAGAGTCTCATCAGGCGGCTCGACTAGTTTTTGCTAACTTGCGTCACTTGTGGTGTAGGTGAGATCTCATTCTTCCAACCAGTGGACAAGTTTACTGGGCAGCAGTTCTCTCTGTTCAACTTTATGGGTGCGAAACATGACCATTAAGAATAGAAAATATTCTTAGGTTACTGGCATTCGATCGTAGGTGTCTACGAAACATTGCTCATGTATTTTAGGACCGCGCAATAAGCAATACCTGGGTTAGGAGTAGAATGCTAGGTAACGATGGTAAATCAACTAATGAGGTAGTAAATATTCATCAGATGAGGTGGTCGAAACATGTGTTATGTATGCCCAACCACTGCCTACCTCGACGGGTACTGTTTTCTGATACGGAGTGAGTAGGATGAAAGAAAGCTGGGGGCGGCCAACCTAAAACATAGCATCAGTTCATGAAGTCATTAAGAATTGATCTTAGCTATGTTAATAGTTACAGACTACCTGGTTCGGGTCCGCGTGATCATCATAATCAATGGTTAGAGACTGAATAACATGGCTCAAAATCGTTGGCAATAGTGCAGTTTTATCTATTCTTTATATTCCCTCAAATCATGAGGTTCTAAATTTCCCATAACTTTTTTAGTTTTTATTTCACTAATTTATATTTTCTTGAATCGTATCTTTGATGCGTAGTCTTTCCTATCACCACTGAAACTTACTACCTCTACTCTTCTGGGGCTTGGCTTGACAATTTCATTTCTCTGTGCGAATGGAGTATGACAGCTTGGACTTGGTGTACATACGTACAAAGTTCTACGTTGTTGCTATCTAACTTGTTTATTTAATTATATGATGTTTTCTTTAGGGAAAAAGCATCAGTATAATTTGCAAAGACGAGCTGTTGAGCAGGCCCGTGAGGCTCCATCTACAATGCAACCAGAGCGCGTTAAAGTAGAGCCGAAGAAATTCATTAAAATTGGTCGTCCTGGATATAAAGTAAGTTTCTGTGTATATAAAAACGTGATATATATATATATATATATAACTTGACGGAAATATATGGTATCATAGGTTCTAAATTGTGCTGTTTGTAGTTGAATAAATAGTGGTTGAAAACTTAAAGGATCTTCGTAGTAGTTGTTGTTTCTCCTAACCGATTAGCATCCCAGTTAACCGAAATATGCTCCAGTCATTCTTACTTTAGAATTCGAAATATGTTTTGTTTTAAAATAATCTTATTTAAACTCGTGGTTAGTTATGTTTGGATTAAAACTTACAATTTCCAACTACGTTACCTTGCTTTTTCTACTCAGGTAACCAAACAAAAGGATCCAGATGCTAATCAACAGTCTATGCTTTTCCAAATTGATTATCCAGAAATAGCTGATGCTTCTGGTGTAATACCTCGACATCGGTTTATGTCTGCTTATGAACAACATGTTGAACCACCAGATAAACGATGGCAATACTTATTGTTCGCTGCTGAACCATATGAAACAATTGCTTTTAAAATTCCTAGTCGTGAAGTAGATAAAGACCCCAAGAAGCTGTGGACTTATTGGAATTCCAGCTCTAAACAATTCTTCCTACAGGTTAGTTTGAAGTTGTTAAACAAAGTGGGTAGCGTAATAAAAGTTTCGTTGGCTGTTGGTATTCACTCCCAAAATACTTTGTTTTAATCTTGTATGAGTAGTTACAACGATGAGCAAGACCATTTTACGGCAATGTTAACTTTCTAAAGAGGAGATTTATGATACAATTCTGATGTTTAAACCTTGATAATTAGTTAAAAGGAGGTTCAGACCAATAGCTCATTGACTGAAAATTGATTGCCTCGAATACTAAAAAGCCACTTTAGATTATACTTCTCATAAAGTTAATCAAGAATCAGGTCATTTTATTAGTTTCCATAATAGATTGTTATATAATGATGGGTGTAGGGCCCAAATCAATCCTCATCATAAAATTACGGTTCATGTGATGCACGATACTCTCAACTTAACCATATTCTTATAAGCATCGTACAGATTATTTTACCTCTATCAACAATTTTGTTTCATGTTAATTATGTTTTGGGTAATGACTGGCAGTGGAATCCAGAACACACGTCTCGTCTTTATATTCATTGGATGGATGTACCTAAATTCCAACGGATTCGACTAATTTCGAGTCGTCTGCTTAAGGTATGCGTATTACAACAGATGCTGAATAATTTCAGTCCCGAATTTCAACAACGATGTAAATAATAATGACCTGAATTCATGTTAATATCTCCAAGATCTTATGGGAATGCATAGTTTTGATGTCAGAAAGTTAAAAATGAATATGTAGGGGGAAATCTTTACTATTAAAATACTGATTTGTTTTTAGCTCGCCTGATATAGAATTAAAAATGATTGATTTCATAGTCGCACTACAGTAAAAGATTATATCTATTTTTAACTACGGACTCACTTTTCGAGATTGATTCGCAAGTGATATCAGCGTATTAAATAAAAATCACGTAAATAATCCGTTAGACCACGTTTGTGAGCTGGTCTTAATTTTCTTAATAGAATAAAACGTTAAAATAGATGGGTTTTTCGAATTTTCCTAACATTTTATCACTGAAATGTATATACTTGGTTGATACCTACATTCGCCTTATTCATCATCCGAAATCTTGCGGCACATCTTCATGTAAATGTTTTTCTAAACCACGCTATACCTTATATTTTTACGTTTGTGGCAATTATTCGTTCACAAAATACCGTGCTCTAATAGTTCTCAGCGAACTGAACTGTAGGGTTCAAAACTAATTCCAAATATTGAGATGTTTTGCCACGATTTTGAACAGCTAAATTATTGTTAGATTCTGTGGTATTTTGCATTCAACATGACCAGCTGCTAATTTTGATGTGTTACCAATTTTCAACGGTAGTCTTCACTGTTATAATCGGTAAAAGGTAGGTTTTTTTTACTACATACGCAATGCTGAACGTCTTCGCATAAATAAATAAACTCATCCAACAAACACCCAAACTGCATTGTGATTTATCACAGATATTTATTTCTAGTGTGATTTTCAATATTGTTAGTGTTTTCACCTTTCCAAACACATCTCACTTATTGTGCAACTTTATTTTCCTAATGTAGTTCGCTTTCAAACTAGAAAGTCAATCATCTTCTACCGCTATGCTTCGTGATTTAGAAATGCAAAAAGCTAAAGCTCAACATGCCCAACTTCAGCTTCAATTACCTCCACCGCCACCGCCACCACCTCCGCCTCCACCACATGCTATTGGTCTTCCTATTCCAAGTTTCCTTCTTAATATGCCTTTAAATACCAGCATGACTAACATGCCGCCGCCCCGCCTCCGCCACCAATTATGGTTGGAGCAAAAGATACAAAGCCCTTACTACCTCCTCCTCCACCACCACCACCTTCATTCTCACTAGGTGCTCCGCCGCCCCCTCCACCACCGCCCGCTTTTGGAGTAAATTCTAGTGGTGTAGGGACAAATGCTTCTTCAGCACCAATCCCACCACCGCCGCCGCCAACACCCCCAGCTTCCCTTCAACTGAATGGGAACTAAGCAGTTAATTGTTGTACTCTGTTAATATTTATATACACGCATGAGTTATTCACCTATTTGTTCTAATTTGCTTATACTCGTCAGTTTCCGTTGATGGGTGTTGTGATCATAGAAAAAATGATGTGGATATAATCAAATAGGTGTAAAATCCACAAATCTGCCAACATTATGGATGAATGTCTCATGTATAATCTTGTTGCTAAGGTCATACACGAAAATGACGTGATATTCGGTTGGGGATAGTATTTAATCCATGTCTTGAAAATTATGATTGACCAAAACCGAGATCGTTTGTATCAGCACTGGAAAGTAAATTCGGATTCCCACTGAAGAATTAGTCACTAGTGATCGGTGCAGGGGTCCTCGAAAACTGTTCTCTCGTCAGTCATTGCTGCACCACAGATTTCATGATCATACTGGATTTTCGTCGTCTTAGTAAGTACAGGATTCCATGAAAAACGGTTCCAGTCGCACGATATCGACCTAACATTTCAGTTAATGGGATACACAAATTTATGAATATGGTGGCACTTGATCGTTGTAGAAATTACTTGTGAATGTTTTCATCTAAATTTCTGGGATAAAAGCTTTAAGTGCATGTCTAAATAAAACAAACATGCGTAATTTTGGTGGGACATATATTTTGAGTGGTTACACCTAGTTGTACTAAACCCTCATGATTCAAGTGCAATATATATCTCACAATTCAGCTCCTCGTCATTTTCCAGTGGCACCAATAAATTCAGTCCTCAAGAATTGGCACGTCTGTGTCATCTCTTTCTCTGTATGATATAAAACGTTGACGTGGAACCTAACATAAAAGCATTCCATTCTTAGTTTTCCTTTTTATAAACAGTGGAAATGTATAAGTCAGATAGTCATAGACATCTTAGATCCTGGGATAAGTGCACATCAAGGTGGAGCTACGCTTCAAACCAGAACAGCGACAGAAGATCTAATAGATGAAAATCGATAGTCGGAATAGTAGTAGTAACGATAGGAAAACGGAAAACGTAAAACAAAAGAATATGTAATGAGATAGAACGTAGCTGGTTTACACTAATTACTTCTAGCGGGAAGAGGTCGAAGTGTAAACAAATACCCGATGGAATTACACACTTTTTAGCCACTTGGGACTCTACGTACCCCCCCCTCCAAAAAATACTAAAATGGCTTCTCAGATAATCATTGGTAAGTAAACTTACGACAAGACGAATCTTATTTGTAATCCAACCTAGAAACATGTAATTAGATACCCTGAACGCTGACTGGGACAAAACTAATCCAAATCATTGTGCAACTGATACCAAAGCAAGACTTTATCTAATTCTTTTGGGACATATTCGCAAAACTACTAACACATAAAGTTACCGATGGAGCGTCGCTGTATTGACCAATTTATGTTGTCCCCATGTAAGTGTTCTAATTGGATAAAAAGGCGAGACCAAGTTACCGATTCTGTGACGTTTGTTCGATATTCAATTCCTCCGTTTAATATTTTCTTATTTCTAGCGTTAGTTTGTTCATTGTAACATTGGTTACATTTTACTATGATTTGTATTAATTCGGTATAAGCTTGGTTCACTATGAAATACAGCATGCATTTTCGTAGTAACTCTGTATCCTCTCTACATGTGGTTGATGTGAACGGAAACAAATAATCCATAACAAACAACGGAAGTTATTTTTGGGACGTTATTTTGCTTGATTCAGAGTTCTTAAAATACTAACATTTGGCTTTATCTCTAGGTTATTCTATCGATCATAATCTTTCGCTTGATGTGTGATTGACTGCCACATCCTTTTCTTTGTCAAAAGCCCTGTTGTTTAAACGTAACCTTTTGTAATCTATTTTTTCTGTTCTAATGCCCAGCTCGGACATAATTGTATTTTCCAATTGTTTGTACGTTGTGGTCGGTTTAGTCGTCTTTACCCATGTATCTTTTTCCACTAATCTTAATCAAGAACAAATCGGGTAATGTTCCAGTCTTCGTCTTTCTCCCCAAGGTCATTAGTCGAAATTCGGACTCACGCGTTTCTAGCCTCATGGTTAAACCAGTTACCTCGCCGTGTCAGAACCTCAACCTAGAGTGAGACAAGTTCTCTCCTGTATATTATTGGGTAGACAGATCAAGTACGTAACAAAGATATATGTTAACTAGTCATCAAATGGCAGTAAAATCAATAAATGAGTGTATTTTAATAAAAAAAAATTAAAGCGGTTTCGAGGGCAAAACAAATCTACAATCAATTTTGGTCTTATTATTTGCGTAGTGTAAATCATTAGCTCATTGTTCAAAGTAATCAGCTATTCAAAATTGAGGCAGTTTTCCCGTCATAAGTATTTACGGTTTCATCAGTAAACATCTAAGCCTGATCTGTTTTCTTCATTTGCAAATGTATATGCTCCTGTACGAAGTGTTACGAGTAGAGTTACACCAGCCCTAATGCCACATCATTGTACACTATTCAGTGTAGTTATCTATGTGAAACTCAGTATCATATCATTTAATGAGCAAGGACTCTGAGACAGGCTCTCCTTTCTACATCCTATGCCAGAATCTAATGTTGTTTTCTACATGCGTACTCCTAGTTACTGCAAGGATTTCCATCCGAAATTTTTGGCTGTCCTGGTTTATTTATTCAGTATTTTTTTATAGCTTTTGTCCACTAATTACAGCGTTGACGATCTTCCAATGCCATACGAGTTTGACATAACGGTTGTATTCATAAATAAATTACTACTACTTTCAGTTTACTAACAATTTCCCTTTGCTACTTAAATTCTACGGGCTTACGTCCCTCTTGTAAAGCATTCCACACACGCAAACCTAAGATATCCACACGTGAGCTATAATAATTCTGAATTTATACGTAACTTTTCTACTTGGTCGGTCAAAGTGCAGTGATGTTGAGAAATTGTCAAGCAAGTTTGTAAGCTCGCTGACTTGCCTTCGAACAACAACCATACTGTCCAATAATTCATCCTGCCTCATGCTTGTCACGTAATCCTCGAACCCGGTAAGTTGAGAGACCAGTTCCAATTGCCCCTATAAACCATATTGTGGACAACTGGTTAGTACCATACTGTTCACCCTGAACCGACTGACAACAGATGTAACACCAGTAAGATTTAGTATCATTCCTCCTGAACTGGTCTGTATACTAGGTCTAAATAACTAACCGCTGTCGCATTTATTACTTATCAATACACTTGGTTAATATATACCCCAGCCTCTTTCGGTCTTTGTCATTTTATGCATGCTTTTGAAAAAAAGCTACTGATGTCCGCATGATTCTGTTATTTTTTCGTAGCGGTGTGCCTCAACGCAATCAACATAGGTGTCAAGACAATACAACCGTCAACGCCGAACTAAACATGTACGCGCTGAATAATACCTTGAGACAAATACCAAGGTTACAGTACCTCGGCGTCTTCACCAAGTCATCCGATCAGGTGAAAATCGACTGTCGAGAGTGATAAAAGATATTGACACCACCAGACGGTAAATTACAGAAATCATGGTGCAGTGTCGGAACGTCCCGACCCCGATGTTTCTAGCGCGCTTTGTTAATAGCATTATGTTAAAGGAAATGAAACATTGTTGACAATCCCATACTGTCACAAACCTATACCACCTGTTCCACAACTGTTTGTTTACGGTTAATTTTGTCGGTTGAATTATTTAAGTGTTATTCGAATAGTAACAATTTGTTCAACTGTGTTGTTACTACTATCATTGACAGTCAAGGGATATGCCCCCCTCTCCAGGTTAAATGTTAGTTAGCTCATAAATATATGTGCATGCTCGAATCTTGTCAATTGGTTTGAATCCGAATTATATCAAAGCCAAGCCACTATAAACCCGTAAGTGCTCAGGAACTTCAAGGTCTGTGACTAATTTTATTCCGTCCACTTTCGGAGCAAGTGGGAAATTAATAGAAGTAGTGAAGTTAGAATTTAAGTGATAGTTTCTGGTAGTCCTTAAAAGACAGAACCAATGACGAAATAATTCTCTGTATTTTATATTTATAGCAAAGCGGACACTATTAATAACATTAAACTGTTTATACGTAGAACTTTACAAAAGCTTCCAGGACTTATTAACTTATCTGTAACAAATAAAAGACCGGGTATATAATCACACGTCACGTGAGCACAACAAAAGGAGGTGAAATTGATAATTAACCATGTTTTTCACAGCAAATATAAACAGGAAAATACGAAATAAACCACCAAAATGTTGAATACAAGGCTGAAGTGCTTATAATTACTAAAAGAAAGCATCACAGATTGTTGTATAAATTATGGCCTAAAAAAGCAGAAATAAAGATTTTTAGCAAAGCAAACTCAAATTCGTCAAGAGAAATTTGAACTCGAACTGTAGTTAAATAGTAATTCACCGAATGAAAATAGATAAGCTGTACATAGATATAAATATATCATTTTTATAGGTACGGAAATACATTAAGACCAAGTTTGTCGAAGTAAGTCAAGAAGAGAAATGAAATGTCGAAAACAACCAAAGATCATTCAAGAATAGCTATTATATATATGTGGTGTGTGAAGGTCTTTGCAAGTTCCAAAAGAATTTCTGAAAAAATAGACTTGATATTCAACAACCACAGGTTTTCCACTGGTTCTCTTGAGGAGGCTCGATCGGTTTCAGTTCAATATCTGCAGGGAAGTTTTGATAAATAAAACCAGTTACAAATTTTCGAATGAAACGAGAGAAGAATGAGTAATGCAGTATATCATTGGTGTATATTATGGGGTTATTAAAGTTAAGGATGAATAGGCCTAGATATACGCATATATCCATAGATGTTAGAAATAAAAAATACAATCCAATCATCAAATAATTTTGGGCGGTTGATTCTTAAATGTTAATATGAGAACTTGCTGTCAAGAATTATGCTACTACAAAAACACGGCAACCATATCATGTAATAAACATTTGCTGCTATTTAAAATCAGCGACCATTGTAGATGAGAAGACCAAGTGTTGATTAGACTTAAAATAAATCCAACAAGTTAAAATTTGAAGCGTGAGAATCACTTACCTATATTTGGGCTAGTGTGTTATCACCAACTTTACATTAAAAATGATAAACACAAATTTATTACATCTCTTTTCTACTACAGACACATCGAATAAAGTTCAAATATCATCAGCACAAAAAAATTGACAATACAGCAACCTACTACACAAAATTATCATTTTCAAAACAGAAAATTCATTAAAAGGAAAAATCAAAAGTGAAACCACCGAGAAATGAATCCAAAACTACATGTGCATTGAATTAGTAGCGCAAATGTGCTAAAAGGTGTGTAAACAAGTTTATAAAAAAACAAATGCTTACAATTAAGTGACTTAGCACCAGCAAACTCGTTGGTTAAAATCAGTATCCTTAGAGGCATCGTGTAACTTAACCTCGATGACTAGATTTATTAAACAAAAACACGACACAAAAAATACAGTTCGCAAACACCGATTTCCGAAATGGAAATTATCCAAATCAAGGAGAAAAGCAGTATTGGTAAATTTAACATCTTTATATTCTAATCATTTTGAATAGAACTGGTCGAGTCAGAGCTTATGGAAAATTGTCACTAGAGCTAATATTACCACGTAGTGTTTATAAGAGTTATGAAACGTCTGGGATGATCTAAGTTATCGTTCCAAATCAGATATATAATTATTATACCTGTTAGTCATTTTACAACTCGTTCAATCATAAGATACTGTCATGGACTGAATAATAGTAACGAATTGTTTTGGCCTTGACCAGAGAGCAGTATTGAATACTTACAATAACCAAGACAGTTAAATCAGTTTAGGAAAGTTTTATAGACATAAAATAGTTCAATAACTCCAGACATTTAGCAAACTAATGAAGTAGGTGGGACAGTTTTTGAGCTTGAGACCCACCAGCCAAGTGTTTTAATCAATAAGTCACCATATAACTAACCAGCATACATGCTTTAGGTGTCTAAAATAAATACGAAATTTCTTTGTAGTGCTGACTAAATGAACAATAAAAGATAAAACAATGGATGTATAGATAAGATCGGAAAGGATACAGTCATCATGTCTAGAAAGTGGACTCTTTTGATCAACCAATTCTGTTGCGATTCGACGGAACAGCTGAAAAAAAATACAAAATGAAAATATAATTACTGGCTTATCACAGATATTTGACATCATTACCGTAAAGCCACTAATAAAAAGCTGGAACACGGTTTAGGAATGAAAATAAACTTCGACTAATTGGTTAAAATGTGCCCTTAAATGCCCTGGTACGGCCGGGGGTGGGGAGAGTCAGCTCCCTCTTGAAATGCTCTCATTACATGGTCACGCGTATACAGCTACTGGAAGGAAAGTCTCACTCACTGCCTACTTACGGTGTGTCGTTTACGAAATTGAGAGGACGAAAAATGAATGTCCGGGGCTTTAACCGGGTTGGTGGACATGGAAAGTCCACTTAGGGGAGTTGGAAAACCCTGATTCCAAACCAATGGTGTACATGGGCTCCAGGACCCTAAGGAAATAAATGACGTATGAACCTATTGTTGGTCACCGGCTACCATAGGACTGCATCTGCTGACGTTGCTCCTTGTGGATCAGACCTCTAGGTTAAAGGCTCGGGATGTGGCCCCCTAAGAAAACCACCTGCTTCGGTTTGGGCACCCGGGTAGTACCACAACCCAAATACAGATCGAATGCGGTGCATATGTATTTGGTGCCGCTTTGTACTAATATTTGTGTTCAAATAATAATAATCAATCAGTAACATTTTACTAAAGTGAAAGAAGAGAACTGGTGATGGGTGCAACTGAAAAACAACAAAGGTGAAGTAGATAAGAGTAATTCGAGACATAAATCATATAGACCACATACAAATTTCTGATATTTTTAGGATGCTAAACAGTTCACGTTTCCTTGAATACTTTATATGTAGCTATCATTTATGCACAACATAACTTACTTGTACAATAAGTTTATTATTATAAATTAATTTGAGTTAATTAAACATTAGGATAGGAAGCAACTGTACATTAACAGCTCACTCGCAAAAACGGTTCAGCAAATACAGTTTTATGGTAATCCATATCGAAAATTTGAAGCCTTATCATGAATTTGTCTATCTGCTAATTACGTACACCGCAAAGTAGCATTTGAGTTATATCAAAATAAACCTAACCGAATTCTGCTTCACAATAATCCACAAGTCGAAAATTGATGTGTAGCACCACTAAGTTTTATCACGTTTTAGAAAACAACGTTGAGTGATATTATAGTCAACATAATTTTGTTCTGGGTTGAAACCAACTGGGAACGAGCAGTGTTAATTATACCATATCTACATGTATCGTTAAGTGGACCAAAGCGGAACTATCCGATATATTTTCAAACGTTCACCAAACATACAAACCACCGAAATAACTGGGAACCTTATATAGTGCAGTAATCAGACGAAATGTTAGTGGGCATTAAAATACATGGGGGGAGATGTCTAGCGTTCAAAGAAAGAGAGGGAGTGTACCTACAGGGGAGGTTATCGCTTAACGAACCGACTCACTTTTTCGTATAGAGCACAACCTAATTCTACAGCCAGCTTTTTCAGTCTCAATATATGAAAACAGCATATACGAATGTTACTAAATTGCACAGGCGGTACATCCACAACTGCTTACAGAGAACGCGGCAAACAGCGCGTCACGATGTCTGATAACAAGAGCATATACTTAAGCGTTGAAGAAAATGTGATCAGAAAATTTTATTTCTGCACTACCTAAGAAGCGTGTTTGTTTGGGATGAGACAGTGCCACCTGTATGGTTAGTATTTGCAAAAACTAGTCCTAGAAAACCAAACTGTGTGAATATCTGTGGAAAACTTTTGTGTAGTGGTGATAGATGTACCCATCAACGAGGAAAACTTTGCGCAACAAAATTCACTACGTCACACTTTGTAAGTCTTTTAAAAACCCGAATACTAGAACAAGATAATAAATCCTCTAAATAAAACGCCATAAACGCTCAGACGCTTTGAGACTTGAAATCGACGGAAATCAGATTTACTTTACAGACTAAAGCAGCTGAGATATTGAGTCATCTTTAGACAAAGGGGAACAGAAGTTTAAAGTGAAGACTAAAATATTACCTATACATATGACAATCAAGCAAACTTAACCAAAATTGTGTTATTTCACTACTCACTACTTTGACATTATATCCAGCCTTCGCACTCGTTTCAATAAACATGACTTCTAGTTTTTTAGCAAGATGCTCGCCCTCTTCAGTGGTCACTTTTCTGCAACATAAGGATCCAGGATATTTTTACCCACCGTTTATCAGATAGATCCGTTTTGTTTCCAACGAGGATAATAATAACATCCCCGCCACGTTCGTTTCTGACGTCATCAACCCACTTTGAAGCCTGATGAAAAGATCCAGCGTCTACAAGATAAACAATGCAAGTAAAACATACTGCATATGTCATAAACAACAACTGCGGCTGAGGAGTCACGTATATAGCTGGGAATCAAACTTCGAAAACGTTCCTGTCCCGCAGTGTCCCATAATTGCAGACGAATCTGTTGGGTTCGTTTACATTCTTAAACTTACAGTTCGATCCTCAAGGTACATAGTTTTTGATAAAAAGTCAATACCAATTGTTGCCTGAAAGGTGAGAATATTATAGTACTATTTGTTATTGTACCTGATACAGATTGTCAAAAGTTTCATACATAAACCTAGTTATGAGGGACGTCTTCCCGACTTAAATTGGAATGTATTTTGGCAATTTTATAAGAATTTACCACTCTGTTCTCCCAAAAATACCAGCTTGAACTTTTGCAAAGGATTGTTAAAGTCGGCCATCGCTAAGGACCAAAGGACTAGCCACGCAAATTACCGCCACAAGCCAATTTGAGTGAGTAAACAAAAGCAGGTTCCAAATCTTCATATTTATTTCATCTTCAGATGAGCGCCTAAATTTTACGGCGCTGTTCCAGGTATCTCATTTCATAATATAAGTAATCTAGTCATGCAATCTCAATAGTCCTAACGAACCTGACATTTGTGGATGCGTTACAAGTAACCCCCTGGTTGTTTCCGTGAATTTTAGGTGTTGTTGTGGTATCTTAATGTCTCTGGGATAAATCAATTGCCTTAAGTTTTTCAATAAAACTTTTCTTACCATCAAAAAGCCTGTTGAAACCCTTCATAAAGAAAATAACTGGGCTAAATGTGGGAATGATAGTAATATAATGGAGATGATTTCTTGATGAATAACATTTTGAATCTAGTTTTTGTGTAAAAATTCATTATTCTGAAGTCTTTTTACAGGTTGAGGTCCAACAGAATCACTTCTATTGACCAGATTTATTATTAATTTGCAAAATGGAACACGCCTTCACCAAGATTCTTATACTCAGGGTAGTGACGGAATTTACGGATAACATAGGGTCGCAGATGAAAATGACTGCGTTTTCGCCGTCTAAATTGTCAATAAAAGTTTCCACGCTTTGAGGTCAATACGTTCTCATTTACACAGAGTCGTAAATAAGTTATGTTTGGCTCCATTAATATGGAAAGCTTTCAGTTAAATGAATTATAGATTGAGCGTGGTCCTAAATTGCTCAAAGTACCCAGAATTTGTGCTCTTTGGTACTCATACTGACAGCAAAGACACACCTAGCATCAGGTTCACAAGCGGAAACCTGTGATAGCTATGCAGAGGTAAATGAATCACTAAAATAAACAGTTCTGTATGTCTTCGATATCGATGCTGACCTCATTAATTTTACTGGACGCAACCTAGCTGAATGCTCTCGGTTACACGTCCGCACAAGAGCACCAGTGAGATAAGCCGTGCTACACATCCGTTGCACCTGCTTGCCAGCTTACCAAATATAACTTAGAACCGTTCCACTCCTGACTACTGATTTGACTAGGTTGGTATTCGTCAATTACGGCGCTGAGAACAAAAGCGTCGTCAAACCCTGAGTATCTAGGGCATCTCTATGTCCATTCCCATCATAGTCAGATCTTAGCCTGCTACAGTGATGACACAGAGTAATGACCTCCTAAACTTTAAATCTGTCGTCAACTTCTGTCGAGACCTAAGGGTTTTGGTTCCGATGGCTTTTTGAAGTGTAAGTGAGCAAGTAGTTCAACCCAGTTCGGCTTTGATCTGAGGAATAATACTTGGTTCAGCAACGGTATTCACAAAAATACTCAAGCCTGAATTTCTGTCTTCAACATGAAAAGTTGACTGTCTAGACTTCTCCTCACGTCGTTACGACGTTAAGGGAGTCTTTTGTCTTTCATGTTAGTTGTAGTCCGTGTGGGCCAGGTACGTGTTTAACCGCACCCAGGTGACTTGACACTGAATCACCAGTGGTTTGAGCATAGCTGTTCGGATTTTGTGAACGTTTGTTTCCTGCTTCCTGGTCTGAAACTCGGTCGTTTTGGTGACTCACTTTTGTTTCTATGATCTATCTGCGTTTTCGCAATAGTCTCTTTGAGACGTTACTTTCAATTAGTTTTGATGATAGTCTTTTGATGACTCCTATTCAAGTGTGATTTATCGTAAGTGATTTTGCCGGAGGACTCCTCTCTATTATTCCTCCTGCAACGCATGGTCACCGAGGCAAAGATGAGTTCATTTCTTAGGCATCCAAGCAATATTAGACGTAGTATAAGAGATCGTGTATCCATCGTTGATTTAGGACTGATTTAATCGCGGTGTTGCCGCCAGCTAAGACTTGGAGTTGACAAAATAACCACGAGAGTAACCTATCGCCCAGTATCTCCTCTTAAAAAGCCTCTAAATTCTCTTACCGTCCGACAATCACAGTTCATTGTCTCACAGTTTAAGACAATAATAATAGTAATTTATCCTTAAATGACTATCTGTTGCATGAGGCATGCCAGTTTGCAGGCAAGATCAAATTGATACAGAAGGTACAGTCTTCAATGTAGTAGGTTACTCAGTTAGGTTGATATTTTATAAGGTACATTGATCATAAAGTTATGGAGGATAACACTTCTCACATGTCAATGTAAATAATATTATTAATACTCGTACTGTCAATATGACAGTTTGTGAGCTTCATGGAGGTTGCGTTGCGACTGATGGTCAAGAATAAGTTCACATAAAGTTGAGAGCTTCTAGAAACCACGACCTTGTATTCCTCTGGAACGTCTGAGGCATTTTCGATGGACGAAGTCGCCCGTTCCATATGTGTTTTCGGTGACATATCTCAAAGGGGCTGAAAAAATGGTGTGAAAAAGAAAGGACGAGAAGTAAAACAGACAATGCTGATGTATACTGAAGTTGAGTCATTTGTGGTGAAATAATTAAGGTATGACTATTTAGTTTAATTCTCTCTTATTAAGATGCTTTTTAAGCAAGAGCATTCTAATAGGTGGAAGAAAATAAGCATAAATAAGCTATGAGTGTATAAAGAACTGTATAAATTGAGGTGGTTTAAAAAGAAGCTGAAAGCATAGGATTATGTGTGGTTTCCAAATATAGTACTGAAAACAGTATTCTGATACGCAAATGGCTATCTCACTTTTTTGTCGAAAGTATTTCAGCTCATTTTTATTTTTATTGATTTTGTAGGTACATGAACAGTCTTCTTTTTTAGAGAATTGTCTAGTTTTGCTTGTAATAGGATTACTAAGTAGGATGTGAAACCAATTCAACGTCACAAACACGACTCAAAGAGGTATTTTTCATAATAAATTAGCATCAGTACCATTTATCCGTGACATCCCGCTTGATCATAAGGAGCCGTAATTTGACAACATTTTCACGCCTACAGACATGGGTGGACCGAAGTTATCACCCCACCATCGTTTTCGCTGGTCAGTAAATTAACCCCCTCTCCTTTTGTGATGTTAGGCTCTCTTACGTTTGCGGTAAATATGAATATTGCTTTAATTTATGCTCCTTGTTGGAATATACCGTCTCTACTAGTTCCATGTTGCAAGCAAATCAGATGGTTAAATCTTCTGTACTGTGGATTAGATATCCATTTAATATATCACAACGCTATGAAGATAAGTAATGGTATAAGTTATAGGACAGTGATCAGATTATATGGGATTTAGAGATGGTTAGGATATATGACAAATCAAAGAATATGCAAGAGTTTGGAATTGTAAACGTTTCGGAGTAAGAAAAAAAAACAATGAGCAGCCCACAAGAATTTAGGATATTATGAGTTTCTTACAATTGGTCATAGCTGATCAGCATCCATGTGATTAGTGTGTTATCTATCTACTTCTAATGGGAAAAGGGATTTAACACTTTGGAGGAATAACCATTAGAGTGATTCGGAGTCTGAATGTGAAAAGTAGGAGCATACGTGCAAGACTAATGGTCAATGAATAATAGGGGAGGGTAAACCATGTGTTCTATCGTTTGATTACAATCATATTATTGACAACTTGGTCCGTTAGATTCATGATCGGTCTAGATATTAGGCGGTCCCCAATAAAGTGCCTCATTTGTGGGCAGAAAATTAGCGAATAGTTCATAAAGCTTTTTAGCATCAAGTAACACTGTTATTATATTTTTGAACTTGGTGATAGTGTCACAGTTACGGGTAGGTATTGGCAACCTACTCCATAAAAAACTATACCGCACTGTAAAAAAAATTACAACGCATTGGTTACCGGTGTTCAACAATAAGCAATGTATATGCGTTGCTTCTGAGTCTGTGGACTTGGTCATGGGTCACGACTGGGCAGGAGGTTAGCAATGGGAGTCCGCATATTAATTTGTAGAGAAATATAAGATTTTTCCATAGCTGACGGCGCCATAAGGGTTCTAAGAAGAGGTGCTTACATCCATCTATGCAGTTGAGAGTGGAATCATATCATAGCAATCGGTGTGTGAAGCGACTGTGGAGATCTTGTACGCTTGTCTTGTTTGTGGTATTCATGTTTGGGAAGACAAAAGTGATATTCAAGGGAGCGTCGTATACATCTTTTGTAAAGGGTAAGCTTAGTCTCTGTTGTGGGGAAATTTTTCATTGTGGGACCAACTATCCGTCTGGATTTAGAAACGATAAATGAGGCATGTTCTTCAAATTTTAGGCTTTCTGTGTAATTAATACCTTGATCGTGCACTGATTCGATTGTTTGAACTCTACTTTTATTTAAGTAAAATTGTTATTCATAGAGATGTCTTCTAAAATACATGATCCCACAGTTGTTGAGGCTAAATGGTAATTGCCATTTTTTGCTCCATATAGTTAGGTTATTTAGGTGACTTTAGATCTGGGATACACTTTCACTTATAACCTCAGAATTAAAGCTGTGTGCTATTTTGAGATCAAAAACGTATAAGTACGGTCTCTCAAATTTTATATTGTTTATATATATAAGAAACAAGAGCAAACCCAATACATTTCCCCGAATGACTCCACTAGTTATTGGTCTAGATGATGAGAGAGAGTCATTGTACTTTACCATTTGTTTACGTTCTGTTAAGAATGAAGCTAACCATGAATATAGTGGGTTGTTGATTCCAAAGGACCTTAGTTTGACGGGAAGCCTTTTATGTGGGACCTTATCAAAAGCTTTCTTAATGTCTAGGAATAAAACCGATACAAAGAGCTCGTTGTCTCGTTTCAGAGTTATGTCATTCAGGTAGTCTACTAGCCATGTATCGCATGATCTGAACCTAAGAAACCCATGTTGGGAGGTCGAGATGAGATTATTAGTAGGTAGACTTTGAACAACCCTCTCCTTAGCTTTTTTTTTCCATCACTCTAGATACCACTGAGGTTACGTTTATGGGCCGGTAATTTTCAAAATTTGCTTCTGGTTCTGTCTTAATTTTGAGGATGATATGTATAGTT